CCGTAGCTACGTGAGGAGGCCCGGACTCACCCAGCGCAGACGGCAGCATAGTGTAGCCACACCAGCCCCTTGTCTGCCCCTGCTTGTCGGGGGGAAGGGAAAAAAGGACGCCTCTTCTGGCACTCTGTGTGCATTGTGCTTCGCGTGCTTGCAACTTCCTTGCCAACCTACAATGGAGTCCTGAGTGCTATTGCTACGGCCCTGGCGCTTGTGTGGGGACTGTCTCTACGGACGCGTTGAGCAGTTTAGGTGACGGAGGTTCCTTGCCTTACGGCCTACCCACACTTTCGCTTAATGTCTGTACCAGACGTGGCGCAGCATTGCTATGGGTGACGGGCTGCTGAGTGATTGGTGCCGGTAGGTTCTTGTTTGCATTGGTCTCACCATGCTGGCCTTGCGTTAAGTTGTCTTGCAATAAGGGCCTCTGCGCTAGCGGTTGCTTCTTTGTAGTCACGACTTCTTTTTCACTCGCTGGCTTGTACAGTTTGTTTCACCCTTCGTGTTGAGACTCACAAGGACGGCCTACTGGGCTGCTGATGCAGTAAAGAGGCGACAGTTCAAAAAAAAAACTACCCTCTCACTGAGAACAGAGAAGAGAAGCGATTGGTGGAACTCGGTGGAGCTAGCAGCAGCAAGAGGTGCCACCCTTTAGTGAGAGGCAATGACCTCATAGGCTTGCTCAAGATAGTGTAGGTACATAGCAGTCCGGACTCCAAGACGGGAACTCGCAAACCAATCACACCTCAGAAAATAATTTAACCTGGGTTCAATTTGAAACCCAGGTTGGACTTGGGTTGAACTTGGGTTGAACCTGGGTTGAATTTAAGTTGGCTCAAGGCTCTCGGCTCGAGTGAGAAAGTGGTAGGCAGTTTTCAGGTAGGGTAGCTGCCTAGATGCCATTGAGCCCACCCTCTAAGAGGGATAGCCTGGCTATCATAACCTCAGAGGTGAGCCGAGAGGGAAGGTGCATCCTTCGACTGGAGCGAACTACCAGGGCAGGGCACTTCCGCGATGCCCAGTCCCTGGAGCAGAGTTTCAGCGAGCGTGCCAAACAGGGATGCCTTCCATGGGCCTCGTGGCCAAGTGGCACCGAGGCAGCAGAGAGGTGCAGATCCTCTGACCCGAACAGATAGGGGCAAGGGCCGGCGGGCAGGGATCAGCCCAGTATGCTCGGGGGGACCGCAAGGCACGGTTAGTAAGAGAGTGAAAGCCGGAGCTGCGGCGAACTTGAGCAACTGGTCTGTACAGCCTGTTGCCACCGCTTGCAATCCCTGGAGAGCTGGAGTTAGGAAGCTGGAAGTTTGGGAGTCTGCAGTGGCGATTAGGGAACGTGATGCAGTGGCCAGCAGGCCGAAAGCACATGCCCCCGTCTGGAAGCCTGCTACATTGTCTGTGGCTTGTAACGGGCTATCGCCTACACTGGCTGCTAACCAGTTCAACATTGGCTTGAAGTGTGAGATAGATCTGGCGGGCTCTTTCGTGACTCACACAGCCAGAGGTTTTATCCTCTTTGAGTTGAGTGGTATAAGGCCCTCCTGACCTTTGTCATGCTGGGGTATGCCCAGTCCTACCAAGCTTAGTGTCAGGAGCTTTAGTTTGTCGGACTCATCTACAGTAAATCCACACTGGCGGCAGTGCTTGAGAGTGGGATAGCTACCAGAGGCAAGATTCCGCCATAGGCGCTGCCTGAGGTTTATGTTTATGGGTTTGGCTTCTGCCTGGCGTGTTTCCCCGCGCCAGTGCACTTCGTGCGTGGGGGAATTGAGGGGAAAGCGTGGTCCCCGCGCCTTGTTGAGGGGAGGCGTCGACCCTGCGCCAAATATACCAAGTTGAGGGGTGCAGTGTCCCCAAGCCTGTCGACATAAGCCTTGTCCAGGTGGTCCCATCCACCCTCGCACAGGGTAGTTTTCAGGAGGTGCTTTCTGGAACCCTCCACACAGTGTCCTGGAGTGCCAGACGCCAGGAGTGTGGAGGTGGCATCCTCGGGCTGTGAAGTGGCGGGCTTCACTGCCCAGGGCCCACAGGGCTGCAGGCTGAGCAGTTACGGCAGTTCTTTCCTTTCAGCTGAAGCAGGCGGACAACCCTGTAGCTGGGCCAAACCAATTTGTACAGGTAATTGGTGCCTGTGGCCGAGGGGTCGCAGGTTCTGAGTGCAGAATGTATATGCCTTGCTGTGCACCAGGAGGGATGCCCTCTTACTGACAGGAAAGGGAGAAGGGTAGTTTGCAAGCGGACTTGAGGCAATCCGCACCCACAGATAGGGGCTACCCTCTCGCTCAGTGCTGGGGAGATAACAAACATTTCACTTTTCATGCCCGACTGTATATAGGCTCAAGCACCGCCCCTCGTGGAGCGCCGCGAGTAGAGAAAAGTGCGAGGAGAACTTGTGTTCTAGGAAAGGTTAAGAGTAGCCTTTAAACTTTAAACTTTTATGGTAGCGGAGCTGTTGGCAACGGCCAGCAGCTGAAGAAGCAGATCCAGGGAAAGAAGGTAAGCCCAGCCAGAGGGCTGGCAGCCAGCTAGCGAGCTGGAAGGAAGAAAGGGAAAGCAGGAGTTAAGGTTTCTCAACTACGCCCTGCGAAAGTAGAAGTTCGTGTTCCGGTGGGCGTTATCACCGGAGGAAATTCGGAAGGAAGTCAAGAAGACAGCAAGAGTTAAGGTTCATTAACTACGCCTTGCTGAAGCTGAAGGAAACAGGAGTTAAGGTTCATTAACTACGCCCTGTTGGATCAGTAGAGAAAAGAAGGTGAAGAAGAAGGAGCCTTGAGTCTGGACGACTTGCCTAGATCGTCAGAACAATGGCGGAACAACAAAGAAACTTTGAAGCAATGTTGGCTGGCATTGGCCAGGCCACCGAGGCAGCTAGCCAAGGTGCTGCCCAAGCTGCGAGGAACTCCCCGAGAAGTGTGGGAGGTGAAGGAGCGCCAAGGGCGCAACCCTCAGGTGTCCCGTTCGACACCGGAGGAAAGATCTTGAAGCCGCCAGAAGTGTTCAACCCGGCAACACTGGAAGAAGAAGTCTCTCAATGGAGTGACTGGAGTTTCGCCTTTAAGAACTTTCTAGCATTCATGGACTATGAGTTCTTGGCAGACCTGAAGAAAGCTGAAGCATCAACGGATGTGTTGGACATCGAGGACGACATCGATGGATTCTATGCAGCGAGCGAAGGACGAAAGATACGAGGAATGAAGCTGTATTCCGTCTTGAGCAGCTACTTGAAGAATCGCCCGTTGAAGGTGCTAAGAGGTATCGACAACATGGATGGATTCGAAGTCTGGAGGCGACTCACAATGGAGCTCGAGCCATCCTCAAGATCTAGAAGTCTGGCAATGGCCCAAGCCTTGGTAGGATTCCCTGCAATGGCAAAGGGAGCTAGCCTGATGGATTATGTCCTCACGTTCGAGAAGTTGGTCAATGAGTACGAGAAGTTATCGACAACGAAGTACGATGACAATCTGAAGATCGGAACGTTGCTGAAGGGCATCCCGCAGAATCTGAAGCAGCACATCATGGTAGGAATCAATGAGAAGACAAGCTACAACGATTTGAGAACGAAGCTGCTACAGTACGAACGAAGCAACCAAACGTGGTCTGCTGAGAACATCCTGGGATCGTTGAGCGTTCAGGCCCCAGGAACAAGTTCAAGCTCCAAGGAGTACCAAGGACCGATCCCAATGGAGATCGACCGTCTGAAGGGAAAAGGAAAACATGACAAAGGAAAAGGAGGATACAAAGGAAGCTACAAAGGAAAAGGGAAGTTTGAGAAAGGAAAAGGAAAAGGAAAAGGAAAAGATAGAAAAGGCGGAAGAGGAAGAGGTCGCGGCAAAGGCCGTGGCAAAGGACGAGGAAGGTTTGTGAGGCAAGTGGAGAGTGGTGGCTACGGAAGTCAAGGAAAAGGTTCAGGTGGAAAAGGATCAAGATCTGGTGTAGAATGCTACAAATGCGGAAAGTATGGTCATTTCGCAGCAGAATGTTGGACGTCAGGAAAAGGAGGAAAGGACTCCGGAAAAGGAGGAAAGTCAAAAGGAAAGATGCGACAAGTACGTGAAGGCGAAGAAGATTGGAACCAAGATCAAGAATGGTCAAGTGGTGTGTGGAATGCACCATCACAGTCAAGCGCCAGTTCACAGCCAAGCCAGTACCGAATTCAAGAGCAATCGCAAGTGCGAGTTGCACAAGCTGCAAAAGGGAGTGAACAAGTGAGAAGAGTCAATGAAAGGTCGATGACAAGAATCGAAGAAGTTGAGGAAGAAGACGATGAGGAGATCGTAGACCTGATCGAGATGTTTCGAGAGTGGGGGAACAAGCCCCACGCAAGAATGGTGAAGATGAAAGAAGTTCAAGTTTTCGACATAAGCCAGGGAGATGAAGAGCTGAACGAGTTGGACGAGTACCAAATGTGGTATGAAGAAGATCGACCAGAAGTCAAACAGGAATCGGTTGAGAATCCAAGTCCAAGTCCAAGTGCTCAAGAAGAAGATCGACCAGAAGTCAGACAGGAATCGATTGAGAATCCAAGTCCAAGTCCAAGTGTCCAAGAAGCAAGTAAGGATCGAGTACGAACGGTTCGGTTACCAGGGTATGAGGACTTGATCGAAGTTGTCCTAGACAGTGGAGCAGACTGCCATGTCTTGCCGTTAAGCTACTACAGCGAAGACCTCGGAGAAGTGGAACTTCCAGCACTGAAGATGGTCATCACGGATGCACAAGGAAATGCAATCAGAACGACTGAAGCAAGGACCAACATAACGTTCGAATTCCAAAGATCCGATGGAAAGGTGATTAAGGTCAAGGACACCGCCGTGTTTGGTCAAGTGACCCAACCGCTGTTCGCAGTGGGGAAGCTGTACAAGGTCGGATGGGGCATCGAGCCCCAGGATGCCTACAGCGCTTTCCTGACAAAGCTAGTGAAGCGGAGGAATGGAACGTCGGTATCGTATGTCCCGATAAGGTTTTCGAGAAACTCAACGGTGACAGACCTTAGGATCTACCGAGCGGCAATGGAAAATGGACGAGACGATGTGCCAATCTCAATCAGGAAACTTACTCTGACAAAGGAACTGAAAGATGACATAGAGAATGGCAAGTACGAAGAAGGCTGGTTTTATCCCACTGACGGACGGCCAGTGAGAATCGACTGGGACGTGAACACGACGTACAGCCTTGGACGAGACGAAGGAAAGGTGTTCAATTTCAGAACCACACTGAGAACGCGATACGAAGAAGAACAAATAGTCTGGGAAGAAATGGAATTTCATGAGTGTGCCGAGGAGTGGAGAGACAAAGGCACAACGGTCATAGTACCAGAGATCGAGAAAGCAGTGGTCATCACGATCATGGAAAGATTTCCGAGAAGTGTTGAAGATTACGGAGAGTACAGTAGTCCGTACAAGAGAAAGGAATCAGAAGAAAAGCGTGATGTGGAAATGGAAACACAAGAGCAGGACGACTTATGGAAAGGGAGATCAGAAAAGGAGTTGCAGCGAGAGATTGAAAAAGGAATCGAAGAATTGGAACAAGCGCCAAGTTCTGGGTTCGCACCAGGACCGCATATGCAAGAAGAGAACGATGAGAGTGAGCGAAAGAAAGTTGAAGAACAACTTCCGAAACTTGGAGAAGTAATGGAAGAGAGAATGAAGATCGGAGGAATCGAGCTTACACCAGCAAGTACGATAAAGCAGTTGAGAAATGCTTGCGAGTTCCTCAAGATAGGAAAGACAGGAAGTAAAGCTCAAATTTGGCAGAGACTGAAAGAAGCTGTAGCGTCAAACAAGATGAAGGAACTAGTCGAAATCTCGAAAGGACTAGAGGTTGAGTTCTCAAGAGAGCCAGATGGAGAGAAACGACCGGAAGCGCCGAGCGAAGAAGAAAGAAAAAGACACGAGCTGACACACTTACCGAAGGCAGACTGGTGTGAAAGTTGTTCGGCAACAAGAAGTAGAGAAGATGATTTCAAGATAACAGAGAAGAAGTATGAAGCATCGTTGGTAAGCATGGATTTCAAGTTCACCGGAACGAGGAACGAAGAAGATGCAAAAGACGTGAAAGATGCATTGTGCATAAGTTTGGTCATGGTGGACCAAGAGACAAAGTTTGTCCACGCAAATCCAGTCCAAAGCAAGGAGGTGACAAACTATCTGGTGGAAGAAGTTTGCAGAGTGTTGATGCTAATGCAGCCGAAAGTAATCCTGAGGACAGACACCGAACCAGCGATGATTGCTTTGAGAAAGAAGGTGCAGACGATAAGGAAAATGCAGAAGCTTGAAACAGAGATCCAAGATGTTGCACCAGACACGCACCAAGGAGCGCAAGTTGAAAGATGGGTACAAACAGTGAGGAACCTATCTAAGACGTTGGTGTATGGAGTGGAGAAAGAAGCGAAGGTAAAGATCACGAGCGAAAGTACACTGTATCCGTGGGCACCGAGACACGCAGCATTCCTACTGAACAGGTTTGTTGTACAACAGGGGAAAACCCCGTTCGAGTTGGTATTTGACCGTGAGTACAAAGGAACGTTGGTACCATGGGGTAGTGTGGTTGTGGCGAAACCACTACCGAAGACAAAGGAGAAAGGTGAAGCATGGAAGAAAGGAATCTTCGTTGGAAAAGATATGGTTTCGAACATGAATCTGGTGAGCACCAGAAGTGGAATCATCAAAAGTCGGACAATGAGACAATGTTCGCCAACGTTCGAGGTGGAAACATTGGCAAATGCATGCGGAACGCCGTGGAACTATAGTCAAGAGCAGTTGACAGGACGGTCGAAGCAGCCGAAGAGGCTACCGCCATCAAGTGGAATCGAAGTGGCGCCGATCGAAGGACCTCCAGTACAAGTCCCGAGAACTCCAGCAGTTGGTCTGGAGACACCACAGTATAGCCCAACAGCATCGGAAAGACCAAGTGATGCAATGGCATCTGATCCACCGACAAGTGATGATGATGACAATGACGAAGATCCCGGCGAAGGCCAAAGAAGTTCTGAAGCAAGCAGCAGGAAAGGAGCAGCGGCAAGGAAAAGAGATGAAGCAAGTATGACCTCGGGCGAAGCCGAGGAAGAAGAGCCGGAAGGAACGAGCAAAAGAGAGCTCGAAGGAGCAGCCGCAGAAGAACCTGAAGCCATAAGGCCGAGAGTCGACGAAGGAAGCGGACAAGTTGAAGAAAGACCTGAGAAGATCCAAAGAGGAGAACCCTCAGGAACGGTGAGAAGGATAATGGCCACAAGAAGTGTGCAAGAAGTTGCGTCATTCCTTAGGAAGGATTTGCCGAAGTACCATGACGACGAAGAGGTAGAGTTGGAAGAGTTTGAAGGACTCGAAGTCGAGTTTGAAGAGCCTGAAGAGGAAAGAAGCTCAGAGCTCGGAGAAGACGAAGAGTTCGAGGAAAGCATGCCAAAGTGGTCAAACAAGTTCGAAGATGGACCTCCGAAGTTGGACGAAGATGAGCTGACGAAGGTCGACGTTGTGTCAAGAGAGCACGAGATACGCCGACTCACAGAGATGAAAGTCTTGAAAGAGCTGCCTGAAGGCACAAGTGTGAGCAACTACAAGTACCTCTCAACCAAAGTTGTCTACGATTGGAGGCATCGAGACAGTGAATGGCAACGGCGTGGCCGGTTAGTTGCCCGTGAGTTCAAATGGTTGGAGTCAACGGACATCGCATCGTTATTTTCCCCAACGGGAGTTGCGAGCACAGTGAAGTTACTCTCAGCAATGTTTGTGTCGTCGAACGACCACATCCTTGGAAGTATCGATGTAGGAGATGCCTACTTGATGGTGGAGCAAGAAGAACCAACAGTCGTCGAAGTTGATGGAAAGTACTATGAACTCGGATTCACGTTGCCAGGACAACGGATAGGATCAAGCGCATGGTTCAACAAGCTGAAAGGATACCTCGAAGAGTATGGACTCAAGTCCGACGAAGGACTACCAGCCTTGTTTTACAGGAGACAAGAAAAAGGAAAAGCTGGAATGATTGTGTTATCGCACGTGGATGACATGGAACTGTACGCGACAGAGAAAGAGTTCCAAGGATTGATCGAGTTCTTGAGAAAGAAGAAGTTGAAGATCAAGGTCGAAGGACCGTTGCGAGAACAAGAAGGTTCAATGAGTTTTCTGAAGAGAGGATTCAGCGCAGTGAACGATGGAGACGTTGAGATCACGATGAATTCCAAGTACATCGAAGGATTGACCGAAGTGTTGGAGTTGGAAAATTCGTATCCAAAGAAACTGCCATGCCCAGCGGACAATGGAAGGGCAATGCAAGCGAAGAAAGGAGGAATGGACCCGCTATCGGAAGCGGATCATCACACGTACAGGAAAGGTGTAGGTATACTGTTGTACTTAGCGCCAGAACGGCCCGATTTGATGTACGTGCTGAAGAAACTTTGAACGAAGTTAGCAGCGCCGGTGGAAGCAGACATGGAACTGCTGAGGCACGCTGCAAAGTATCTGAAGGGTACACCCGACGTGTCGTTGATACACAAGAAGAGCTACCCAGGAAGAAGTTTCCATCGAAGAGAGAAACGAGAGAAAAGATGAAGAAGTCGAAAGAAATATCTATGAGCAAGAGTCACTGCTGGAGATAGTGACGGATTCTGATTGGGCAGCCGACAGAGAGTCAAGGCAAAGCGTGTCGTGTGGAGCGATCATGCTGAACGGAAATCTGATTCATTTTCAGAGCAAGCGGCAAAAGAGCATAGCTCTCAGCTCATGCGAAGCGGAGACTATCGCCGCAACGTCAATACTTTCTGAAGGAGTGTTCCTGAAAGCATTGTTGACGAGAATCCTCGGAAAAGAACCAAAGATGGTGATGTATTCAGATTCGAGCAGTTCAAGACAACTGATTGCTCGGAAAGGACTGGGGAAAGCCCGTCATCTCGACGTTGATCTGTTATGGATCCAGAGTATCCCGAGGTTGATCATCAAAGCGATCAAAGGCAAGGACAACCCAGCTGATCTGGGAACAAAGAGTCTAAGCAAAGACAAGATCCGGAAGTACATGACAAGCCTCGGATATGTAGGAGAGTTTGTGGACCAAGAAGAAGTTGAAAGGAATGTACAAGTGCGAAGAACGAACGGCAATGGCCGAAGCGGCAATGGCCGAAGAATGAATGATGAGCGATTGGCGAAGATCATACAAGCTGTAACGATGGCTGTGTTGATAGGAATGGGAGAAGCCAAGAAAGCCAAGGAAGAAGACCAAGGACTGGGAATAGTCATGTGTATCATGATTGGTTGTGTGACATGCATGGTCTGTTGCACAGTTTATCCCGCAGCCGTTTTCTTGCTCAAACGAGTAGGAAAAGAGGAAAAGAAGAAAGGAAGGAGAACGATGGAAGAAGAGAAGACCCACGAACAAATGATGGAAGAAAAAGTGGAAGAGCTGAAGGAGATGAAGACAGGAGCCGAGGAGCGAAGGAAGAAGTTACTGGAGAATGCTCCAAAAGAAGAGGAACAGGCTGAAGAGCCAAAGGAAGAGGCCAAAGAAGAACTGAAGGAGGAGAAGAAAGAGAAGAAAGAAAAGAAGAAGGAGAAGGATTCGTCGTGCAGTGATTCTGCAAGCGAGTCATCTTCAAGCGAGTCAAGTTCGAGCGACGAGAAAAAGGAGAAGAAAGCAGAAAAGGACCAGAAAGAAGACAAGGACCAGGAAGAAGTCAAGAACCAGGAAGAAGTCAAGAACCAGGAAGAAGTCAAGAACCAGGAAGAAGTCAAGAACCAGGAAGAAGTCAAGGACCAGGAAGAAGTCAAGGACCAGGAAGAAGCGCCTGAGAAGGAAGGAAAAAAGGAGGAAGAAGCCGAAAAGGCCGACGATGATGAAAGATACGTCCTCCTGGCAAAGGAAGGCCTATGGCCAACGATCTTAAGCTCAATGCAGCTGGACGAAAAGGGAGCAAAGATGCTCGAAGCGACAGGGATCGATGGCGACGCCCTAAGGTCCGAAGCGACGCAGAGAATGTTCCAAGAGTTCAAGGAGACGATGGAGAGTCCAGTCGTGAAGATTCCAACGGGATATGGAACAAGGGTGCAACAATGGTTGGCAGCCCTGAAGGAGCAGGAAGAAGATGAGAAGGACTCGGACGAGTTGATGTACGAAGATGTCGTCAATGCAGAAAAGGAAGCGGAAGATGCCGAACGGGCATATGGCGAAAAGTACCGCGAGGTTGAGAAGATGATGGAAGAGTGCAAAAGCCTTAAGTCCACGATGCAGAAGAAGAAGAAGGAAGCTGAAGGACATTTGGCGGAGTACAATGAGTTCAAGCACTCGAGAAGAATGCTGAGCGTGGTAAGGATGCTTGTAGAGACAAGTGAAGAAGTGATGAAGTGTTTGGTGGAAGCATCACCAGACTACGGTCGGATTTTCGAAGAAAGACCGAGAGTGTCCTTACTCGAGCGAATGCGCAAAAGGAAATTGGCCGAAGGAGCCAGCGAGGCAGAGTCAATGGCTGCAGGCTCGGAAAGGCAAGTGAAGACAAAGGCAATGCCAAAGCCGTTGAAGATGCGCAAGGAGATGGCAGAAGTTGTGCACGTTGATGATGCCATCGAAGAGAAGAAGGATGAAGGTGAAGGAAAGGAGAAAAAGAGAGAGGAAGACCTGAGCAAGGTCAACCCAAGGTGGCTTTTGAAGTCAAGTGAAAGGAGCACCCGAAGCGAAAAGGAGACGGGAACGCGCCAGCCCGGATGCTTTTTCTGTAAGGGATCGCATCGTGCGATCAAGTGCCAAGAGATGCTGGATTTGGCAAAGGAGATCACGGGAAAAGTCCCAAGTCTCGATTGGCGAGAGAAGGAGAAGCGTGGTCTGTGGTGCAAGTGGTGCTGGTACACAACAAAGAACCCGTCTGAGCATACGGGGTGGGGAAGCCACACCCACCAAAGGTGCTGGTACCAGAAGCAAGGCCAAGAAGTTGAGGCCAAAGTCAAAGCTGAGAAGGAAAAGGCAGGAGCGAAGGAAGTTAATGATGAAGTCCAGAAGATGGTAGATATGAGCGAGAGACCTGCCGAGCCAAAGGGAATGCCACCGAATCCCCAATGGGGGTTGGAGACGCTCAAGAAGAGAAAGGAGCCAGAAACGCCAGGACCAACCGTCGAAGAAGTCCAGACGAGCGATGAAGAAGCGAAGAAGAAACAAGCAAAGGAGAACATCAAGAAGATCAAGAGAGAAGAAAGGAGAAAGGAACGTGAAGAGAGAAAGAAGGCAAAGAAAGAAGAGAAGAAGGCAAAGAAGGAAGAAAGGAAAAAGGCCAAAGGAAGCGAGGCCAAGGAGCCGACAGCCGAGATCGACAAAGAGGATCTGTAAGCGCTGAAGATCTGAGAAGGATGAGGGCGAAAGCCCAGGATTCTGAGGGCAATGGCCCAAATACCGCATTTTGCGAAGACCGAAAGGTAGAAATCAGTTTCACAAACAATTCGTTTCACCAAGCCAATGGCGAAAATGGAAGGTGCTTTGAAAAGCAAAGAGACAATGCAAAAGCCGCTTGTGAGAAAGGCGTGCAGTGGTCTCGTGTTTCAAAAGAAGATACGAAGAATTGGTATGATGGTTTTGTTGCAAGCCACGGAGCACCACGAACGAAAGCACAAGTTTCAAAGAAACGAAATGCTGAGTTACTGCTGGACTACGACGAGCTCGACACTGGCGAGAAAAAGTGAGTGCAAGCAGTAGAATCGATTTGGTGCACGTAGAGTTGCAGTTGCACAGAAGTGTTTCAATTTGCTCCAGGAGCCAAAGAAGAAAGAAGAAGCTTTACCCGAAGGGGTATGAGAAAAAGGAAGGATGGGCTCAACGGAGCATGAGAGAAAAGTGAGAAGGTGTTTGAAAATCGTTTCACTCAACGAGTTTCAAAGAGGGCGTAACAAACATTTCACTTTTCATGCCCGACTGTATATAGGCTCAAGCACCGCCCCTCGTGGAGCGCCGCGAGTAGAGAAAAGTGCGAGGAGAACTTGTGTTCTAGGAAAGGTTAAGAGTAGCCTTTAAACTTTTAGGAGAGGAGCGATTGGTGGGGCTCGGTGGAGCTTAGCAGCAGCGAGAGGTGCCACCCTCTAGTGAGAGGCTGAGGCAATGACCTCATAGGCTTGAGGTCCCACCCTCAGTAGTGGCACTAGTAGCAGAAGGCTTTACCTGTACAGTTAGCCTCTGCTGCTCAAGATAGTGTAGTGGTACTTAGCAGTACGGACTCCGGTCCCAAACACCAAGACGGTGGACTCGCAAACCAAGCTCAACTCGGAAAAAAAAATTGAATTTAAGTTCAATCTTGAAAGGAGACAAGACTGTTTTTATTTCTTGAATGTGGAGTGGGAGGAAGGGAAAAGAGAAAAGGGATTTATTTTAAATTCCACCACCCTCAAATCTTTTTTTTTGTATTTCATCTTTCGAAAAATCAGAGGAGAAGAGAGAAGGGAATTTATTCTAAATTCCACCCCTCGAATCTTGTTTTGGTTTTTTGTCTTTTATTTATTTGAAAAATCAGAGGAGTACAAGCGAAAACTTTTTTTGTTTCTAAATGTAAAGAGCGGGGGGGTTAGAGGGGGCGCAGCTCCCCCCATTTTGCCTGTTGTGGAGTGGGAAGGGGAGAAGAGAGAAGGGTTAGCCCTACTTGAATGCAGATGTGAAGCTGCCGCGGACTCTGTTTTCCCCAAGGGTAAGATATACCAAGGCGAAGATGTGATCGCCCCGGGCGGGCGGGCTGGGTGAAATCTTGCATTTCTGAGCCGCTGGCAGGCTGAGGAGATAAAGCTCAAGTGCCCGAGCTAACTTATGCTAAAATCCTTTAGCACTGCATTAGCCCTACTTGAATGCAGATGTGAAGCTGCCGCGGACTCTGTTTTCCCCAAGGGTAAGATATACCAAGGCGAAGATATGATCGCCCTTGGGACCCTTGGTGTATATGGAAGAAGGGGGAAAACAGAACGAGAGGAGATCTATGATTCATCTTCTGACAGTTCCAAAAGCTGGAAGGCCAATGTGGCTGCTTGCTGCTCATCTTGCGTGGCGTAGCGCGACGCTGATGCCGGCGTACTCCAATCTCCCATCCTCAGCATTCCAGGGAGCCCATATGCTGCCGAAGCATGCCACGACGACCCTGCCAGGAGCGCGCAAGCCACTGGAGATGCATGTAAAACATCTGTGCCTGCGCCTCTTCTGAAGCTATGAGAGGAAACCTTATGTGCTTCTTCTGCCGACGTTCCGCAAGTGACCAAGCTACTGCGCAGCCGTGAGGTGAAAGTAGCCACTGACATGGTAACAAGCAGCTTTTCTTGTGGCCAAGCAGGACCTCGTAGTTCATGTAGGGCTGCAAGCCATGGATGCCAGCACAGCAAGGGCGACCGGCTACAAACACACCAGCGTCGCAAGGTACAAGGGTGGGGCTTACCATTGCGGTAAATGTTGGAGTACACTAAACGTCGATCTCCTACACTTAGTCTGGACCAAGACAACTGCTTAAAGATCTCTGACGGAACCCTTGCAGCAAAGGTGTATGCCAAATTGCAAATGGCACCGATCTCCACGTCCCGGTTCCCCGCTGCTAGCTTGAGAAGCTTGCGCCACCAGTGCAACTGCAAGCGTGGCTTCGGAGGCGCCTCTGGAGCTAAGCGTACAGTTCCCTTACGTAGCTTTTTGAGGAACAAATCCGCATCCCCTGCCCACGGAACACGTTCCCGTACATGCCAGTCTCTCCAAGCTGCCAGCGCTGGCGAAGAGTACGACACGCCCAATGTATCATGCGAATATGGGAGGCGTAGGTGGTCGAAGTTGTTTTAGCCACTGCCGCTTGAGCCCTTGCTGACGCAATCGAATCCAAGATCTGACCCACCGGAAATTTTCTGCGAGCCAAGTCTTCCAGTAGAACGATCTCTTGTGTCGGGGTCGGTCCTGCCTGACTGCGGTTTCGGGGAGGAAGCATATACCGACAGCCTGGTGCAACTCTGAAGGTTCTGCGCACGCCAGTCTGAAAGCATTTGCCGCACTCGACGTTACATCACTGGCGGACGCAGCTTTCGAACTGGAGGACTCTGAGTGCACCTTTGTGTTGTGTAACTGCCGCCTCTGTTCCGGATCTGCCACCGAAGCTTGCTGAAGCTTCCGTCGCTTCCATGGAAGTTCCCCTCTAGGCACAACATACATGCATGCCGTCAAAGGAAGCGCTACAAAATGCCAAAATCTCTTAGACAAACCACACATATGTATATATATATATATATATATATATGTATGTCTCATGTCATGTAACATGCCCCCATACACATGGATGTATATTTGGCAGCGCTGGGACCTACCAACACGAGGCCTGATTGTTGTATCGGGCAGCCTCAAGTCAGCCTGAGGCTAGCACGCTTACAAATCTTCAGAGTTTGCCTGGGTTGGTCAAAGCAGAGCGGCAGCCAGCAACTTTCCGCCAGCAACTTGGGTTTCGGATTAAGGGACGAGCAAGAACCCCTGAAGTCCCCCAACTCCAAACCAGAACTGTCAAACTCCTCAAGCCGCAAGACAACCTCCCAAGGCACCCAAGCCGCGCAAGCAGATTGCTCCGAACGCAGCAGAAACTCAAAGAGAGGAGACCCCGCAATACCAGAAGCGAAGCCAAACCCCCCCCAACCAAACAAAAGAAACACACACCCACACACACACACAGAGACACGGACACAGACGCCTTTCCTCGGACAGCAGCAGCTCCCCTGTCAGCGTTGGCCCTGGTGGCGACGCTTGCGACTTGCTTGAGAAGCCCAGTCCCTTGAAGGAGCCTGACGGACCGCGTGGTCGGATGACGCCAGCGGAGGAGAACCATCTGCTACGCTTGCCTGTAGGCGGCCATGGCCCGCAGCGGTTGCTGCACCAGTTGCGCAAGGTTGCACGGGACGCGGTCCCGGAGCCGCGTGGCTGACAGAGGCATCTGCTTGGACCCAGGAACTCTGTAAGAATTCCAAGAAGAAATTAGCAGTGAAAGCCGGAGGCAGAACTGCTGCGACTTGTGAAGCGTGGAGCTGCTCCAAGATTGCATGATGCTTTCGGCTGGGACCATCAGCTATGTTGAGTTCCGAAGGAACGCGCCCCACCCATGCTGAGCATTTGACCCGCCTGACTGCCTGCCAGAACAGCCCTGCTAGGACTGTAAGGTGCGGCGACGAACTGTACGCCTTGACCAAGACACCTTCCGCAGCAGCCGGTCCGACCAGGTGAGCAATGCCACCACAGCTGCTAAGGCCTCGGCCTCATTTATGCAGTGACCCGACAGCCAAGGCAACAGGTTAGGCTTCCTTCACGCGTGCGTGATTGTGCTTTATCGTTAGCTTAAACGAATGCGGGCAACGTTTGCCTAACAAGTTGTTAAGTCGGGAGACGGGGGAAACGTCAGCCCATGCAGTCGCTTGAAGCTCGAAGCGTAGCTTCCTGGTTTTTCTGTAGCGTGGCAGTTGCCTTAGCCTTGCGAGCCATGGGGCCTATAAGAAGGAGGTTCAAGCCATTGAGGAGGTGAACGCAGCGTCTGCGCCAGCGTCTGCGTCAGATGCTCAGGCAACCGGGGCGGCGTCCGTCCGAAAACAAAGACACGGCCCCCCAGCCTCCCGTTGCTGCTGCGCCGGACGTTTCCGGGCAGGCGGCTAAAGAAGAGGCGTCCTCTTCGGACGATGCCTCGGATGATACTGAGCCGGCGGATGCCCCGGCCGAGCCCTCCGACGTTCGGAAGGAGGCCGCCGCTGCTGCGGCCAAAGCTAAGGGCCGTGCCCTTTCAAAGCGGCGTGCGCGTAGCAGCAAGCGCAGCCCTTCGTACGCGTACACGTACGAGAGCTACAGCCCTGACGACCAGGCGGAAACGAGGGCCGTGCCCCCGTCCCCCGACTCTGGGGAAACCGCCCGCCCTGAGCGCGACGATCGCGCGCGGCCTGCTCGTAAGCAGCCACGCGTTTTTGTCGACGCCCGACGTCCCGGTCTGTTCAGGGGAGCGACGGCGGAGGTCACTCAGCCCGACCTGGGGCACAGGGCCGTGCCGCACCCCCGCGTCGGGCTGACCCTGCCGGACGCCGTACGTCCGGTGCCGATGGCCCGGTGAGAGCCATGATGTGTGATAGCGGCTGCGGAGTGCCGCTTGAGCCCGACTCCATCCACGCCTTCACCTGCAGCGTCTGCAGGTGGCAGTGGGACGGCGTCGTACGCCGAGGGGGCAGGGTCCAGAAGCACTGGTACTGCCCCAGCTGCAGAGACAGGCGCACGCGCGTCGTACGCGCTGAAAGCGCTCGCCTTTACCCGGTCGTACCAGGGTTTGGCGGTTTCGACCGCAGATAGGCCCGGCGTCGTACGCCCTCGGTGTGTCCCCTGGAGTGTGGGGGGTGGTTTTGGAGTTTTTGAGTTTGTGGTCTAGAACGGCGGCCGTGCCGCTCCAAAATTCCAGACCGACTGAGTGTGCGCAGTGAAAAAGACAGCTCCTTGGGTCAAGGGGCTGTAGTTGCTGCCGTGTGAGTTTTAGCGTTGTGGGCCCCCGCGTTGGGATTTCATGCCCCCGCCGGTAAGTACCGGTCCAGTTGGTAAATGGCCGGAGTGGCCGCCCCGGGATTGCTAGTAGCATCCCCCTGTCGTCCGGCCGTTGCCGGAGCACTGGAGGAAGTCTCCTTGTACATGCGTGCGCATGAGCAGCTGTTAAGTTTCAAGTGCGCCCGATCATCCGCTCGATATCTGCTCCAGGCCGGGGTGGTCTTGCGAAGTGCATTTTCTTTGGGAGCGAGGGCTGCGTGTTGTGCCCAGTGTGTTGGAATGGCTCGCAGCCTCCAGATGTTTTCCGATCGAGCCGATAGAGCCTGGGCCAGGCTGCCCAGTCAGTCTGTACAGCTCCCTTGGGAGGTCAGTTTCCAGTCGTGTTTGGAGCTTCCCCTCTCCCTCAATTTTGAGCGCCCCGCAAGAGTCCGAGTGCCGGAGAGGAGCGTGGTCCCCGTAGAGACCAAGAAGCCGCGCGTCGACGGCCAGTCGGTGCTGTCAGTGGCAGTGAAGGTCTCCGCCAAACCTTGGCACGAAGATGACCGACGTGGAGCAGCGCTGTTCCAGCTCCAGGCCATCGTGGAAGGATGGCAGGATGCGTTTGGTATTGTCGCGCTCTGCCGTGCAGACGCCAATGGCACGCTGGACTTGGACGAGCTGTCGTACAGCATAGCCAGCGCCTGTGCGCATAATAAGGCCACCGGAACAATAGTCCGCAGACTTTCTTCCCTTAACCATTTCGTAACGTGGGCCGACTCCGTTCAAGCTTCGCCCTTCCCAGTGACGGAGAGAGTCTCCTGGATGTACCTCACCCACTTGGACCGTTCCGAGGCGCCGTGGTCGAAACCCGGCGGGTTCACTCAGTGCGTCAACTGGTGTCGAGGCGTCCTCGGTCTGAAAGTCGAGGACTACATGACCTCGAGCCCTCGCATTGTGGGCCTTTGCAAAGGCTTCGAGGCCAAGGCTCCTCCGCCCCGCCGGGCGCCTGCTCTGGCTGTGGAAGAAGTCAAGTTCCTCGAGGGTGCCGCGGCCTTCGCTGACAATGCTCCCGACTGCGTCATTGCGGGTGCGCTATTGTTTATGATGTTCAGCTGCGCCAGAGCCAGCGATGCGGCTAGGATGGTAACTCTTGAGGTCGACTTTTCCGACCCAGACGAGTCCACCGTGTGGATAGAGGGCTCCGTCTCCAGGAGCAAGACGGCCATGGGGGCCAGAGCACGCCTGTTGTTACCACTTCTGGCGCCGTGCGTTTAGCTGGAGACTCCGTGGATCCCACAGTGGCTGGAGGCGCGGGTCTCCCTCGGCCTTTCGGTCAAAGGCGCTATCGATAAGGGTTCTCTGATCCCGCATTTCGGGGAAGATGGCGTCCCCACCGGAAACGCCGTGTCTTCGCAGCAGATCACTAAGTGGTTGCGCGGCATTCTGGCAGAGGTCTCCCCGGACTCTTCCCGTCTCTCCAGCCACAGCCTGAAGGCCACGGGCCTGACGTGGGCCGCGTCGGCCGGTGTCGCCCTAGACACGCGGCGCTTGTTAGCACACCATGTGCATGACAGTCCGCGTAGCACGGAGACCTACAGCCGAGACGTTCTCGCGCCGGCGGCGCGCGTTTTCGAGGAAGTCCTCCTCGCCATCCGTGATGGCGACTTCGTGCCTGACAACCCTCGTGGGAGTCAAATTAGGACTAGACAGCGTGTTTTGGCCTTCAACAAACCAGATCCAGTCGTGCCGGAGGGAGCTCTGCGTCGGAGTTCGAATGTTCCTCCCGACCTGGACAACGAGGTCTCAGCAGCTGCGTCGGCCGAGCAGCCGGCGCCCGAGCACATGACTGATACCACAGATAGCGAGTCGGACCGACTCAGTGAGGAGGACATGCCGACAGATCCCCCTTTGCCCGGGAACCGTGCCCGCCGCGAGGCAGTGGCAGCTCTGCCACCGTGGTGCCAGTCCTTCATGCACGCTGTCAGTGGCTGCCTCCACGTTCAAGGGGTCGAGATGCGAAATCGTCTTCTTTGTGGGCGGACGTTGTCTGACAGGTACGTTACCAGCGACGTTGTTGAACTCGAAGAGGGTCGTCCCCATTGCAAGCAGTGCTGGACCCACTCAAGCTTGCAGGACTAGAGGAAAAAGGAGGCTTTTTGACCTAGTCCCGGGACCCCCCTCCCCCCCTTTGAAATCTTTGTGCGTGTCCCCTTCCCCTGTCAGGCCATGGTTTGCCTGGTTGACAGCAAGGCCGAGTTTAAAAGCAGAGCCGAAGACTTGCTCGGGAGCGACCCCTTCAAAAATCTGGTGAAGGAGAACGTGGAGTCCTTTGCCGCCCTTGCGTTCTCTGTGGCCGATCAGCCCAACCATATTGACGATAGCAAGCTGGAAGATCTGGCGAAAAAGATCTTTCCGGCGCCCGGGCCCACGTTGGGCCACGCAGGAGCTTTGCGACGTCTCGCCTTGAAGGCTTGGCCTTCAGCCTGCAGGATTTGAAGGATCGGGGCGACCCCGAGGCGTCCAGCAAGAAGCACTTGCCCAGCCACGAGAGAGAACACAAGAGGAAAGAGCAAGTTGCTCGCCTCACTGGGGTCCTCCTGGAAGGTGACTTGGAGCCCTCTAACGGTCTCGTAGACCGCGCGGCGGCTATGTTGCACGACGGCCTCGTGCGTTACATTCCGCCGTCCGCATGCGTGAGTCGCGATGCAGAGGTCGCCGCCGTGCGGCGGGACAAGGAGTTCTTTGCCATCGAGAATGGCGAGCTTACCCTGAAGAAGAAGGACAATGTGTTCAATGCGGACGTAGCAACCGACTTCAAGCTGCAGCAGGCTTTCACCAGGAGAGGTGTGGCCCTAGACCGCGTCGGTCTGGTCTCCTTCACGAGCGTCTCGTGCGAAACTACTTCTTCCTGGCGAGCCGGGGCTACGCCAAGCCCGGTGTAGGCGCAATTATCAAGGCCGACAAAGAGCTCTGGACGCTGTTGTCCCGAGAGTGTCGTGACGGGTGCAAGCCCAACGCAGCAGGCGTGGCTCCTTTGGACGCCCTAATTGCAGCCAAGCAGAACGATACGTGCGTCACGTTTAGCCTCTTCCCCCTGCCACAGGCAGATGGCCGGGGCCGCGAGTGGACGAAGGGCAGAGGCGCTGGCAAAGGAGGGAAGGGCCGTGACCCTAAAGGATTTGGCAGGAGTCGCACCCCAAAAGGCCGGGGCAGGGGAGGGGTAAAGGGAAGCCTTCCGCGCCTACCCTCCCGACCGAAAAGAAGCCGCCGATGCCTAAGGAACTGCGCCCCTTTTCAGCCGCATGACGATCACGGCAGACGTCACTGCAATGGATTCAACCTGGAGGAGGGCTGTGACCTCCCGGCGTCCGGGAATCCTCCTGAGTGCGACCGCGGACTGCATGTTTGCATGTCCTGCGGGTCCAAGGACCACGGGGCAGGGAACTGCCCGGCAAACAAGAAGCGTGAGTGACTATCCCAGCCGGTAGTCGAAATGAGCGAGGCCTCGTCAGGCCCGGGTCAGCCGCCCGCTCCCACCCCTCCTTCCCCCCCTGAAAAGGGAGGGCCGCGTTGCGATGATGTTACGGGCCGTGCCCGTTGTGAGGACGTTCCACCTCCACTTGTAAGGTCAGCGTCCTCGCCTGTGGACTGCCAGCCCGGCAACAGCGATAGGGGCGTCCCTTTGTTTGTGGAAGTCTTCTGCGGCTTGGGGCGTTTGAGTAAAGCCGCAAAGGATTTAGGCTTCCACACCGTGAGCATTGACAAAGTTTGCAAGGCTCAAGGTGTTAAGGTCCTGCAATTGGACCTCTCCAGGAAAGAAGGGCGTTCCCTTCTCAAAGATGTCCTGGACCGGCCAGGCCTAGTGTGGGTTCACTGGGCCCCGCCATGCGGAACGTTCAGTCGCGCCAGGGAAATTCGCCATCCGGGGGGACCAAAGCCGCTGAGGAATAGAGATTTCGTAAAGGGGCTGCCGTCCCTTAAGGATTTTCGTGACAGGGCACGCGTTCGTGCCGCGAACAGCCTCGTAGAGCTGATGTCCTCCTGGTGCAGACACTTGTCCGCAAAAGGGGTCTGCTGGAGTATTGAAAATCCCACTAATAGCTTGATTTGGCTTTTCCCTGGTTTGAGTGGGCTCGTGGCCAACTCTCACGTTGTCACGCTGCATGCGTGCATGTTTGGGAGTACCCGGCGGAAGAGCACCAAGTTGGTGTCGAACCGCTCTTGGTTTCGTCGGACAGCCGTGCTGTGCTCTGGAGACCATGCCCATGAGTCATGGGGTCAGGTCACGCATCAAGGGGAGCGTGTTTGGTCGACCTCTCTTGAGAGTGCCTACACGCCCCAGCTAGCCAAAGCGTGGGCGTCCTGCGCCGGGGCGGCTGTCAAGGACGTCCTGGAAAGAGCCCCCGTGGGGCGGAAGCGTGCATTCAAGGCGCTGTGCGAGCCGGACTTCACTGTCAAGGTCACACTAAAGGGCGACGATGCCGCACGCTTCTTCAGCTTTTTTCCGCCCTGCAAGATTCCGCGCAACTGGGACCACTGGCCTAAAGGGTCAAAGCTCCTGGAGATCGACCGCGAGGGTGCGACCGCGTCGGTCGCCATCCCTTGCTCGCCGGAAGCCTGGTGCAGACAGGCCTTAGAGCTACCAAGCCCGCGTAGGGCGCGCTGTGTCCTCCCTCCCGAGATGCTCGTAGCTCTCGCGGCCGATGCCGCCGAGGACACCATTAAGCTTGCAAAGTCACGTACGGAGGCGTCCCGTGACCTCCTTCGAGTTTGTAAGGGTTCCGTGAGCCGGGAGACGGCCCTCCGTGAAGGTCTCGACCCCGAAGTCAACCACGTCACTTCCAGCAAGATGTCTGTGGCTCTGGAACTCTTGTTGCGCGAAGTGGGTCACGTCGACCCGGACGTCGCGGAGTCCGTTAGGCTAGGCTTTCCCCTCGTGAATTGGCTCCCCGTTACGGGGTTGTGGGATGCCGACGTTCGGCCCCCCGAACTTACGGCCTCCGGTCTCCAACGAATGTCCGAAGAAATTTCTCGACGGTGCGTAAACGGTCTCTGCCGGTACCGTGACCGAGCGACTGAGCGTGCTGTCTGGGCCGAGAAGAACAGGCCAGTGGGTGGCTGTCTTTCTGCAGCCGCGAAGACCTTTCCGCTCTGGCGGTAGTTTCTCCCAGGTTTGGAGTCTTCCAGAAAAATAAAGTGAGGCCTATCGACAACTTTAAAGCCAGCCTGGTCAACTCAGCCTGTGGTGTGCAGGAGAAGGTTCAGATGATGGACGGGATCGACGAGATAGTCGAGGCCTGTCTGTCCTGGCTTCGTTTTCGTCTGCCGGGGAGCCCCCCTGAGCGCATCCTCGGTCGTACCTGGGATCTAAAGAGCGCTTATAAGCAGCTCGCCGTGCGAGCCGACCACAAGCACTTCGCCATCATTTGCGTCATGGACCCTGAGGCAGACGTTGTCCAATACTGCCGCTTGCACAGCCTGCCCTTTGGGGCAGTTGCAGCCGTGCATGCTTTCCTGCGGTGCAGCGAAGCATTAAAAGCCATAGCAAGGAAAAAGTTTTTCATAGCTATGACCTCCTTTTTCGATGACTTCACGGTGCTGACGTCTGCAGCAAACGCGGCCCACGTTGAGGTCGTTGTCTCCTCAATGTTCAAGAAACTGGGCTGGCGCGTAGCCACAGAGGAGAAGAAGAATCGCCCCTTCTCCGAGGTTTTCGACGTTCTCGGAGTCCGAGTGGACTTGTCCCAGCAGTCCGTGGGTGTGGTACAGGTCAGCAACACGCCTCAGCGCGTCGCTGAGCTTAAGGATACAGTAGCGGAGATTAAACAGAAGGGTTCACTTACGTTCGAAGAAGCGCAGCGTCTGCGTGGGCGCCTAGTGTTCGCGGAACAACACGTATGGGGGCGTAACGCTAAACAGGCAGTGGTGGCTGTCGGGGACGTTTCCCCGGCCTCCGAAGCCTCGCATCCTCTGACTGACGTCCAGCAGGCAGCTTTGGACTTCATTGAGCAACGCGTCCTGGATGGGCGCCCTCGGTCGTTCTCTATTCAACCGTCCAGAACGTGCCACCTTTGTCACTGTTCCGGAGGGAACGTCCCCACAGTTGCAGCGATATGAAGTATGGCAACAACTCGCACTCGAAAACTAGCTGCTTTTTGCCGACGCGGCCTGCCCACTCTTGCGCCGCGGCAGGGTCTAGGGTGTCTCCCCAAGCTAAAGGCACGCCATCCAGCCATAGGACACCGCCAAAGCCACACGTGGGAAACGAGTTTGACACATCCCACTCGCTCATCGATAACGATGCCGCTAGAGCGTCCCTAGCCCGCAGTTTCACACGGAAAGAAGAGGGCGCAGCGATAGTGTTTCAGGCTGTGGAAGCGGAGGAGCGTCTCAACATCAACGCTTGCTTCTTGAGGGTGCCCACCTCTAGCAACATTGCGGACGGGCCAAGTCGCGGGGTTTTCGACACGATCCTCCGTCTTGGGGGTCGTAGGATCCCCCTGCCGTGCGGGGCGATACGCAGCGCGTTGGGCCTCTCAGGAGCTGTCTAAGGTGGGGTTTCCTTGGCGTTCGAGGCTTTATAAGATGGGGTACGTTACCTCACGCCGGAGAAGTTCTGGCTCCCAGTGCATCAAGCTGCAACGGCAGCCTGAACTGATCCCCACTGTCATCTCCCAAAGAAAAGGTGCTTGCGTTCCGGCAGTTATGCAATTAGGATAAGCTTCCGATAAGCTTCCTTCACGCGTGCGTGATTGTGCTTTATCGTTAGCTTAAACGAATGCGGGCAACGTTTGCCTAACAAGTTGTTAAGTCGGGAGACGGGGGAAACGTCAGCCCATGCAGTCGCTTGAAGCTCGAAGCGTAGCTTCCTGGTTTTTCTGTCCCACCCTCCACTCCCTTTGGTGCTAGTCGTACTAGCCTACGTAAAGTTTAGTTTCGCTTCAAAGAAGCGTCTATCCTGGTGTAGTGTTTGATCTCTGGGGGGGGTACGTTACCTCACGCCGGATAAAGCTCCCCAAGCCACTCCTCCGAGTCCGTAGCTGTTGGCTCTCCCTGCAGCATCCACAAAGATGAGGGCCGCCCTTCGAGCCAGCGTGCCTGGAATATGCACCGGTGCGGGGCCGGAGGCGCACATGAAAATGCTGAAGCCCACTAGAGCAGCTTGCAGCACTCGCCACGAGACTTGTCCGCCGCGAGAAAGTTCCCTAAGAGGCCACGTAAAGGCACGACCTGACTTGCCGAGGGCCAGAGCCGAACAATGGTCCCACTGGCCCACACATTTCCCAGCCACGGCAGCCGATAAGTGACGCTGCGCCAATGTAGACGTGATGACGTCCGAGTACTTCTTGACTTTCTGCTGCGGCATGTCCACGGTGCAAACCAAGCCTAGCTTCCGCTGGTGTTCCGTGGTGTCAAAGCTGAGGAGAGCTCCCAGCGCCACAAACGTTGAAGCACTTCCCGCTGCATCGCGAGGCGGTCTAGCCTTGGTGGCCTTGAGCCTGAAATTCAGAAGCTTGTGCAGCTCGACGAAGGCCTCTCGCGCCGACGCTATTGCATCCTGAGTGTCCACGCCCACCAAATCGTCCACGTGAGGAACGTTGGGGATCAGCAAGAGAACCGCAGCTATGGCTGACACGGCATCCGTGACTCGGCAGAAAACATGCGGGGACCCTCGCGGTCCAAACAAAAGCTTTCGGGGCACATAAATTCTGATGTTCCCCTCCTTGTCCTGGGCCGTTGCGCAGAAGAGCTTTCTACCCAAAGAGGACAGAGGAAGCTGCCGGAATCCGTGCTCGTAATCTTCGGCAAAGCCCCGCAGAGCTGCCCTTTCTTTTTGAAGGCGGCAGCCACTGTTTGGCAAAGCGAGAGGTAGCCATCCAAACCAGCCATGAGAACTTGGTTCGGCAGCAGGACCATCGATGGACCATTGGCTTCTTCCGGATCCAAGCAACCCCTAAGCTTAGATGGTTCTTGAACCCCGAAGTACAACCAACAAGCAAAGTCTCCCAACTCTTGACGCGCCTCTGACCACGAGTAGGACGTCCAAAAGCCTTTGGTGGTCTCCTCCTCGAGTAGCCTGTGAAGCTCCGCGGAGTGGCTGCCAGGCACCTTGAAGCGACCATCCTTCTGCTTAACAGCATGCTTGTCCAAGAGACGCTGGAGATCTCGAACATGAGCTGCATCATCCCAAGCAGGAGGTTCCGGGCGTTGTGGCCATTGTGGCACTGCTGGCAGTCGTCCCAACAAGCGGAATCCATCTGGCTGCTGCGCATCTTCGGCCAAAGCCTTATCTGGATGGCCTGCCACTTCTGCCAAACGCTGTAACACTCCCCAACGAGGCTGTGTTGAAGGACCATCCGCCGCCACAACGCGACGAATACGCGCCATCTGCGTATGCCGCAATTTCTGCGGCGGACAGCGTAGCCCTTTGCCAAATCCCTGCAGTCACAGTGCTGGACAAGTCTCGGAAAGGTTGGCGCAGGGGGCTGCTGAATTGAATAACCTCGGAAACGAAATCTTCCCAGGAGGACATGTAGCGAGACTTGTCCGCCAGGATCCTCTCATCCAGAAAATCACCTTGACAAAACCCTTTGTGGGACATGATGCCGAGGATACGCGGAGTGAGAGAACTGGCGGGCGGAAGCCGTGCGTCCGAAGAAAATGCCGTGAGCAAGCTTTGCTGAACTTCTTTGCTGCTGCCAGACTGTAAAGTGGCTGGGTTCTCTGCTTCGCCGAGAGCCCCGTCAAAACTGCGGCGACCAAGTGTCGCCGGAAGGCACCTTTGAACCTGGTCTTGGCGTCGCTCTTCAACCGGTGCCCAATCGAAGGAGCCGCCTTTGTCCTACTTCTTGCCACGGGAAGACGTCGGAGTTGCTGGCGTCCTCTGCTCCGGCGAAACCCTAGCAGCGTTCTGGTCACCACGGTCACGCCTGCGTGAACGACTTCTTGAACGTCTTCGAGGAGACCGCGAGCGGGCCTTGTGAGAACGGCCCTCCTCTCTGACCACCATCTCCATGGGCACTCGTAGGGAAGCCAGGTGACGAGCCAAGTAGCCGGGCTTATTCTGGCAGATCTTGCCTTGACAGAAAGGACACGTGTGGTTGAAGCCGCATGTTTTCCGCCCATAACCGCTGCAGAAGTTGGGCTTGACTGCGTGTCTCAAGCAATGATCAGTAAGAGAAGGTTTGCGAGCCTGTGGAGCTGAAGGAGCTTTTGCACCACCCTCCTCAAGACAAACAGAATCCTTGGCTTCCGAAAAGACGCCGGGGTCGCGTCGCAGGAAAACCTGCATAGCCTCCTCAAACGGCTTCGTGTCCACTTCTGGGTTCAAGGGAACATTCAAAGAGGATCCGTGAAGGAGCTCCCGAATCTTGATGCTGTACAGCGCCGCCAATTTCTCCGCCTGCTTGTCATCGCCTGGAGTTTCACTGGCAATTTGAAGCGCCAAGCCCAACTCGCTGAACAACGCTGCCGGGGACATACGCTGCATCAAGAGGAGAGCGATGCCGGACCGAAGAATTTGCCAAAGCTGCTTGGCAAAGGCCCGTGGACCTTCATGATCTAACAGCTGTTTGCGGTCAGGTTGTGGGAAGTGCCCGACTTGAGCAGCCGAAGAGACTTTTCTGAGCAAATCCGCATCTGGAAGCAAGGACGGAGCAAACATGCCGAGTTCGAGGCGTTGGGCAAGCTCACCCACGGTTTGCTTATGTTTCAGTCGCTCGGCTTCCTCAGCAACCGGATCTGACATTCCAGCAACTCGCAGCGCCGTCTTCAAAAGCAAATCCGAGTCCGTGGACTGGGAAGCTTCTTGAGAGGTGAACGGCGAGGACATATTCAAGAATCTCTTGAAAGCTGCTTTAGCCCTCAATGTTGTGTCCCCAGGAAGGCCACTGAAGAACTCGTCCGTGCCCAAGGCTTGTATGTCAAGCAACACCGGGTTCACATCTTCTTGGCTCATGTCATAGCCAAGCTTTACCAGTGTGGAACGCACAAGTTCCAAGTCAGGATCCAACTCGCCAAAGAAGCTGCTTAGCGTGTTTTCCCCAATGCCAACTGTCTGTGCCACGGCCACGTTCGGCGCAGGCGGGCAAGCAGTCCCAGCCGCGAGAGTTGCCAAGCGTTCTGCTGCGTTTAACATGGCAGAAGAACTGGGAACCCAGCTAACAGTCTTGCTAGAACGTTGAAGTTGAAATGGAGAAACGTTGTTGCTTTCTGCGCCGCAGGCAGGCTTGAATGTTGAATGAAATCTTGCCTGAAATCTTGCATTTCTGAGCCGCTGGCAGGCTGAGGAGATAAAGCTCAAGTGCCCGAGCTAACTTATGCTAAAATCCTTTAGCATTGCAACTTTAATCTAAATTCCACCCCCCTCAAATCTTGTTTTGTTTTTGTATTTCATTGTTCGAAATTCAGAGGAGTAGACATTAGAAGTAAAGAGCGGGGGGGTTGGGGGGGGCGCAGCCCCCCCCATTTACCTCTTGTAAAGTGGGAGGAAGGGGAGAAGAGAGAAGGGATATATTTTAAATTATATAGAGACGAGGCAGTTGGAGGAAGGGAGAAGAGAGAATGTGGAGTTGGAGGAAGGGAGAAGAGAGAAGGGAATGTATTCTAAATTCCATCCCCTCGGATCTTTTTTGTTTTTTGTATTTCATCTTTCGAAGAATCAGAGGAGAAGAGAGAAGGGAATTTATTCTAAATTCCACCCCCCTCGAATCTTCTTTTGTTTTTTGCATTTCTTTATTCGAAAAATCAGAGGAGTAGTGACGAGACGGTTTTTGTTTATAGAAGTAGACTTTATTTTAAATCACAGACGAGGGAGTGGGAGGAAGGGAGAAGCGAGAATGCGGAGTGGGAGGAAGGGAGAAGAGAGAAGGGAATGTATTCTAAATTCCACCCCCTCAATTTCTTGTCCTTCGAAGGCCTGTAATTTCTTTTTTAAGATGAGAGAGAAGGGACTTCTTCTAAGTTCCACCCCCCCCGAATCTTGTTTTGTTTTTTGGATCTCATTATTCGAAGCTCAGAGAAGTGATACTCTGAAGATTAGCTTCCTTTAAGAAAAAATGAGAGAGAAGGGCCTTCTTCTAAATTCCACCCCCCCGAATCTTGTTTTGTTTTTTGGATCTCATTCTTCGAAACTCTGGAGATGCCCCGTCTCTCACCTTCGAAGCCTTCGAAGGCCCCCCCCCCCTTCGTCCTCGCCTTCGAAGCCTTCCAAGCCCCCTTCGTCCTCACCCGTCGAAGCCTTCGAAGCCCCCCCCCCCCCTTCGTCCTCGCCTTCGAAGCCTTCGAAGCCCCCTTCGTCCTCACCTTCGAAGCTTCCAAGCCCCGCCCCCCTTCGTCCTCGCCTTCGAGCCTTCGAAGCCCCCTTTGTCCTCACCTTCGAAGCCTTCGAAGCCCTCCCCCCCTTTTTCCTCGCCTCGAAGCCTTCGAAGCCCCCTTCGTCCTCACCTTCGAAGCTGCGAAGCCTTCGCCCTCACCTCCGAAGCCTTCGAAGCCTTCGTCCTCACCCTTCGTAGCCTTCGAAGCCTTCGTCCTTACGTTCGAAGCCTTCGAACCTTCAGCCCCCCCCCTTCCCCCCCCCCCTTCTTCCCCCCCCCCCCCCCCCCCCCCCTCCCCCCCCCCTTCGACCCTTCGACCCTTCGGCTTCAAAGGCTTCGAAGGCTTCGAAGCGAAGGGTAACGGGATGCAGCCCCTTGTTTTGGTTGTTTTTCTTGGTCTTGGATTCTGCTTCTGGTTCGAGGGCATCCTCGCGGGTCGTCATCCCAGTGTCGTAAGTCCTTTTCGCTGTGCGCAGCAAAGCCTTTTCTCTGCTATCTGGACCTTGATGTGGATGGTGCGGTTCTACTCTTGTAAGAGTTGCACTCCTTTTGCCTCACATGTATCCATACCAATCGGCAGCCCTTTGCGGTTCAGAGAAAAGTCTTTCATGGTAGCGGAGCCACGGCTCCAGCTAGAGGCTTGGTTTCACCCGATATCCCGCGTGTCTTGGATCAGCTTGATTGCTGCCCTTCACTTAGCCGTCTGGTTCGCTGCCATTCACTTGGCCGACCCACTGGCCTCAGAACACACTTTTGTCGTAAGTCCCCTTGGAGTTGGGGCAGAACCGGAGTTCGCTTTTTCTGGTGGACTGCACTTTTGCAAAGCAAGCAGTGCCTGTGAAACCTGGTGTGGTGGAGATCTCAGTGCAAGCGGTATCAGTGCAGGCGGGGGTGTTTGGGCCTCTGGCGGTCGCTGGGTTGGATATCGATTCTTCCTGGCGAGTGGTTGGAGCAGGTGGTTCAGGGACTGCCTTGTGGGTGCAATGGAGCCTTCGAGTGGACAGGAGCCTGGAATGGGGAGTGCTGGTCCGAACCAGCCCGTGGATGCAGAGGCAGCAATGCGAAACGAGATTGACAGGATCGTCCGGGGAAGACTTGACCAAGCTTTGGGAAGTGTCTTCTCGAGATTGATTACAACAACGGAGCGAGCTGCTCAGGCAGCAGAATCACAGGCAGTGGCCTCAAAGAGCAATGGTCTCCTGAAGGCCTTGAGGATGCCTGAGTGGAAGCCAAAAGACAGAGAGGAGGAGCTGCGAACATGGAAGGAGTGGCATTTCCAGTTGTGCACTTGGTTGATTGCGAATGACCCCGAGTTCGAGGGCGACATGGAGGACATCACGTGGGACGAAGAGATCGACAGCAGTCTGCTGCCGGATGAGACAGCAAGTCGCAGCCAGCGATTGTTTGGAGCACTTTGCTCCCTGGTCAAAGGCAGGCCTTTGCTTTTGATCAAGGGTCTGGAAAAGGAGAAGAATGGATACGAGGCCTTGAGGAGGCTTCGGCGCGAGATGGAACCGAAGGAGCGCACGCGCTCTTTGGCGATCATGCGTCAGCTTGCGCAGTGGGAGTTCAAGGAGAATGTGGGCCTGCATGAGCAGCTGGTTGCCTATGAGGAGGCACTCAGAGCTTATGAGAGCAGCAGCGGCAAGACCTTCAGCGAGGACCTCATGGTTGCGACAGTGGTCATGGGCCTTAAGGAGCCTTTGAAAAGCCAAGTTCAGCTCAGGATGACCCCGGATACGAAGTACAGCGACTTGCGAGAATGGATTCTCCAGTACGAGAATGTCAACACGCCCTGGAGTTTGAGCCTGAGCACCAGCAGCAAATCCCAAGCAGGAGGACCGCAGCCAATGGATGTGGACCAAGTTTGGGCCAAAGGCTGGGGCAAAGGAGGAAAGAAGGGCAAGAAGGGCAAAGATGACAAAGGCAAGGGAAAAGGAAAATGGGCCAAAGGAGATGGCAAGCAGCAGCAGTGGAGCAAAGGACAGCAGCAAGCCCAGTGGGGTAGAGGCAAAGGCACCGGAGGATGGCAGAAGGGCAAAGGAAACTACAGCAGCAACAGCTGGTGGGAAAACAACCAGCATGGAGGGAAGAGCAATAACAATGGCAACCCGAAGAGCAAGGGCAAAGGAGGAGGACAAAGCAATGTCTGCCACAAGTGTGGCCAGTCCGGCCATTGGAAGAACGAATGCCCTAACAAGGGCAGGGTCAATCAAGTTGAAGATGGAGGTGGTGGAGCCACTTCGTCCGGAGCTTCGTCAGCCTCGACCTCGGCCACAGCCTATAGGACACCGAGCACAGTGCAGCAAGTTCAAGCAATGCCTCTGGGAACACCTCCAGGTTGCAGGGCTGTGGAAATCTTTGACATTTCCGAGGTTGAGTGCGAGAGCGATTTGGGAGAGTTCAGCTTGGACGGTGCCGAGGTGATGATGGTGTCGGCTGTCAGCACCAAGGAATCCGGGAAGGTGATGGAGTTCAGAATGGATAGCACCGATGAAGACAATGAGTGGGTTGTTTGGGAGCCGAGCGTCTTCGACCAGAACTTGTTGGAAACGGAGGTTGAAATCAACATGGTGCAGCACTATGGAAGAGTTCAACCTGGAGGAACCGAAGTGGAGGTTGTAATGGACTCAGGAGCAGATGTTTCGGTGGCTCCGCTCGACTTCGCAGGCCTGGGCGACCCGGCTGGACCTCTGGAAGTATTCATGCGAGATGCTCAAGGCCATGAAATTCAACAACATGCTGCAAGATACTTGAATGTGGAGGTGCAAGATGATGAAGGCAAGTGGGTCACCATCCGGGAGAAGTTCGCCATAGCCAAAGTGAACTCACTCATCATCTCGCTGGGCAAGCTCTGGAGGAGCGGCTGGAGGTTGAGCACAGGAAAGAAGGGTCCAGTGCTGAAACAAGGGGAAAGGATCCTCCCAATGAGATTGAGAAGGAACACCCTGGTCATGACTGCCCTGGTTTCGTCCATTGCCATGTTGGATGTCTCGGCGCTTCCCCCTCAGATCGAGGATGTGATCGAAACGCCAGGGTGGAGCATACTGCCCTCAGGCCTTCCAGTTCTGGTGGCGCACAGAACCAAAGAGATCCCCTTCGAGCAGGCAGTGTGGTCGAGCGACGACTGGGAGTGGGTCGCGGTCTTTGTTCGGCGTGAAGAAGCTGTGCGAGGACCTCGGCGCGGAGATACCTGGGTTCAAGTTTGCGCCATGACGACCTATGACTTTGAGCACTCGCCGAAGGTGATCACGAACATCGAGTCTGAGCTAGCTGGGTTCAGAGATGTGTGTGTGCTTTTCCACGTGGCAGAGCTCAACCGGGATATCTTGACGAATCCCGGGACCCTCTTCGATGAGCCCAAGGAGTTCGATGAGCCCTATGTGCCTGGAGATGTCGGGGGTGGTCTTGGCGATGAGCCAATGGAAGTGCTTGGAGGAGAACGGGACCTTCGAGGACAAGTTCGGCACGCGGATCTTGAAGACGACGAGTTGGATGGTGTGGAACTAAGCATGGAAACCCCCCTCAAGAATCTGAAAGATCTCTGTGACAAGCTCGGGGTGAGCAAGAGTGGGCCAAAAGCTCGTGTTCTTCGGCGACTTCGCGATCACAAGGAGGTGTTGGAGAAGCAGCTCTCCACCGAGGTGGCGAAGCAGATGTTCCGAGAAGGGGAGAGGAATCCTGAACAGTTCAGGGTGCCGGTGCTTCCAAGCAAAGAGCAACAAGACCTACATGCCTTGACACATCACCCTTTCCAGCCCTGGTGTGAAGCATGTGTCATGAGCCGGTCAAGGCAATCCCCTCACGAGAAGCAAACGGAGGAGAAGGGTGACATCGTCGAGAACGAGTACAAGGAGCCAAAGCCTCGCATCCAGATTGACTATTGCTACACCTTCACAAAAGAGCGAGGTGAGGTGGAGCCTGAGGAACCGGAGCCACAGGGAGAGCACCAGCAACCTGATGAAGCCCAGGAAGCCGAGGACTACAGGGACCAATTCGCTTTGAACCTTGTGGGCGCAGAGTCAACGAGTGGATGGGTGGTTGCCATTCCCTTGGTGGCAAAAGGCTCCTCTTCGCTCAAGAAAGTGAGCGAGGCGCTCACAAGGCTTTCCATGCAGGTGGCCGGGGCAACAGAAGTGGTGCTGCAAGGAGATCCTGAGCCAAGCATCAAGCAGGTGCTTGCCGTGTGAAGCTTGGACTGCGCAGCGCCGTCCAGCTAGCCCCTGCGGGCTCTCACGCCTCAAATGGGCAAGCAGAGAAGGCGGTGAGCACAATCCGCCGGAATGCCATGACGTTGAAGTGCTTCCTGGAGGCGCGTATCGGCGCGCGTCTCAGTGGAAAGCATCCTCTCTTCGCCTGGCTGTTGCGCCACGCGGCCTTCCTTTACAACAGGTTCTCCACCACCAGTCGGGGCATCACACCCTTTGAGGTCCTACATGGACGGCGGTACAGAGGACGCCTCCTAGTCTTCGGGGAGAGTTGTATTTTCCACAAGGCCACGAAGTACAAGGGCGACCTCCAGTGGAGAAAAGGCATTTGGGTTGGCGTCAACGAGAAGAACAATGCGCATGTGCTTCTTACGCCAGAAGGAGCTTGTGAGAGCAGGTCGATCCGCCGAGTGCCTGTGGAGAGCCAGTGGTCAGCCGACGAAGTCTTCCAAGTGAAAGGCCTTCCGTGGGACTATGGAGGCAAGGTGCGAAGGAAGAGGGCCATGTACACTTCTCGAGTTCCTCTTCTACCAGACCATGCTTCATTAGAGCAGTTGGCGCGTGCAGCGGGGAAAGCAGCCGCAGAATCCATTGCAGCAGGGACACCAAAGCCTCCTGCCGACGAGCTCGGGACGGATTCCAGCAGCAGTAGCTCAAATCCATCTTCTCCGTCACGGTCATCAAGAAAGAGCCAAGGAATGGAAGGCATAGCAGAGGAGAAAGCACCAACAGCAGAGGAGGAAGCACCAGCAGCACAAGAGGAAGCGTCAGCAGCGATGGACAGCAGCACTAAGGTAACGAGACCGGGGCCTGAAAAGGGACCAGCAAGCAAGCGAGTCAAGCTTCTGCTGGACCGGCCCAAAGGCTCACCGACTGCTGGGAGCGTTGGTGGCTCGCTGTACCCTCCAGGGTTTGCTGGAATCTCCATGGTCCACGGCGACGTCGAAATGGATGAGTATTCGCAGGCAGAGACATGGCTTGATGAAGTGGAGCCAGTCCTGGAGTTCACAGAGAATGCTTGTGAAGAGATGTGGTGGTCTCCTGATGACCCACCGCCGGAACTAAGCCCTGACGAGTTGGCAGCTTTGGACCTTGAGAGCGACAGAACAGAGGTGGAGCGCCTGGTTGCCATGGGCGCACTGAGGCCCCCCAGGGATGGAGAGGACCTGGGGCAATACGAGCAGTTGACTACGAAAGTAGTCAGAGACTGGCGAAAGAGGCCTGGCTGGATTCGCAGATCTCGCCTAGTGGCCAGGAATTTTTCGCTCGTGGACGCCGTGGTCGCAGGAGCTGTTCGCTCCATCAAGTTCTTTGGCAGTGGTGCATGGGCTGATGGCTTGGGCGCAAGCCAGAGGCCTCGAGCTCACCACGCTCGACATCAAGGACGCCTACCTGAATGTGCCGCAGAAGGCACCAGTGGTGATCGAGGTCGACGCGCGACTCTTTGACACCCAGAGCAGTGGCTCTAGGAGGTTTGTGCTTGAGAGGCTGTTGCCAGGCCAGAGGGTTGCAGCCAGTGAGTGGTTCCAGTACATGAAGGGGATGCTTGCGGAGGCGGGGCTCACCGGCTTTGCTAAGGAGCCCACCTTGTTCCGAGATGAGAGGCCTGGCTGTGACACAGGCCTGGTGCTGCATGCTGATGATGGGCTTCTTGCTTCAACACCAGCAGCCCGACAAGCCCTTGAGAAAGTGCTCGCCAAGAAGGTCAAGGTCCAAATCAGCAGCCCACTGAAGGAGGTGGGGGATGAGCTGGAGTTCCTGAAGCGAAGATATGTGAAGCTTGAAGATGGGATAGCAATGTATTCGGGGCAAAAGCATGTTGAGGCTCTCTTGGAAGCAATGGGGCCTGGATTGAAAAGCAGAGACACTCCAGGAGATGCCAGTCTCTTGGAAGCTGATACAAGTGCCGCCCTCGCTCCTGAAAGGGCCAAGCAGTACAAGGAGTGTACTGGCAGGCTCTTGTACCTGAGCCACACGAGGCCGGACATACAGTACAGCACATGTGTCCTTGCAAGTAAGATGAGCTCACCAACCGTTATGGCCTACAAGTGGCTGGCGAAAGTCGCCGGCTACCTCCAGAAGGTTCCCAGTCTTGGCTTCCTGATCAAGCCTTTGCAACAAGCAGCCTGTTTGGAATACAAAGGCTCAGGACCCCTTCAGCACGGAGGCCAGGTCGTCTTGGAATCCGTAACAGATGCTGACTGGGCTGGGTGCAAGCGAACAAGAAAGTCTCGCTCCTCGGTGCATCTGTACCTGGGTGGCAGCTTGATTGCCAGTCACGTTAGAACTCAGAAATCTGTGTCGCTCAGCAGCGGGGAGTCGGAGTTCGTTGCAATGGTGAGTGGGGGCACTGAAGTTGTGTTCATCCGGGAGTGCCTCGACTACTTGATGAAAGGGTTCGCTGAGATTGATGTTGTGCTTCGAAGTGACAGTGCTGCAGCTAGAGGCATCAGCCAGCGAATCGGCTGCGGCAAGGTCAGACACTTGAGCTGTGGCCTGTTGTGGGTCCAAGAGGCCATCAAAGCCAAGGTCTTCCGTGCAAGCCCTGTGTCAGGGCAACGAAACCCCTCTGACCTGGGTACAAAACCTCTGAGCGCGGCCCTCGCGTCCGAGAGCTCCTATGTCGAAGTGGAGCAGTGGACGATGATGGAAATCCATATGGACTTGAGGACCTTGAGAGATCCCAGAGCAAGATGCAAGTGAAAGAAATGATGAAAAGCAGCGGAGTGGGCCTAGTGCATGCGAAGAAAATTCTGCCGATCTTGCTTGTGATGGCCCAAGTGCTTGGGGCTGATGGTGCAGAGGGCTTGGGCCTCGCCGTGACGATGGCGATGATGGAAGATGCTCTTCTGTCTGGAGTGGCTACGATGGCGACTGGCCTGGTAGTAGTGTTGTTTTGGCTTGGGGCTTTGTGGGTCATTTGGTGGATCTACAAGTGGGCCCTCCCAGGCCGACGAGCAACTGTGGACCAGGCCAGCCAAGCAAAAGTGGAAAAGGTGAACTGCTACACCCAAGCGAGCATCGGAATGTCACCAAGCGAGCGGCAGTTCATGAACGAGTGTGTCGACAGATGTAGTTTTCTCACCGAAGCCCTGCATGAAGAACATCGTACTGTAGAGCAATGCGAGGAAGCTTTGATTGAGGTTCGCAATGAGAATAGGGATCTTCGTGCAAGGCTCGCTAGGAGTGAAGGGCTAGGATATGCCCCCGAGTCAATCACAATCGCAACTCACCGGGGCACAGTGTATCATCGTGAAGATTGCGGAGCCCTGGCCAACAGTCGTCATATCGCCAGATACAGGGCCTGTGATATTTGTATTCGGGCCAGGGCAACAGAAATGTAGCGAGAGTTCCTGAGTACAGCACTCAGGAAATCTCGAGGCGGGGTGTAAGAGTTGCACTCCTTTTGCCTCACATGTATCCATACCAATCGGCAGCCCTTTGCGGTTCAGAGAAAAGTCTTTCAACTCTAGATGGTGCGCAAGTCCTGGATGATTTGGGGGTGTTCGTGAGGGTTTTGGCAACCACAGAGACAAGCTTCTTGGCAAAGTGCTTTGCAGAAGATACTATGGGCCTTGACTTGACGAAGCCTTCTTCTTTTCGGAAAGATGCAAGAGACCCTCGTTTTCTTCTTCTGTGCGTGATTGATGCCCCTTGGCAGAGGCCGTAATAGTGTCGAAAGCACTTGTCGAAGGCATCGGCGGCATTGGTTTACACTACCGAACCAAAAACAAAGAACCCGAAGAACCCGAGAACGGGACGATGTTTGCTTCTGGTCCGCCTAGTGTAGGGTGGCCGAAACCATGCCTCATCAGGGCCCCGTTGTTGGCGAGCAGCGCAAGGACTCCTTTCCAGGGAGTTGGATGCTCGGTGTCTTGGAAGTGGCCGCATCGTCGGCGCCGGGTCAACCTTGAGGAAGGGCAGACGGCTGTTGGTGGCGCGCGCTGTGACTCACTGCCTGCGCCCTGTCTCACCAACAACGGAGGAAGCGACAAGCGTCACTGGGTTTCCGACATGGCTGAACGCAAATTACCCAAGATGCCGCCTTGTCTTAATTGTTTCCCGCTGCCCGGCGCCAGCAGGCAGCTAGGTTTGCAGACTGAGCCGATTGCGTGCAGCAATTGTTGGAGCAGCTTGCATGGACATGCGGACTTCGGGGTGTGGGTCAACAGGCTACCGGAACAAGCTCAACTGGGCTTGCTTGGAGTGTGGCATGGTCCTTCCGGCGGCCTCAACTAGCCCCTCTGAAGAAGCTCGAGCCCCGACCACTGTGATGTTTTGCAGGGTGTTGACCTCTGTACGTGAAGCAGCCAGGCCAGGCCCACTGAAAAATCTGCCACGGCGAGGTTTAGAGACGGTGTTGGCCACCGTGTTTGACACAACCAGCCAAACCTCAGCCATTGCGGTGTTGACTTCCGCGTCAAGCAACTAGCCAGCTCCCTCAAAAGAGTTGAAACCCTCGAGGGTGTTGACACCCTTCAAAACTTCGCCGTGGCTGAAGCTTCTGCACAGGAAGCTTAATATCGCGTGAGCAATGACATCAAACATGTGATACTTTTTCATGCGCTGACTCCTTTTCACTGCCTTCTCATTGTTTGAGAACTTTGAACCCTCCCAATGTTCCTCAAAAAATGGAGCACATGAGTGGCTTTCCTTCATTCCTTCCGTCTTTATTGTCGACAATGTTCGCGAAACGCAAGGCCATTGCAGTCCATTTAGTTGGCCATGACCATTGTTGCAGCGTGGTTGAACATGAAAACAACCCATAATAGCAGCGGCTACCATTCAGCAGATCCGCAATGGCAAAGGAATGCAGCCGAACGAACTGAGGACATGTCCGTGCGTGGCGCAAGCTTGTGTTTTTGTTGTCGTGCAGACCGGGTTCCAATCTTGATGCGAGCCACCACAAGGACAAAAAACACGGAGCCAATTGCGAAAGTGCAGAGTTGTGTCCAGAGCGAAGACATGACATGGCAGTAAACAGCCGGTTGAAGGTTCGCATCATGCCACGAATCATGCCTCAGCGATTTCAATTTATCAAGCCATGTTGGTTGAACATTGAGCAGCCTCATTTTCTTTTGCTGATAGCGCGATGTTTCGAGATATGTGGACATTGCAAAGCCGAAGATAGTGATTTCTTTCACATTTGTTCGCTCAGTTGACTTTACAACGTTTCGCACTTTTCTCAAGAACTTCGCCAAGCGATGGAAGCTCTTCACATTCCAACATTCTGCACTGCAGGCCTGGGAAACACCACGTTGTGTAGGCTTGGTGACCAAGCCTTTCAAGAATTTGCCAGGATCATTGTTGCATCCGGCACCTTTTGGACGACAACCATATCGATTGCAAGGAGCGCGGCCGGGCCCTTTCATTACACATTACACGTCTACTTGTGCTTCTACATTTTGGGCCCCTTACACTTCTACTTCTATTTCTACTTTGGCTCTTCTACTTCCATTTTGGCTTCTCCTCGTACGGGGGAGGTGGGGGGCGGGGGGGGCGGGAAGGGCGGGGGGGGGTGGGGGGGGCCTGCATTGGGCCGTTGAATTTCACTTCTACTTTTATGGACAGGGAAGGGGTCTGGGCAGCAGCATTGAGCCCCTGGGGCCACGGGGGGCGGGGGAGCGGGAAACACCAAACACTCTTGCACTGCAGGAGAGGGCGGGAGCGGGGAAAGAACCCTTCGGCACTTCACTGAACGGCGCCACGGGGCTCGGTGAATATAAACCCTAAACCCGATACCCTTAAACCCCAAGCCCGATACCCTTAAACCCCAAGCCCCAACCCGATGCGGGTTTAGGGCCTGCGGGATGCGAGGTCTGGCCCAAGCGTTGCGGCCGGAAGCGGGTCCCTGCCGCCGAAGCCCGGAAGGTGCCGGCTTTGCAAAGCATTCGGTTTGGTTTGATGTGGCTAGCCTGCATTTACTAGAAGCGCGTGATGTGTGATTCGACAAAACCCAAGCCCCTGAGAACTTTGCAAATCGAGTTGGGCGGTTGATTTTTCTTGGACTTGCTGTCTGCGTCAAGGCGTGATTGTACTTACATGCCTCGTGTTGCTTGCAAATCTCCCAGTGTTCCACCAGTTCAGGACAAATGACAAGAGCAACCCAGCCTTCATTGTTTTCTGTTGACACGTCGTTTGCCCTCTGAGTGGCCAGGTTCCCTCGCAACTTTCAACTTGTTTGCGCGCTTTGTGCAGCCGGGCAACTTGGTGGTGATGCTTCGCCACCCCTTACTCGACAACGTGGCACGAAGGCACATTCCAATGTACATGGGCAGTGCGGGTGACAACACGACATGGTTGATCTCGCAAGTCTGCCCCTCACGATGTTGTTGTTCAGTTCAGGTTTTGCATGTGTCTCCGTTTTGCTTGCATTTCTGGGGTTTCTGAACATTCAAGACACTTGTATGGCTTGTTGCAACATGTGTTGTTGAAAGAGCTACAAGTTCCGTCTGTGTGCAGTTGACCAAGTAGTACAGTAAGATTTCAATGTCCACTGATTTCGCATGCTGTTGTAATAGCTTCGAGTACTGTATGTTCTGTGCCAGACTCATGTGCACATGTGCATGCGTGCAGTTTGTAAGTGCCCGTCCGATGATACTCCTCCCAAGCCCTATGCAACATGATGCAACCCCCAAAGATTGAAGCCTTTAACGTGTCCAACATGTTTCCAAGAGCTGTTCAAATGTCACATGGAACAGACACGATGACAGCAACGATAGTGATAGTGCACAAGCATCAGCCGAACTGTCGGCCCCGCAAATGCGCCAACCCAAAACCACATCAAGTGCAAATTGTTGTGCCATTTGCGGCACGAAGATTTGCCTAATTTAGGTTTACTTCTGTGAGTATGCTTGTTGCATCCCAATGCAGAAGGGCTTGAGAGTTTGACGCATTCAGTTGTGATAGTTGCTGTTGACAGGCCGTTGATGAAGCTGATTGGACAGTTGAGAGTAGTGCCCAATGGTTTTGGAGGTTCGGTCTAGGGAACGTGTTAATCCTGAAGAGAATGATGTTGCTTTGACTAGCAGTTGCATAAATGCCAATGCTCCCCAGCTTTTGTCAGCCTTGCATGTGTCAGGATGCAAGTGCCGGAAGTGCTCGCGCACGCTTTGAGCAGCGCCGTCGGGAGTGGGTGGTGAACCAAGGTCGTACAGACCATTTGGTGCAAGTGCGTGCCCCCTGTGCCTCCGGTTTCTTTACGGACAAGGCGAAAATGCGGCGAGACGGTCGGCTTGACCTGGAGTCGTCAGTGGAGCAGCAGGAGAGACCTCGTCACAAATCTAAGAGTTTATGAGAGTGCCGTGGCGCCCGAAACTGTTGCAAAGTCGTAGGCGATACGGGAAAAACGCCAGCAAGAAAGACAACGAAGAGCCGATGATAAGATCAAGGTTGCGTGCTTATTACTTGTTGTTCGTGGCTGGCGCCCTTTACGTTCGCATGTCCACTGTGTGTCAGCACCAGGCAAGGTTAGAGCGATTGAAGGCCGATGGCAAAGAGCAGGATTTGGCAGCAGCCTTACTGGTGAATGACTGCGAGTGTGCATGGCTTCGCATGTGGGTTCCTCATGTAAACGTGTCCAAGTTCGGGTCATGATTGCAAAGTTCAACTCCGAATGTCCACCTGCACTGTTTTCTACCGCATAAGGTCCAGTCTCTGCAAGCTTTGTCAGGAGATCCATGGCAACATGGTGTATCGTCCCAAGACCTGCAGTGGGGGGGAGCGTTGGCAGTAGTGACTTAGTGAGTTTGTGTGTCATGCATTGAGTCAGATGTTTGCCTCGCAACATACGCCTCGGCCTCTCAGGTGCGATGCTTGTTGTCTTTGGGCTCGCTGCACTCAGCTGTTCAAGTTGTCCGTGATGGCAGGCTGGGTGAATGCGCTTTCTCAAAGCAGCAGACGCAAGTGCCGTGCTCCTTTTCTTTGTGGCTGGAGAACATGCATGCCTGCCACAGCCAATACGGATCAAATGTTGCAACTTGACGTGAGACTACTTGGTAGCATGAGAAGACATATGCTTGTGACGTCTTTGCAGACACACGGAGAGAGTTTTGCAGATTGATCCGCTGAGAAACTGGCAGTGCAGAGACACAGAATAAGTAGGTCAAGAACAAAGTGAACGTCATAAGAGCGACTGCCTTGCTGGGAGTTATGCGGCTGGTCCAAAGAGGCACTATGCACAGTGGGTAGCTCATCAAACAATTCCGGAGAATGTGGGTCACTGGAGCTGTCCACTTCGTTGTTGGCTGTCCGGCGGCAAGTGTCAGGCGCCGCGTTTCAGATAATTCTGCTTGCGTTCTTCCTGGCTTCGGTTCCAGCAAGACATACAAACAAGGACGACCTGACAGTGTCTTCTTGCTCTTGTCTGTCACGACCTCTTGTCAGTGTTTGTGGCCTGTCAGGACACTGTAGCAGCGGCTGCCAAAGAAGTGGAAGCTGCACGTGAGGAGCTGGCACTGTCAAAGCAGATGTGCACGAAGCGGGCACATGTGATCAACTCTCGCAGGAAAAAGCCGAGAGAGCTGCTACAGAGGTAGCGCCCAAAGCTGAGGAGCTCGAACATGAGAAGGTGAGGGAGTGCATGGAACTGCGGGTATTGCTTTGCTTTTGCGGGGTGCTTGCAATGGAGACTCGTCATGACTCGTCCTCAGTAGCCGCACTGACACTGTACGGAGAAGCCGACGCCATGCGTCGTACCAGCTGAATGGTGGACAATAGGTTCGAATCGAGATATGCTGAGGAGCATAACGGTGCGAGCTAGCAGCTCTGTCTAAAAACTGTCAATAAAATATGAGTCGATATTTGCAGATATTCAAAGATCTTCGCAGCTTCGCAGGTGGAAGAAGGATCCGAAGGATCCGAAGAGGGCGAGAAATCGGAAGAGGAGGAGCTCACAGAGGCCAGAGGCGAAGGTAAGAAATTTGCAAAAGTTGTGCACTCGTTGCTTCAGTTTTCTTTGTGTTTTCTTGCGTTGTTGAAAAATTTGGCTGTGGCTCACTGCACAAGATGCGCTGGCGAGTTACACTGTGTCTGTGTGCGAACGTTTGATTCCAGTCGTTCCGACAAACATGAGCCATCAGGTTACGTCTGTGGATGTGACTGGAGCTGTGTTCCTGCTCGGGGGTGTGACCTTTATCATGTCCCTTTTTTACTTAGTGTGGCTTGTTCGCAAGTTGTGCCGCGAGCTGACTCAGTTGTTTTGTCACAGAAAGCGCGACTCCAGCCCAGGAACCACGACGACATCGACATCCGCATGCATACCTGGAAGGCGTCCCCATCAGGGCCCCTACTCCTTAGTCGTACTTGTGGGGGTTTGCATTTGCAAGAAAGCACCAGAAAGCACCCGTCTCATTGCCAGGTCATCAATGCCACTGTTTCAATCTTTGTGGCCGTTTTACTCTTCGAGGCGTGCGTGATCAGTTGGAGTAGGGTTCAGAATCTTGGTGATGAGTCCTTAAGCTGGCCTGCTGACAGGGGCTGGCTGGAGTGTCGGATATGATTTGTGACAGAGTCATCCGTGGTCATTTGCAGCGAAACTTGACAAAGATATGTGGCCCTGGCAGCAAAACGTTCTGGGTGTCCCCCGCGGCTTTTCTTGTGGCGTTGGACGCGAGTGTGCTTGTGGAATGGTGCCTTTGCTGCTGTGATGCTGTTTCATAAGGTATCGCGTACATGACATTCGGCATCTTCTACTGCCTCCAGTCGTAAAGATTCATGTCATTTCCGGGCAATGGCTGCCTTCTCGGAGCCGAGGCTTCTTGCATGTCATCTTGTACAACATCGCCTACATGCTTCGGCCTTATGTGTGGAAGGTTAAGGATGCCTTCACAGGGGTTTTTGCGACCGAAGACATGGCCCCCTCAGGAAGGATGACTCCACGCCAGGAAAGTACCAGGAAGTTACTTGGTCGAAGACAACAGTTGCAATCAGAGGGTTGAAGGTAGGAGTGCCACTGCCAGTCCCATCACACTGCCGAAGTGACGGTTTTCTTGCGTGTAAAGCAGGCCTTCAATTTGACCTTCTGAAAACAACTCACAGCAAGACGATTCTGCAATTTTTTGAAGACGGAATCACAGGAAGTCTTGAACCCCGAAATATGTGGACGTGAACGCTAAGCCCTGAAGCCCTGAAGCCCAGAAGCCCAGCCAAACAAGAAAAGTAGTCCCGGCAAGAAAACCGCACCTATTTGATTACATCAACGACGACATAGCCACCGGCCAAATTCGACGTTACAAGCTGGCGCTGGTTGGTTACTCACGTCAATCATGGATGTGCCCTCTGAGACGTTGAGAGGGACGTGGGTGGTAAGCCGCAGCGTAAGTGCTGCTTGCTTTTCATTCACTCACTCACTTCGTGTGGCCGAGAAGGCCTGCGCAATGGCTGACACCTTTGTACTTTAAGGGTTGAAACTTGGACATGTGCACACATATGATTCTCAAATGATCATTGGGCATGAGGCGTTGCGCACATACAGCTGCGTTAGCATCGTTTCCAGGAACATTGATCACATGATTCCAATGTTTATCTCAAAGATCTGGGCTCACACGTTGCAAGCGGATTGCTTTCCCAAGCAGTTCAAAGTGCCTTCGACATTCCGCAAAACGAGCTGCGGAGTCAAGACCTGACAGCCTGGCAACAGCTGACAACACCTGACATTTTCCAAGGCATCTTTCGAAGACCGCCAAAAGCGCAAGGCCAGGTGTCAAAATAGGTTCTCCAGGTCATGTGTCTAGAGAGAGCCAACAGGGAGCTTAATTTATGGTGTTATCATGATGCTTCGCTATGCTTCGCTATGCTTCGCTATGCTTCGCTATGCTTCGCTATGCTTCGCTGTGCTTCGCTGTGCTCGCTGCGCTTCGCTATGCCTGATGTGTCTCGCAGTTGGCCTGCTGGGCGACATTGTTCTCCCACATGTCCGGCTTCGCCATCATCCGGTGCAGCCTCGATCTCCAGCAGCTGAAAACGTTCCAGGCCTTGGCTGAAACGCGCCGAGTTTGTGACATCCATGTTGAAGCAGTGTTGAGCCAATCAGCTAACGTGGTGGGCCAGCCCTTCTTGTGCCGGAACAGGAAGGTGCCCTGGTGGCAGTGCCAACGGTCGTTAATGTGGCAACCTCGGGAGTATCATCATTATACGGCCTCTGCAGGCAGGCAGGCAGGCAGGCAGACAGAGAGAGAGGTAGCTTCAGGCACATACAGGCAGTCGGAAGAGTAGGAAGAGTAGGAGAGATGGTCTTGGGATGGGTGGGGGTCAAGGCCTTGTTGCTGATGGCCATCTTCAAGCTTTCAGATATGATACGAGGCACTGAAGCTGCGAACAGCACGACAAGGCAGTTCTGAGCTGCAGTGCTTCATCATCTTTTTGCATTTGAGGTCGGCACATCCAAGACTCTCACTACCGACTGTGGGAGCATGGGGCCGAGGCTGGGGTAGCGCAACTGACGGGGAGCATGCGGGGCATCATGCAGCATCATGCAGCATCATGCAGCATCATGCAGCATCATGCAGCATCATGCAGCACCTCAGTCGCCTGGCACAGGAAGCAGAAGATGATGTTGAAGCCTTAGACTCCTGTGCTTGCACTCCTTGCTCGGATTTAGGCTCTTCTTGCCTGGAGTTGGAGTCAGGCCCTTTTTGTCCTTCGCAATCCATTGCACTAAGATTGCCGCTATCGGGATCTCTTTCTCTGCAGTCGCAACTGGATTGCAAGATGACTCGTCGACCATGAGAGCTTCCATCAGCCTTGGGTTCCCCCTGCTGCCTCATATTGAGCCATATTGTGAGACGCTGCGCGACACGAGGTAGTGCTACGTGCCTTGGCTGCAGCCGTGCACTCTTTTCGGACTTTCTCCTCTCACTCCAGCTGAGGATTCCTCCTGACCGGCATTATGTCGAATGCCGAGGGGCTCGAGCTGCCTGTGCTGAACCATCCTGCCAAGGCCAAGATCGGCATCGGCAGGGGCCTTTTGCAGCCATGCGACACTGAAAGGTGATTCGTGGCTTGCTGTCGTCGCCGTCGCTTGCGCTTTTCCCACTCAGGAGTCTCCATGCTCCTCTGCGCGATTGCTTCGATCTCCATCCTCATGATCCAGTCGAAGCTGCCAGAATGATCTTTGTGCTTGGCATTCTCATTGTGGTGTGCAAGCTTGGAAAACTTTTGCATCCGGCTCCGTGTTGACAGCCCTGTGAAAGCACGGAAAGTCAAACGTGGGGAATGGTAGCTTGAGCAACCGCTCTCTCCCAATGCGGAAGGACAATAGTCCAACGATAGACTCCGACCTTTCTCTCCCTCCCCTATTGGTCCTCCCCCTATTCGTGCCCTGCATGAGGATACTGGACAAGGAGACAAATTCCAGTACAATGAAAGGAATTAGGTTAGGCTCCGTCAGCTTCCTCAGGGAATGAGTCTGCAAGGAAGCTCAGATGTGAGGGCGCATCTGCAAACGTGATTTCTATTTACTCGTGAAGGATCCAAGTGGGTCTTCAAAGTTTTCGATCTGGGGCAATGGGTTTCTGGAAGGTGTCTTCATGTCCGTCAAGTTCTTTCGTGAATTGCAGATATTGCACGCGGCTTTTGCAACTTGCTCAATCATGCATAAACCATGCATGCATGCTTCCTCTCGAGGCTGGAGCACCGCAACCACAAGGCGCATGCTCTGGTGGCCAGTCCACCATCAAATCCGCAGTTCCGCCAGAACTACACGTCACTGGGCTTTGGAGTTTACTGAGCTGACGTCGAAGAATGCTCTGCTGCCTGAAGCGAGCTGATCTTGTTGCTTTGTTGTTGGCTTTGCTGTTCGAGTCTCTGAAGCCATCGGCATTTCTCAGTTTCCGTATGCGTTGAGTGGGAGCGAGTTCATACTGTGTGATGAACATGCACGTCACTCTGTACGCTTCCATGCACTCAACAATTGAGAACGAGGCGCGGCGCACCCCAATCCTTGCATGCATGCTGCTCTGCCACCTTTCCACCTTGGCAAACCGTGAGATTATGGGATGGATGTTTCATTCGATGTTTCTGCTCCATCACCAAAGCTCCCCGGGCCCCCCCGGCAGCGGCCCAACGCTTTCACTGTCCTAGGGCCTGGGGACACGGAGAACATTTTCTCGTGTTTTCGATGGCGGGACGGGACCACTGCGAGATCCGCGCATTGACAGGCCTATGCCTTTTCTCGCCCACAGAGCCAAGACCTAAACCCTCCGCACTTGTCGCTCTACTCGGTCTACTCTAGACCCGAGCATGGAAGCGGGCTCGCTCCAGCAAAAACAAGTGCAAAACCAAACTGCTTGCCGGTTCCTTCGTTCTCCTCGTCCCGCCCCTAGGACACACGTCTAGGTGGATAAGTTTTCAGTTCCTGTGTGTTGTGGGTGTTCACTGAAGCTTGTGGCTCAGTTGCCACGCATGTGGATGTGCATCAGGACAAGATGGGTTCTGATCTCCAGCAGTGCTTTCGCGACCGCATCTTCGTGGTGTGCTTTGTTGCTCAGCTTGAGAACATGATACAGGCTGCGCGGGAGTGGTGAAAGAAGCGAGTCATCGGCCGCATCGCTCTCGTCTGTTGACATCTTAGGTACTTGGGAAAATGGCTTCTGTTTGGCAGCTTGCTTTTGCAAAGAAACTAGTCAACAGTGAACCGCGCCATGCGACTCTTGAAATGTCGTATCTCCAAGGGTTCGAGCAAGAAGCGGATGCTGCAGCGAACCCAAACTCTTGTATTTGGCGCGTGGTGCTTGCGCTGACAGCCATCTTGCAGCACTTAAATAGCTTCAGTTTTGCGCTAGCGGAAGCTTGAGACATGTCTCACGATTTGGGCGTTCTCAGTCGTGCGCCCAGGTCTCCTTCGGTAGTTTCGTCTGTGTTGCGGCCTAAGTCGTCTCGTTCATACACTGCCTCAGGAATTAGCTTTTGCAATTAAATACCCGAGCTTGCGGGAGCTTCTGCTTTGCTGACAGCTTTGCTGTGCAGGTCTACTTCCTGGATTGGCTTCAGGATTTGGACGAAACAGATGAACATGCTGACCGGGCGATTGGTGAGGTTATCAATGCTACCTGATGCCTTGAGATGCCTTGGGCAGGGGAGTTGGTTGACACCTAGTTCGGTGCACTTTGGTTTTGGCAGATGTTGGAGTCTTAAATGCCCAGGCTATCGGCGTCTGCGTGGGCTTCTCCTGGGAGCAGTGCCTTGGAGAAACGAGACATGTAATTTTAACGCTATGCGACCCGCCTCGGCCTGGCCCAGCGCAGCCCCCCTGAATCTGAAGCTCTGCAGCTGCACCGGGAAGGCGGGGGGGCAGGTTGGGATGAAACAGTGGTGGTGGTGGTGTAGGGGGGTGAGGGGTAGGAGCGGGGGGGGGGGGGGGGGGGGGGGGGGTTAGAGGGGGGGGGCGGGGTGGGGGGTGGGGAGGGTGGGGGGGTGGGGAGGGATTAGAGGGGGGGTGCGGATTTTTTGATTTTAGATTTTAACGCTACGCGACCCGCCTCGGCCTGGCACAATCAGGGGGGGGATTAGAGGTGGGGTGCGGATTTTAACGCTACGCGACCCGCCTCGGCCTGGCACAATCAGCTCGTGGAGAATGGGACCGACATTGGGGTGGGGAGGTTGGGCGGCCCGCACACCTCTTGCAAAGTACCCATGCCAGCTGGCAGATAAAAGGCTCAAGCTGGTTGGGGAGGGGATTAGAAGTGGCCTCATACATTCGGAGTCGGAGGATTGCCACAAGCCAGGGGTCTCAGGGTTTTCGCACAGGCTGTACCGGGGGAGGATGGGGGGGGGGGGGCGGGTTGGCCTTTTTTGGCGGAAGAAAGGTTGGGAAACGGGGAAAGAAACCAGATTGTTCCAAAGGCCTATCGGCGAGGCCAAGGCCAATTTTCCTTGAGCTTTCTGTCATGCCGCCTCCTGTATTCACCCCGTAGTGTGTCCCCGCTTCACCCTTGCTTCGAATCTCTTCAACCCACCATGTTAAACTGCTTCTCTTGAAGATTCGATCATATTCAATCTTGTTTCCGAGGGCGTTTGATGCGGGAGTGTCGACAATCGGATCCTCCACTGCACTTCAGGGGATGAGCTGAGCAGCTACAGTTCTATACTGATGCTGATGTGCTGTGCAGCTGGTGCAGGATCTCTGACCGAGCACCTGGGTCAATACTACCCGATTTGGGCTCGACTTTTCGTCGCGTCTGCAGTCGCGATGGCCCGCTGTCTACAACAAGACGCAGCAGTTTCTCGAAAATGCTAGCAGTTGCATGTGCTGTGCAGAAGTTTGCAGGTCATGATTCCAGCTTGGCGGCTGTACTTGATCAAAAAGTCTCTTGAGCCTTGGGCATCACGGGTCTTGTTCTGGGCCGGGGCAAATGGAGGTGTTTTGAGCTCATTACCCACTATGCTCAGAATTCGGACTGGCTGTTCCAATGGTCCAGGAGGTGACCCAACGCTGCGCGTTTTGTGTTCGCAAGCGTCCGCGTTCAACAGCATCCATGAGTGGCGCATCAGCTGCAGTCTGGGGAGTCGCCAATGAGGTTGAGGCCTCAAAATGCGGCCAGTCACGAGGATGCGACACGACGGGTGCGCCATCCTCGTAGCTGTCATCACCTTCAGCTGTCATCACCTTCCAAGCATGCATTTGCAAAAGTGCGGACAGTGCACGAGGATGAGACACGTGGCATGTCGTCGCTTTTTAGAGCTTGGTTTGGTGCCTTAAAAGTGCAGACACTCACGAGGATGAGACATTGGGGGTGCGCCTCCTCACAACTGTTGTCACTTTTCAAGCTTCCCTTTGCAAAACCGACGGCAGTTTCGGGGATGAGGCATGTGAGGTGCGCCAGAAAGAGAGTGACAGAGAGAAAGAGAGAGAGAGAGAGAGGTCCCGCCGCAGTCTTCACCTGTGGACGGACCGTGTGAGCTGGGCGCGCCTGCGCGCGCGGAGGGGTTTCGCCCCTTCATCCGTGAAGAAGAAGAAGAGAGGTCCCGTAGGCGGGCGGCTGTGGCGCGGCTGTCATCAGGAGTGGGAGCGGGGCGCGCCTTGGCACGGGGCTTGCCCCTGGCCGCAAAGAAAGAGAGAAAGAAAGAAAGAAAGAAAGAAAGAAAGAAAGAAAGAAAGAAAGAAAGAAAGAAAGAAAGAAAGAAAGAAAGAAAGAAAGAAAGAAAAAGAGAGCGAGAGAGAGAGGGCGGCTCTCTTCTTCGACAGAGAGAGAGAGAGAGAGAGAGAGAGAGAGAGAGAGAGAGAGAGCGAGAGAGCGAGAGAGCGAGAGAGCGAGAGAGCGAGAGGGCGAGAGAGCGAGGGAGCGAGGGAGAGAAAGGAGAGAGAGGGAAGGAGGGAGGGAGAGAGGGAGAGAGGGAGAGAGATAAGGGCGGCGAAGGAGGGTTATGTGTGCAGGAAGGCAGGAAGATGCAAGAAGAAGGAGAGAGAAGTCGCATCACCTCGGATCGCGTGTCGTGTCTGCTATGTTCGCAGTGTACGTGATGCGTGTCTGCATTCGGGTTCGCGCTATGAGCCCTGTCGGGTTTCATGTTGGAGAGGCCAATGGTTTTGTGTCATCAGATTGCGCCGTTACATGCGCTACATGTCCCCGTAAGGAGAAGCATCAGAAATGCCCCGCTTGTATCTCTGCAGCATGTGGACAGAAGGGCTGTGGATTCTGTCCACTATTAGGTGCTTGCATAGCCCAGATCGTTCTTCCAGCTGTTGCATGCAACACGATTTGATGCGACGATGTGCTGCCTTTTGCTCAGGTGGTGCCGTTTTGCTCATCGATGCTTCATACTGCCGCCAAATCTGAAATATGATGAATCATGAGATATCATGAGCAGTTTCAGTCACGTGAGCGTGTTGAGAGCTGAAGAAGTTGGCTGCAGGTCACATGTGTGGCAAGCGGAAGCCAGCGGACGCGCATCACCCAGAGACATGAAAGATTGCTTCATGACACAGTCAAAGCCAGAATGTATCTACGCTTGAATCAAGTTGTGAAGTCAAACTGCCAGGAGCCAGTTCAGTAGCGGAAGATGTCCAGCTGCAGGAGGTGCTTTCGTTTCTTCATCAATACCAGCTGAGAAGCTATGAGAGACAGGCGTGTTGGGGATGATTGTTTCCATAAATGCTTTGTTCAGCGGCCAGGACAAAGGCCATGACGTGAAGAACCCATACGGATGCAAGGGCGCTGATGCAACCACATATCCTACCCTTCTTCTGGCGAAGCCTAAAGGGGGGCGTTGTTTTTTGAGAAGGTACCTGTTTGCTTGACGTACGTGATGCGTACAGACAGAACAGCCAAACTGCGAACTTATGCACATGCTAGCTTCATCCCATCGCGTTCATTTCAAAGCCCAGATTTTGGAAGCCCGAAGCAAGAAGGTTCGGTGCTCCTGTGTCTCACCGAAGAGAATTTAGTTTAGAGCATCCTGAGAGTATGGAAGTAAACCCCGACAAGCCGCCCTGATGTAGCATAGTTAGCATAGTATGCCGGCTGAGGCTCATGGTTTTCAGGAGAGTGGCAACGTCTCGCAGCAAAGTCTTGATTCGGTGGCAAGTCAGGGTGATTCGCTTGAATCCTTCGGACTCCGCGGTCCCCATGAGCCCCGTACCATCCTCCACAACTGTTTCGCAGCTTCGATCATCTTACCCTTTATGAAGAGCCTTTGACTTTTACCTTTTGAACCGTAGGCGACAGAGACTACGATGTCCGTTCTTGGCATCAGCATGAACAGGTAGTAGTAGCTTGTTTTTTGCGTCGCTGTGCGCACGGAGTTACGGGCAACTGCACCCGGACGTGGTCAGATGACTCATTCGATACATTGAAGTAGCTGATAGCAGGGCAGACGCACCTCAGCTAGCTGATGCAAGAAGTACAGGTTCTGAAGCCCGAAACTTCCATCAACATTGCTCTACAATGTGAACGACTTAAGCGGTGATGGTCAGGGACTTCCTGGAGAGGAGAACAGTTTGCCATAAGGTGACAGCTCTGTGCTTTCATGCGACAGTCCCTGTCCAGATCAGACACACAAGCTTGTCAAGCCGTCAACGAAGCACTTCCTTCGACCGCAGTAGCACAAAAAAATCACAAGTGCTCTTCGAGAAGTGGCTAGGAAGGGTCGGAAGGACATGACGTTACCTTTGATGTCGCATATTTTTGTGGCTCTCTTCTGTTTGTGCAAGGAACCGCGTTGCCCCAAAGCCCCAGCCTCATTGGTGACGGCTGGCGGTTCGTGGCAACAGTCAGAGCCGAAAAGCCATGAGTGGAGGAACTGGGCAGATGCGGCGGTTGCTGTGGCAGATGAAGCGCTGCGCATTGACCAGGCAATCCAGTAGTCTGGTTTAAGGGATGCAAGTCTGCCTTGCACTCAGCCGTGCACCTAGTACACGTTCCTGTGTCCAGGGCTCTAACGAAGCAGTCGACAAGACCACAGCTGAGGACGAGCTAGGGAAAAAGTGCCTATCCACGGGGAAAGTTCAGGTCTAGAGCTATGGTTTGAGGAGTTAAGGCTTTGGGTTTTAGGCATGAGGCTTAGGGCTGAGGGTTGAAAGGTTTAGGTTTTGAGGGCCGTCAGGATTTAAGGCTTGAAGGGCTTAGTGTTGCGGCGCCGAGGCTGCTTCAGGGGCTTCGGGTTTACAAGTAAGGGCCTCGCGGTTCAAGGTGTTTTTGGGTTACGAGTTGAGGGGACAAGGCTTGGCAGTTTAAATTTTTTGGGTGTAGAGGCTCAGGCGTTGCTTCAGGACTGAGTAGCTTAGCGTTTACGGCTCGACGGGGTTAGAGCCTAAGGCAGCATGGGGTTTAGGTTTGGGGCTTGTATACGGGTCAGGTTTGGGGTTGGACTGGAGGGGCTTCGCGATTGAGGGCTTGAGGGGCTTCGGGCTTGTGAGGGTCGCAGGTAGGACTTAAGGTTCTAGGGCTCGAGCGGTTGGGGTCTTGAGGGGTTTAGGGGCTCCGGGCTCCGGGTGTCGCAGAGGGTGGTGAAGACAAAACCTGGCTGCCCCGAGATTTCGGCGGACAATTTGAATGACTTTGTTGTGAGAAATAATTAGTTGAAGGAGCTGCTGTCTGAGCTACTTGATGCTGGGCGCCCTCGTGCGTGCCTCATTGCAGAAGCATAGGCTGGCTGGTTCGGTTTTTCGTCGCATGAGCAAATTTCGTGAACATATCCTCAGGACAGGCGCTTGAAGTTTTCACCCAGTTGGCGATTCTGCACGTGCCTTTGGCTAGTGTTCGAACATAGTAAGTGCCGATCTTCAGAATTCCAGATGATCTTGTGGAGAATGTGATGATTGCAGGCGCAACGCGCGGTGAATCTGCTCGACAGGCACTTTCCTTTGCTCTTGTCTGTTTTGTTTGAGAAAGCCGACATGCAAGTGATGCTGTTTATGTGCTGATGTGCAATCTCCTGCATCTCTTGCTACGCTGCCAAGCATGTTTCTTCCTGAGACGGTCCACAGCTGTCTCCTCATACCTACCATGCCGGAAGGGGACACTCACTGCCGAGCCATCCTTCACCAACCATAAGCGTGCAAGCTGCTTGTCGACGCGGCTGCTGAGCTTGTTGGCAGGGCGCGCTGGCCGAAATCCGATGCTGAAAGGGAGGCCATGTGGTCAATAATGTGACACTGCCGTGACACGTCCTGCATCTGCTGCCGACTCTGGCGGGCAGGCTGTCGGCCGGGTCCGCCAAGGTACTTTCGTTGCCTGCACTGGCAGTCTTCTTGATCAGCACTGTTGATGCACAGGGTGGTAAAGCTCTAGGCTGAATGACGACATCAGTTCTCACTGCAATGGAAAGACATGAATCTGTGGTGGTTGAGAAGTTGTCAGCTGTAGTGCTCAAGACCGCTGGACACGTTCTATGTTCCAGGCAGGGAGATATCACCTTCCGCTGTGCTCTCACAAACTCCCTGACTTCCTTGGAAAGGGTAGCATATCTGCGTGCCCAGCGCATGTCAGCACTTGAGATCTGGTGCCGTGCAGGTCTTTCTGTCTGCAAGTGCAGACAGTTTCATATTTATACAATTCCTCCACATTGCTACTTGTATGATCTTGGAAATCCATTCGCCGACGAGCTGGAACGTTCTTGAAGAGTTTGTTTGGGTGGTTTCCAGGATCCTGTTCTACACGAATCTGAGCCGGAAGATGTCGGCCAAAGTTTTGCAGCTGTCACAACATCTTCTAGTGTATCTCCACAACAGCTGACGCCCAAGGTTCACAATGTCTTCCGAGCGACTTGGTTGCCATCTGGTGTGTGGGCGTAGGTGATGCAGCAGTCTCGCAAACCAAAGAAACACAGACAAGTGCCGCAGGTCTTCCACTCCATCATGTGCGGAGTCCGTTCGTGACGTCGTGCTGGCACCATTCCTGCCGCTCAGATGCTTTCAGAGTATGAGGCAGAGAAACGTAAATGACAACCACTGTCCATCCCGGAGCTTGCCTTGGGACCCAGGCTGTAGCAATGTAGCACTTAAATGCACTTAACATACTTTACCATTTGCGTCTGCGGTGGGCCAAATGTACGTGGGCACGCGGTCACACCCCGAAGCGACGCATACCCCTTTGGGCATACTTGGTGGTGAGAGCGCACAGCCTACATCTGAAGCTCAAGTCTGGCCGAGGTGTTCGACATGCTACCAAGAATGCATGTGCTACCAGAGTATTCGACAACCAAAGCCTCATGCCCCAACGATAACCATGCCCATGCCAGCGGAGCAGCCGATTACCAAGACACCCAATGGCCAATGATGGCAGTGTCCAAGAACATACCAAGCTCTAAATTCAACAGCTCTGTATTCCTGGCGTTTGCGACACCTCGCATGCACCTGGGCGTACTCGACATACCTGATGCATCCCCAGCACGATCTATAGGAAACAGCATATCGGCACATACCCTGCACTGGCCACGGGGTGCAGAGCCGGCGGCTGCGAGCTGTTTCTGAGTGATACATTCGATGCTGAGGTATCCAAAGCTCTTCCTGAAATGGCGCCGTGGCAATTTAGGATTTCCTCCTTAGACGAGTCAGCTGAAGCACCAGCGCGCGCATACATCGTGTTTGGGAACAAATGCTCCAAGGTGCCTCCCTCCATTTTGCTGCTTTCTTTGCTTCTGCTTCCAAAGTGCAACTGGCCTAGAGCACTCGGCCACAGTACGGTGCATTCCACGTGAATGGTTGAAGTCCTGAACGTGCAGAATTTGCAGCGTTCAAAAGCTGAAAAGGTGTTTCTGCACTTGACCACGGTGAAGTATGTCATCGCCTTAGCAGCCTTAGCAACGAGAGCAGACAGTGTCTGACCAGGTAGGTCAGGCTAGGAACCCACACCTGATCTGCTGCGATGGCAAGCGAGGTCAACTTGCACAGGCTGAAAGAGCCGCTTGCGGATGACTTAGGCAGGTTCTGCATTTTGAGACTTCGAGATTGTGGCAAATTAATGCATGTGAAGGAAACAGGTCCGTGCGTCATAGCTGTCCAGTGTCCAGGTCACGATTATCTGGGAAAGGCTCCGGTTCCCATGTGACCTGCCACGCAAAGAGTGTTCTGAAAAGCGCGGCCTGGTAAGCCGAAAGCTTACTTTCCAGCTCCTTCGGCACGTACAAACGACCTATGGCCATATGATGCTACTTGTAGTCATTTGTAGTCACCAGCTACGATACTTCAGGTAGAAGAACAGTGCGACCAATGGAACATGCACTACGGAGCCCACACGCAGCCAGAAATCAATATTACACGCTGGTTCGAATTAGACTCCAAGCCGTCGAAGGGTTTGATGATCGATAGCAGTGTCAAAGCGAGCTCCACAATGCAGGGTGGCCGCGGAACCGCATCGATTCACGTCGGCAAATCGCGAGCGGCTCAATGAAGCGACGGCCTTCACACCAACGCTACAACACCCCGTGGTTGCCGGGTCTAGCCTCGACCTTATAGGGTTTCGGGTTGAGGGCTTGGGGTTTAGGGTTTAGACGAGAATTCAGGTTCTCTAAGGTTCCGGGCTGAAGGCATAGGTTTACCGCCTCGGGTGTAGGGTTAGTTAATGCTAAGGCCAGACCTTCTACATACCAGCATGATACGAATTCCCAAAATATGAGAACTGTTTCTTCGCCCAACATCGGCTTTGACTTGAACTTTCGCACTAAGCCGCCTCTCGTCCCAGCACGTGTTAGACGACGCTACCTGCGCCCTCGCACCTTGTGGGCTGTACTGCCGGAATCGATGACCTGCTTGAGGGGTCCATTTTGGCAGATGCGCTCACGAACGTCTACCTGCATGCTGCTGAGTCGGTGCTATTGTCGCTGAGCTGGGCACTATTTTTTTGCTGCAGCTGCCCTGGCCGACAATCCACGGTGCAGACGTTCGACGCAGGCCAAAGGAAAGCGCATGACCACCAACACACACCTACACACGTACACATGCGCATGTGCACACGCGCGCGCATGTGCGCACTTGCACGCTTGCACACTTGCACACTTGCACCCTTGCACACTTGCACACACTTGCACACACTTGCACACACTTGCACACACTTGCACACACTTGCACACACTTGCACACACTTGCACACACTTGCACACACTTGCACACACTTGCACACACTTGCACACATGCACACACATGCACACACACACACACACACACCCACCCACCCGCACCCGCACCCGCACCCGCACCCGCACCCGCACCCGCACCCGCACCCGCACCCGCACCCGCACTCGCACGCGCACGCGCACGCGCACGCGCACGCGCACGCGCACGCGCACGCGCACGCGCACGCGCACACGCGCACGCGCACACGCGCGCACGCGCACGCGCACACGCACACACGCACACACACACGCACACACACACACACACACACACACACACACACACACACACACACACACACACACACACACACACACACACACACACACACGCCCACACACACACACACACACACACACACACACACGCCCACACACACGCCCACTCACCCGCCCACACACCCGCCAACACACACACACACACACAGAGACAACACTGGTGCGCACACACACACACATCACAAACAACACCACGCTAATTTATTTGACTGGTGAGTGGAGCATATTTGCCGTTATGGTGGCGGGAGAAAATGCACTTGTGTTCGACCCAGTGAACTGTAAACGCCTGTGCTTGTGGACCCTGGTCCTGTGTTGATGATTTTGAGGCAAATCCTAGATCTGATCTCATGCGGCGTCCTTTTCTGCTTCGTCGGTGGCGCATTGCTGCTTCGTGACTTGAGGACGTCTGGCTGCACAGTGTCACTTGGGACATCCGAGAGTGGGTTGGATCGGCTTTTGCTGAATGTCTTCAGGACCTGGAGCAAGATGTTCCTCTGCAATGGCCTGATGTTTGTTCTGAAAGGCCTGCTCTTTCGCTGTCTTATGGCACCATCGTCCAGTGGCTGTATGTCCGTTCGCCCACCAGTTTCGCCTTCTGCCACAAGCAGCTGGAGGTCTTTCACAGCCCGAAGTTGTCTTCGAATCTCTTGCCCAGGTGTTTTCGACTATGTGACAATCCTCCCCGACTCAATCGGAATGGCCGAGTGCAAAGCCAGGCAACTTTTCTTGGTTGCTGTTAGGATCATGACTTTGTGACATAATTGTCCAGCCCGCTGTCAGAGTCGGCATCAGAGAACGGATGGATGCTAAACGAGTTGTGCTCTCACCCAGGTTGGGACCTGCACCGCTTAAGGAATTCGAGAGATTGGGTTCGCTCGGCGGCAACTCGGAAGTTCCAAGGCAAAACGTTCTCAAGCCCTTTTTCGATCCTTCACGGGGCATGAAACAACTTGAAAAAATCTTGAAGCTGAGGACAAGACTTCTTCGATGGCATGGTCTCCCTAGAATTGCATGGTGTGGATGGGAAGTGGCCAGTACGATATTGTGCCGACATGCTATTGAGTGGCCACACCTTCGTCCCTCGTCTTTGAGCTTTGACTTGGGTGCTCCTGTTTGTAACTGTTTTGTGTGGTCATGGCTGCGAAGGTGATGTTGCTCTATTTGCTGGCTGTAGCAGACCTTGTGCAGCGCACGACGCTGCTGATGGAATCTCCGAACAGAAACGTGGCTGTTTGTAGTGGCCGTATGCTGCAGACTTTTCCTCATGTTGTTCATGGCAACCTGGACCGACTGAGGAGAAATCTGTCAGATAGCCTTTGGAGCCTCGGGTCAGTCTAGTGCCGTCGTTCCTGGGGTTCTCGGATTGACGGGGATTGGTCGTACTTCTTTGCTCTCGGGCTTGATAGCCAGCCTACATTGGGCCTGGCAGTGAGTGGCTTTGTTCATTGTTCGCGACTTCAGGCATCTTTGCACTTGGCTGTACCGCGGCAGATCTGTACCTAATTGTGATCAACCACTTTCACTATACTGTGGACGTGATCATGGCAATCGTGATGACGTTCCTGATTTACACAAATGCAGGACTGGCTGATGCAGCTTCGAAGACCCTAAAAAATGTTCAGTTGCCTTGGCAAGTACGAAGCAGGCATAGCAGTGGTGATCCAATGGTTTGTAACTGAAGATGGTGACAGCGACCGGTCCTGGTCTCAGTTGATCTTTCTTGCACCATCTTGAATCATCGTGCACGGGATTTCTCACATGATTTGTACAGCGCTTTATGGCACAGTGACCTGAAGGAATACAGAAGATAATGGAATGATATGGGTGCCGTCCGCGATGTTTCCCTTCTGCTGTTTCGGCGGGTATTACAAGGTCAAACGGCGCCATGGTTGCAGGTATGCAGCTGTTCTCGCTTTGTTGTGGCATGTTTCAACAAGACAATCTCCAAGGCTTCATGCCAAAGAGGTGCTTCAGCGCCAGGCAGCAGAGTTACCCATATTTGCCCATTGTCGGTCTGCATGATTCTGCATGCCACCGTTGTGAGGCGGCTGATGGAAGTGCAGCATGGAAAAGGCTTGCAGGGCCTGACAAGGAGTCAGAGGCAAGACCATGACGGCTGGTTCTTCGTCGATACGGGCTTTTTCCCATGTGGTTTTCAGTTTTCAGGTCCCTGCCTACGGCACGATGCAAGCTCCAGCAAAGGAGAAGTCGGCTGAGGCAATGGGCAATGGGTGCGATTGCAACTGTGGTGCTTGTGAAGAAGCTGATCTGTGCGCTGTGCTGGGCCTTGATGCACTTGATTCCTGTGAGGCTGCTGAGCCCTAAGCCTTCATCGACAGTGAAAAGAAAACAATCTGAGCAGCCTCTTCCACCCTCTTGGCATTGCTGTTTCCCGGATTCTGCGCTCGGTTGAATAAAGGAGCGTGCAGGCTTGCACAATTCAACAATCACGAAAGTCAGAGTGAGTCTTGCATCACTCTATCAAAACGGAAAACAGGAAAGGTGTCCAGATGTGCCTTGCATGTTTGGTGGGTAGGAGTTAATCTGCAGATTTTTGTGCAGACGCCGACGCTGCCTTTGAGGAGGCCATGACTCGGCTGAGCTGGCCTCCTAGTACCCGCAGACTCGGAGTGGATCCACAAGCTGAAGCTGCATCAGCACGCAGCTAGCTTATCATGTCTGCACAAGGTTCTGCGAGAGAGCTGTCTTCGGAATGGCACTTGAAGGAGGCACGGTTTGGAATCATGCTGTGTCACGCGCTCGAAGGTTGTCGGAAAAGCTCCACTGCACGCCGTCCGCAGCTGCATAGCAGACTCTTGAATGCTGAAGGCTAGAACCTACGTCTCACTCCACCACCCATAAGGGAGGATAAGAAATCTCAAGAAGAGATCTTCGCTTTGATTGTGTTATCTTGAATCCTTTGCCCCGACATGGCGCGCTGTGCACACGCAATGACACTGACCTTAATGACAATGGTGTCACAGCTTCGTTGGTCTGGGAAGTTGCTCGCTGCTTTTGCTGATCGCCTGGTGCCGGCGTGTTGCCCGGTTGCATGCAGTACAGATCACAAACTTAAGGTGGTGCGTCATACTGCAGTGGCGGGGGCATTCGCGACACCGTGTAGCTTCAATGTTCCGTCCGATGCCAAGCCTTCAGCCTCTGGCACTGCCGTGCACTAGCGAACATTAGCGAGCCATTCACAGAATCTTCGCGGATCTTCTTCACCTTCGCGGCTCTTTGCGCTCCTTGCAGGTTCAGGGACTGGTCGGCGCCTGGGATCTGCGACCCAGGCGAGGGTGGTGGAAGTTGAAGTTTCTCACATCCTGAGGTGTGCACCCTTGCGTTCACCTTGTCGCTCCGAGGCGACGTTGTGGCCTGCAGCAACGACGCTGATTGTGCGAAGCTGCCGGCAAGCTGCTGCAGTCAGCTTAGAAGTTGAAACGAGTTAGCCTCCCTGGTGGCCAGTGATTGCAAAGAGCGCTTGGAACCGCGAAGGTCCGCACTATGGTCCAGGACCCTCTCCAGGTAGGGCTTGAGAAGGCTTTGCGGCAGTGTCTTGCTTCTGGGACCCGTGCAACCGTGCTCTTCAGGCTGTGGGTGGCTGCGGTGTCTGCAGACAGGCCCTGGCGGCTCCCGAGGAAGCACTAGTCACTAGTCACCGAGTCTTGGTGGTGAAGAAAAGTACAGAAGCCTCCAACAAGTCAACAAGGCATTTCGACACTGGTGGCGCAGATTCCCTGCAGGTCCACCGTTCGCCGCCTCCGTGACGAAGCTTTGCGGAATGCACCGCGAAGCGGCCCCTGGCCCGCAGACGAAAGAAGGCCGCGCAAACGTAACACAAGCACTCTGCCAAGCTCACAAGAGTTGGCAACTTCTTTGTGGGACTTTGTTGTGGTTGTTCGGGCGTGCGCAGTGAGCGCTGAAGAACGATACCGCTGAGTCAACAGATGCGCTACAGAACAGATGCAGCGCCCGGGGTGCGAGCTTTGGAGTGTAGCAGATTCGGGTTTTGCCGGTTTGGCTTTCTTTGAGAGGCAAGTTGCGGTGACCGATTCTTGCACATGCTTTCAATTCATTGTTCCCTGGAGGTGGCATCTGCTTGCAAAACACAAGCACCCGAATTTGTGGAGTTGAAATGAATACGGGCAACGTCGGCTGTTACAGCAAGGACACGTGCTCAGGCCTCAGGGTACATGACAACTTCCTGAGTTTGCTTCTGAATTTGTCACACTAATGAAGACGATCACAGTGTAAGGTCAAGACCCATCACCTATGGCGCCAAAGCTCGCGTGCCCTGGGCTTACGTACTGCATTCACAGGGCAACCTGTCAAGAGACAGATGCAACAGGACCACATGCGCCCAAGGCTTTCCAGATGGGCACTCTGCAGTGAATGCCACTGAACTCTTTGTGTGAGCTGCTTCACCGATTAGATCGGTTAGGACACTTGATGGACGGGAACGTGAAGTGCGCAGCTGTATAGCTCTAGCTATTGCAGATGTCCGGCAGACTGCTGGCCGCCGTTCAAATCCCAGAAAGGTCTCAACAAGTCTCCCTCACGACATCACTCTGAACAGGGCATGAACTTCGCTTTGCAGTGAGACTGTGGGGATTGACAGGCCTATTTGGCCATATTTGGAGAGTTTTTATGTGTTTTTTACGTGGAGCAACCCTTGAAAGGCCAACATGTCGCACTTCGGCTCCGGCAACTCGATCGGGGTCAGCCCGTCAGATTGCACGAATCACTGCTTTTGCGTTGTTGCAGCAAGGACCCAGAGTGACAGAGGACAATGCAAAATGACTCCTAGAGTCCTAGAGTGTCCTAGAGCTTGCCTTGGAGTCAAGCCTTGGAGGTCTTTGTTGCGTCTGTCGCGCCGCGCCAGCACAGGTATGGAACGACGAGCCCAAGGTCGTGCAGCGATGGAACACCCTAGTGCTCCTCGCTCTTTGTGTATGCAGCGTGTTTCATATGTGCAGGTGTGCATATATAGCATAGCGGCCGAGAGACCCTTTGCTCATTGCAGATTCGTTTGGTTGCGAAGCGGCGCCGAATGCCAGATGTCTTTGAGGCGCCAAAGAGTTCCGGCGATCTTGGCAAAGAAACGATCTTGAGCATGGCAGGTGTATGATGCAATGCGTGCTTTGTGGGTCCGCGCGGACTGAAGAACCTCTTGAACTTGTCAGCACAGCCTGTTTGTTGGTTGTCAGGAGGCTTTTCTTGATTGCAGGACCACGGAACAACTGAGTTCATTGCAAGAGCAGCAGTGGGAGCCTCAGCGACTTCGCCATGCTATTGCCGGGCTTCTGCAGCAAGCGGAAGGGCAGAGCGAGCAGCTGTGGTTTTCAAGTAGAGCCTGGTGGGACGACAGGTGGCGACAGTGGGCCTGAGCGGCCTGGTCGATTCGCCATTGGCTCGGTGTGCTCTGAGAGATTTGACTTCCAGGAGCCCGGCTCACAGCTCGGTTGGTAGTTCATAATTTGTTTCTTCCAATGGGATTTCAAGTAAAGTACTTCGGAATAAAACCCAAGCTTGAAGTTCACAAAACACAATGCGCAAAGACCGTAAGCCTATGGCCTTTCCCTTCCCTTGATCGGGCCAAAGCGGCAGTGCACCACCGAAGTACCTGACACAAGGTGGTGCTCGGGACGAAAATCCATACCGGGAAATGAAGACAAGTCACACGCGGCTCTAAGCATGTAGTGCCCACAAAAGGCTTGTGGCTGTGCACGGCAGAGGGGCTGTAGCACACGGCAGAAAGATACGAGTGGTACGCCCTGGCGGCCTATTCCATGTAACTATGGTGTCGTTAGTGAGCATGACGTCTGCGGCTATGCGGTTTCTATGGTCCGTTTAGCTGCAAGGTCTTTCAGCCTACGTTTTTGCTTAAATGGCTGACGTCCTTACGCCCTTCAATGAGCTGGGGAGTGGTACGGCAAGGAATAGACATGAACCCGGCGGATCGAAAAACTCAGGTTCCACACGATGCCTCCAGCTCGATATCCAGAGGTTGTTTTCGTGGGCTGGTCACCAGCTGAGACACACCATGACACACCACGGAAATCTGAAAAAGCCCGGCGTCAGTTGTGCTGACCTGTCGTTGAGAGCTGTGGACAGGTCTAATGTTGGCAAGAGCTCATTGATTAACTCCCTCCTCCATCGTACTGCCGAGTGCCCAGCGTCTTCAGAGCTCGTCGGTTCCTTGATGAGCCATGTCGTGCCAGGACGTTTGCAGTGAAAGCCTAGGACTTCTTCAGCTGTAGTTGCAGAATCTCAGCCTGACGCTGCCAATGTTGTTGTCGCAGGGGTCAAGACTGTGAGCAACTGCTAAGTTGAGGCCGTGGCCCCAGTGTCCAAGATGCCTGGGAAAACGCGCCGCCCTCACAAATCCCCAATCACCAAGAAGCCATCGGAGTGGCTTTGCGCAGCAGGTCCTGGTTGCGCATAATAGCAGCAGCGGATTTGTGCAAGGACGCAGTTCCATTTCTATACCATCAACGAGCAGAATGCTGCTTTTCCACAGATGACTCTGGTCGACGCCCGCCCCTCAGATCCTCGCTTCAGATAATTCAGAAGAATTCAGAGCTGTCCCGGAGCCGTTCCTGCAGGTCCCAGGCCTCGGTGAGGCTATGGCGGACGAAATGCAGATAAGGCACCAGATGACCGCTTGGGTTCCAGCGGGCTTTTGACCCGAGTGCGTTAGTCTCTGCTGCCACAAAGCCTGACAGGCACTGGAGGCGAACTCTCGACTTGTGCACCTGCTCGTTGAGTTTCATGACTGGAATGTTTCCATCCTCCCGGAATGCAGGTACCTGAAAGAGCGTGGTCCGACGCTGCGCCAGGTTTTCCACCTCATTAGCTGCGAGGCCAGACCCGAATTGCCTCTGAAATGAAGTCTCAGGCATCTCATTCCGGCAGCCTCTGCAGGTGCTGCTACGTCGCCAAAGACCATCTCCCTTAGACATTTCCGTAATGGAGCCTCGGCTGCGAGCAAACCGAAGCATCTGCGAGCGAAATCGCGAGCTTCGGGGGGATTTATCAAGAGTTCTCGCTGCGAGAGCAAGCATCGCAAGAAGCAGGGCTCCGCCAGGAGATGTGCCTCAACCACCGGCGCGACTTCAACCTGGACTACACTCTGGTGACTTGCCATGCAGTGCACTTTCAACGTGATGCGATGAGTCCGATGCCTCTTCAAAGGTGAAGCTGCATGAAATTGCAGCTGAACTTGCACCCTGCCCTGTGAGCCGCTGAGCCTTTGAGGTGATCACAAAGATTGATCTCATACGCAACAAGATAGATGCCCAGCCCTTCCGGCCTAGCTTTCACAGCGATAGGTTTCGTTGAGAGATGTTGCGAGGTGCAGCCCTTCTAGCCAGGACGGTGTACGACAACCTGCGCAAAGTCGTTCGCAGGCTTCGTCTTGGCAAAGCTAAGGCTGCCAGGCAGCATTATTTCAAGGCATCTGCCATAACATGGTAAGCCGAATGTCCTTTCTTCGAGACGCTCCCAGTGCTCGCCCTTGCAGATTGTCCCGGCAAGCGTTCGCCACACGACCGGCCGCGTGCTGCTTTGGAAGCGCTTGTGGAGGTCTTCTTTTTTCTTGTGTTCATTGCATGATGCTTCCTGAACCAATGCTGGGAGCAGCTCACCTCGATGTCAAGGCTGCAACAATGTCCTGTTCACATTGTGTTTTCCCATTCTATTTTCATAGAATATAACTAGCTATGTAGATCGGTCGGCTTGTAAGTAGGGCCTCTGTGAATTGCGCCAGGGAGGCCGAACACTAGACAAACATCTTCGTAATTCATCAAGCCCGCCCCGCTGGAATCTTCCTCTGTGCCACTGCATGTTAAGCTGACAGATTGCAATGGAGGTCCGTGGATCCAGAACGTGACTCACGCCCAGCACGAGACCTCAGCATGGTCCGCCAGGCCTGGCCAACGGATGTTGGGACGGTCGTTGTAAACACTCTGAACCCTCTGAACCCCCCCTGGTCCGCGCCCACAGGATGTGGAGCGGCTCGTCGAAGCCAAAGATGCCGAGACGCTGCTCAAACTGGCCGCGGAGGTGCACCGGCTCCTCGATTTGTTCATGGCACTCCTCGGTTTGTCCACTTTGAGAGTTCGGCAACTTACCATGTCGTTACTTTTTGCATGTTGCTTTTGCAGGAGTCTGGAGATGGATGGGAGTTTGCCGTTCGTGGGCTCCTGGTCCTTGGAAGACTGCGCGATGCCTGGCGGATCATCCAGGCCCGGTGAGTCCCCTAATTTCACGCGCATCTCTCCAACTTCCCCTCTCCTCCCCTCTCCTCCCCTCTCCTCCCCTCCCCTCCCCCCTCCTCCCCTCTCCACTCTCTCCTCATGCTCCCCTCATGCTCCCCTCATGCTCTTCTTCTCTGTTGTGAACATTCGCCTCATCAGAGGGCCTGCCTGCATCCCTGGCTTCCAAACTACATTAAAATCATTAAAATATATACTTGAGCCCTGGAACAAGAGCTGGGCAATCCAGATCCTTCTGTCTCTCGTCTCTCTCTCTCTCGTCTCTCTCGCTGTCTCTCTCTCTCTCGTCTCTCTCGTCTTTCTCTCTCTCTCTCTCGCCCTCCCTCTCTTCTATTTCTTTCTCTCTCTCTCTATCTCTCTTTCCTTTCTCGCTTCTCTTTCATATCTTCTCTCTTGGCTCTTCCCCTTCTCATTGTTCTTTTATTTCTGCTCTCTTCTCGTTCTTTGCTTAACAAAGAAGAAACTCTGCAAACCAAAAAAAAGTCTAGTTACGAATTGAGGTGAGCCTTTCGTGCAATACCCAGCGTAAAGCTGATCTGTAATCGGGGGTAAGGGGGGGAACCCTGTTTGGTGGACCCAACTTGGCCCGGCGGCCGATTCTTGGGAAAACGGAGGCCCGATGATGCTGCTGATGCGCGGGGGTGGGGGCGGGGGGGCGTCGGGGAGGTGGGGGGGGTCCGGGGAGCCTTCGGGACCATGTCCGGTGGCGGGCCTGGCTATCCGGGCAAACCTGAAGACCAAAGCCTTTAATCCAGACTTGTGCCATTTTGCACCTGCGTTTCCGAGTAAGAAAGTCGGGGCCGTTGCCAGTTTCCCTTACACAGCTCCCTAGACCCCACTATTCTCGCACGGCTGCCCTCTCCTGAATATTCGACCAGCGCATGCCCTCCTTTGCTGCACATTTACAGCTTGAGCTTCGTCCCCCCTCGTGGGCGCAAATAAAGACTGGAAAAGCTCAAAACAACTCAAACATGTTCAGTTTACTTAAACCTGACATAGCTCAAAAGACACACACTTTACTCAAACACCAAGTTGCTTCAAAGGGCTCAATTTAACTAAGTCTCCTTGCTTGCCAGGGCTGCAAACGCAGGGAGTCGATTTGATTTGACAATGTTCAATTTCTTAAACTTCACGTTGTTTCAGAATGCACAGTCTACTAAACCCTAATCTTACCCTAAAACCGGAGCCTGCCCTTCACCCTAACCTCTAGGCGTAAGCCGTACCCTAGCCCTTTGGGGGTGGAGGTATTCGTTTGAGATCAGTTTGTTCGCACAAGTTCTCTTTATGCTTATGCCCGTACATGCTCAAACCAATAGTGAATCGTATAGTGCAAACCTATTTCGTAAAGAATCCGCACGTAATCCCATCTGCCCTTTGCTCACCAACTACGTCGGAGATGTGTGAAAGACATGGTGCTTTGCAAAACGCATGATTGTTGACATTCGAGGGCAGGCATGTGGGCTGACACCTTCAAAAATGCAATCGGCTGACTACATCATGCTGGATCTGCCCACGCTGCCCATGCAACCACCGTTTCTGCACGAGCCAATGTTTGCATGTTTGCGCTTGTCATGAGCGAATCTCCAAAACATACCTTAAAAGACAGAAGCGTTTGGTGCTTTGAAGTGCTTGGAGTGAAAAGTGGAATGACATGGTATGCATAGTAATCCCTCTTCGTCCCCGTGCTTTGCTCTTCGGCTTTGTCCTCGCGCCTTTTCTTTTTTCCGTCTTCGCTTTGCGCGAGAGGCCGGTCCACGAAAGCCGCAAGGTGTGGGACCCCGCGCTGCCATAGACAAAGGATAAGAGCAGGCTATGTTGTTGGGACACATCTCAGATGGTTCTTAGCAAACTCTCTAGTAATACAGGTTCTCCTGTGACAGGTTCTACTTTGCAAAGTCGGGGTGCTTCGTGAATAGCCTGATAGCCCGTCGTTCTCAGGTCTTCAAGCCGGCGAGGATGAAGGAGAGGAGCGGGTGGTTCCCGGCAAAGCCAACGCGTCAAAGTATAGTGCGCTCCTGCAGCGAAAGCAGGATTCTGCAATTGACAATGACATGCAGATGCTGAAGGAAGGGCTTTTGGAGGCTAGCATTGTCCAGAGTCCTATACCAGAGAGTCAGTGCCTGATGCTGCTGTTGTTGTTCTTCTTCTCCTCTGCAGTGCAGTGTAGGCTGCAGAGGCTGACGGAAAAGAGCAAGATGAGGCCCATCCAGAAGTTCAGTGCTGTGCTTTTGCAAGACTGGGCCCGTTGGGCCCCCATGAGCTTGGGACATTGGGGCAGGACGAGACCGAGCTTGCAGAGGAGGCAATGGAGGCAAGGAGTCACTTTTTCCATCCCACTTGGAACACTCCTTGACTTTGGTCTGGCCAGCAAGAAGGATGGTCATGAGCTGCGTCAGGCAGCAAGGTCCTGTTGAAGCGAAACGGCAGGAGAATGCAGGGGTGGACTTCTTCCAGATGCCTGAGGATGTGGAGTCGGAGCAGATGGCTGCTATGCAGGCGCAATGAGTCCAATGCCTATTCCTGCAGTTACTAGCTGTCTTCAAACATCCCCCTCGGTTTCCCCTTGAGGAGCGTGCAGCCCTTGCGTTGGGTGAAGCGGCCCTGGCCCCTGCAACAAGCACCGAGAGCGAGACCACACCGCCCCTTGTCAAAAGATAAGGGGGAGAAAGCGAGGGGATCATGAAGAGCGGCTTCCCAAGATCCCAGATCAGCATCGCTCGCACTGGAGGCTGGCGCCGTGCGATGCCGCTTTGGCAGACGAGGTCGCAGCAATGCTGAGCAGGGAACATCGTGGGGCGGCGGCGGAGCTGCTGAGCCTCGGGCACAGGGCAGATCTCGATACAACCTGGTTTGTCTACGGGGTCGGTCGGAGTCGAGATTTCGGGGGCTTTTGGGCCTAGGGCTGGAGAGTTCAGGTTAAGGTGCACTATGGGTTTGGGGTTGTGAAGCCGAATTGAGGTGGTCCTTTGTGCAACCATGGCTTCCAGGCGGTCCCCATGAATTGTCGGCGCTGGATTGTTTTGTTGTTGGCAGGGTTAGGTGATTCCGTCCGCACGCGAGATTTCGGTTCCCCATTCAAAATCCTCCAATGAACGAAAGGGGGTCCTGGGGAGGGGATGAGAGGTGGGGCGAAGTGTTTGGGGTTTGGATATGATGCCGAGTGCAGTGAGTGCTGTCGCTTCTCAGAATCTCGGACTCTCGAGGATGGAGCAAGTGGTCGCCGCCGCTCGCCTCGAGTCTGTGGAATCTCAGTTCTCGGACACCTTCGGGCAGCTTGATGCGCTGCTCCAGCGGGCCAAGGAGGCACCTGGCACCATGGATCACCATAGCACACTGTGAAGTTCTTTTTTCTGAGTGAAGACTCTGACTTCCCTTCAAATCTTTGAAAGCTCGCAGTGTGATAGGCTCGCTTGTCCAAGTACAAGGGTGGTTGTCAAACTTATGAGCCCTTTTGGGGTACCCTAAATATTGGGTGCCGTATGACAATAAGATCCAAAAAGGGACCATAATTTTGACAAGCACCCACATCCAAGTGCGCCTCCGTGCGAGGATGCCCTCTACACGCCCTGGAGCGCTGACCGTGCATCCCCTCGGTGAATTCAGTCATGCCCGCGTCATGTCGCTCCATGCCCGTTCATGTGCCGTGCGGGCTGCAGAGACTGGAGGTTGGAACAGGCTGCTGCGTGTGGTCGGGAGTCAGTCGGGCCTTCAGAGCACAGTGCAATATCCCTGCCATTGCAGGTCGAGGGTGAAGAATGGGACCAGGAGCCATGGGTCCATGAGAAGCATGGCGGGGTGCGTGGGGGGCTTGGGCAAGGGAGGGAGTCTGCGGAGCGGGAAGGGTAGAGGTGGTGGGGGTAGGGGCGGAGAAGCCACCTGCTTGGGCCGTGGACCATAATGAATGGGGAGCGATGGGGTCAGGGGTCCATGAGGGGCATGGGTGCGTGAGGGGTAAGGGGTAGGGAGCTGGGTCCATGAGGGGTAGGTCAAGGGGATGGAGAGTGTGTCGTTTCACAGGTCTGTTGGTTCTGCAGAGCTTTGCAGCATGTTGCAGCTCTTCAGCATGGACGCGCTTCTTGAGCGTCTCAGGCGCAACTTGGCTGCTGTGGAGAAGGTGTGGCACCCCAGTCAACAAGTCTCGAAGCCGCGAAGTGGTTGCAGAGTAGCATACCGCCTTGTAACCCAGGTCCTGAACTACATGTCAGAGTTTCAGGTCACTGGTGACAAGGCGCGGAGCTTGGCATGCAACCTGTTGCCGCTTCGTGATGCACCAAAAAAGGACACGGATGCTGTCATGGCGGAGTTAGTCCGGCACCAAGACTGAATCAGTTGTAACTCGTTCTGCCGGAGACGTGCTTCTTTGGTGCAGGCTGTTGAGTCCGTGGAATTGGTCCACCAGGCCGGTTGTTCAAGTTGTAGTTTCAGACAACAACAAAACCACCTGTTGAGGCGCCCGGTCCGTGCGAGCGTGACCCACAGACTGCGAACCGTGAAACCGATTTTCCCGGGGCCATTGGTTTATATACACATGTAGATATATATATATATATATCTACATTTTTTAAATATGCATATCCAACTCGAAGTTTAACAGACATTGTGCCACCTCGACGCCCCAGTGGGCCTCATCTTTGAGGCTCGACCTCAACCTCCTGCGGATTGAAGCTCCGCAGGCCAGACCAGGTTTCTGGCGATGTGCTGATGTGCTCCACGTCTCAAGGGTGCCAGGTCTTGTTCCTGGGTGGCTGCACGTTCTCCTCGCGGAAAGGAGGCCAGCTGCTTGATCTCCAGGTCTTACAATGCTGAGCCTGTGCTCCCTTCTTGCTTATCGTTGCACGTAATGACGTAGTGCAGAAACAACAGTTCTGCAAGTCTGACAAAAAGCCGATCAACAGCCGCGCATGCGCTCGCACCTGTTTGATTGTTTGCCATGCCTACTAGTCGAGACCGCTGGCTATGTTTGGCTTTGGGCGCAGGTGTGCTTGTGTGCAACCATATGACTTGGAGACAGCGCAGCTGTCCGCACTTGCAAATAATACTTGACACTTGTGGCGACCTGACCCCAGCCAGCTGACACCAACCTAAGAAGGACTCCATGTAGAACAAGCATCAGGATGACTGATCAATCCGCAGATTTGTTTGACCGTTTGTCCCAGTTGCCCGCCATGAATACCATGATGAACGGACAGATGGGTACCAAATCTGGCGCCCCCCCTTGTGAATCTTGGAAAAACCTTACGACAGTCGAGTTGTGGATGCCCAATCTTGTGATTCGGTGCGTTGTGCTGATTGTGCTGCAAAGGAGCGTGTGTTTGTCAAGAACCTGCCTGGCGAATCCAACGAGCAAAGTGTGAGAGCGATCTTCGAGAAGTATGCCAACGTCGTAGGCAAGGTTGTGGCAACAGCGGCAATCCCCCCTGCCCTCTCTCTAGCAACTTTCTATCTGATCTATCTCGCCTATCACCGTAACCCGTAAACATGCCAAGGCCTGTGTAGGGCCAACGAGAAGTCTCTGTCTCACCATGCTCCCGTGTACCGGTACAGAACTTTCACCAGAAGGGGGGATGGATGTTCCTGTGTTGGATTCTGGCAAGGTTGAGCTAATGCGACTGTACGTATCGTGGCTAACCGATGCAATCAGCACATGGTGTCATCACGCCGTGTAGCTTTTGCGGCTTTTCTGCAACTTCTGAACAAGCCTGCCATATCCCTGCACCGGTAGGTCTAACATAGAGTAAGGACAAACCCTGGCCAAAGGCGTCAAAGTTCTTGCGCCCTCCATGGGCAGAACGACCCTCGCGGGCTATGTTACCCTCGCAAGCGTGGACGAGGTGTTGAGTAAAGAGCACAAGAACCAAGAACATCTTAGGTTTAATTACTTTGAACTGGACGCTGATGCCTAGATCTTACAGGGATTCCTGCTCATAGAATTTCTTTCTTGCATTGAAGATGTACGGAGCCCTTCAGGGGAGAGTGTGATTGTGGTTGATCACCACTTGGTAGACAGTATCGGTAATGCATCCTTGCAGAGTTTGGTGGCGTGTACACCAGCAGGAGATGTGTTTTGCAGCGTATGGAAAGCAAAGCGGCATAGCTGTCACAGAGGGAATTGCTATGCGTTCGTAGGACCTCGCCCCCCGAAGTGCTAACCGTCATGTTTCAACACCAGCCTGCTCATGTACATATCGCCACAAGGCCGCTTGGATTGTTGAGAACATCAGTGACCACCCCCTTGAGGGGCTGGCAGAACCTTTGCAGCTCTGTTGCATTTTGTCGCAGTGCGGGTCGTTTCTGGACGCCACGGTCCGCAATCTGGAAAGACACATGACGGTGCCTACAGGACAATAAACTTCGCGTACGAGCCCGACAGCTCCAAGGGCATGGGCAAAGGCTCTGGTCAGGGATCAGGATCAGGCTACATCAAGCTGCCATGTTGAGATGCTTTTGGATGGAAGGCTTCATGGGAAAGAGCAGCATGGGCATGATGGGGTGGGGAGCTTGGCCTCTCAACACATTCCGACGGATTTGGATGTCCAACTTCAATCCAACTTCAATCTGCCAACGGCCTAACTGTGAGGTTTGCGCGGTTTTCGCATCTCTGAGGATGGGTGGCAAAGGCATGATGAAAGGAGGGCCCTACGATGGTGGGTCGAGGTACAAAACAATTCTGCGACTCGTCTGCTCACTTGGGGTCACCTGCATGCCGGGACAATGCTTGCATGGGTCTCACGCAAGTCACTTTTGCTGAGGTGCAAGTTTCATGCAAAAGGTGCAGGTTACTGCAAGAACGGGGACTGATGCTGTCCCTTGTTGACCATTTGTTGACCATGCTTTAGAATTCAAGGAGGTAGTAGCTCATCCTGATGCGATGTGATAAGTCTTCTTTTTGTCCCTGAAGGACGACTGTCAGTATGCTCATGGCGAGTGGGAGCTCGGTGGAAAGGGTGGTGGATTCAAGGGCGCTGGCTGCAAGGGCAGTGCGATGGGATACTCTGGCATGGGAAAGGGTCCTAGCTATGGACCCAGCTATGGAGGTTATGGAGGCTATGACAGTTATGGACCCTATGGCTCGAAAGGAGCTGGAACGAACGGGATGGCAGGGAGCATGAAGGGCGCCATGGGCATGAAGGGCTCCATGGGCATGAAGGGCGGACCCAGCGGACCCATGGCACAAGGCGCGGGCATGAAGGGCATGTCGAAAGGTATGGCTTGGGGCGGCGCGTCCATGGGCAAGGGCTATTAGCCAACCTTCGCCCTTCGAGAAGCTCTGGCTACACTTCAGTCACTTCAAAATGGCTTTCAGCTTTTTCAAGCCGAAAGTCTTCTGCAATCTTGTGCGTTGATTGTGCATTGATTGTATCCTGCAGACCAAGGAAAGGTGCCGAAACCGGTGAACTCTGCCTCTAAAGCGTAGTTGACAGCCAGGTTGTAGTGCTGTGCTAGGGAGAGATGAGATCAAGACCCTCCTAAGCCGTATGGACATTACATCACATAAGATGCGTGTTTTCAGCAGTTGGTGGTACACCTGGCCATCCTGTGCTCAGAGAAGTGTTATCAAAGTTTGTAGCGGCTGGACAGGGCTCTTTCATATGCTGAGCGGAGCAAGACCAGCAGTCATAGATACTGATATTGATATATTGGTATGGCCAGCTGTCCAGTCCAGTGACCGCGAGAACAGCTAGTGAAGTGACAGCATTATAGCCCATACTGCAACGCTGGAAGGGGTACAACTGGATGTTGCAGCATTGCCGCCATCTCTGTTCCACTACCCGCTTTGCGTGGCCACGCCGTAGTCAAAAAGAGGAGTCTCCCAGCCTGGCTCTGCCACGCTGTTTTGCTATGTGGCGATGAACATTTTTGCAGAACTGTGCCCGGTTGCAGTGGCTGGTTTTTTTTAAGTCTTTTGGCCAGGTCCGGATCGTGCTGCCATAGCGGACGCTGTTGTGTCCACTGTTCCGAGGCGAAGGACTGATTGCGAGCTGCATGTTAATTCGTGAATTCTTGTTCCTCACGCTCCGAAACGCCTGCCACTTGCCCTTCCTGCAGGATTCAAGATGAGATAGCTGCCAGCAGTGAGAACCTCCGCAAGACCCGAGGCTGAATGGGAGTCGCCCACCTCTGCCCAAGAAGCTGCCATTCAAATGTATTCATGGAGTCATGACAAAGAGTACAGCGTTCTGCATCAGGTAAATCTTCCCGGCCCTGCACTTGGCTTCGCGATTCCTGATTCTGGAGGTTGTTGGCATGATTAGCGACTAAAGAAAGAGTTCAAGCACCAGCTCTTCAGGCCACGATCACAGACAAACGTGCTGCGACCACATGAAGTTGACATGTGTAAAGCATTGTGGAGCTGTGCATACAGTAGCATCGTCTTCTCCTGAAGATAGGAAGCTGAGAACGATGCTGGCAAAGCATGTTCACATCATTGCAGAAGCCTAGAGGCCTTCGAAGAAGCCTCCGCTGGATGCCCCTATGGTCTTGGTCTCGAGCATCGGTTTGGACGTGATGAGTAATAATTGTTTTGTAGAATTGATGCATGCTTTTTCTTCGTCTGGCTCAGGCCAGCCTGTTGAATATCAACGGGGCGCAGGAGGTCCGTGCGCGAGTGGCTGCTTAGCCATAAAGTGTGCAAAGGTGTGGTTTATCCGTCCTCGTGTTATACAGCTGATGTGACTGCAGAGTATGAAATATAGCATCATTGCTTCAATTCGATTTTGTCCGCGGTCCAATTGTTCAATTGTCTTGTACCCATGTTCTGAGTTGCGCTCATGGGAGGCCTTGATGCCAAGGGTGGCTTTGATGTCAGTCCCTGCGCTTCAAAGACCATCGGTGCTCGGCTTGGCAGAACGCACTTTCTTGAGAAGAGAGTGTAGACTCGAATAGACTGCTAGCGTTCTTTTCGTGTTCGCAGCAGACGTGTGACAGACCAGCAAAGTACTCCGTTGCAGATGCAGCCGCTGTCAAGCTGCAAGATCACGTGCGCACGGAAGCTTTTCCAGCAAGTGTCGTACGATAGCCTGCCCCAGGAGTTTGCTTTTCTTATCTATGCTTCTCTGAACTGGCGCATGCCGGCATGGTATCAGAATGACATGATGATCGCAGTTCATACGCCTATGTATGGATCGCCTCTTTGGAATGGACAGCCCTCCGGCGCTGTGGGGTCCACGCAGCTTGGTTGGCGGGCTCAAACAAGCTGCCGGGGACACTCCAAGGCCGGCGCCTTGCGTAACAATCGGATAGGATTCGATGAGCTCTCTGCGTCTTCGAGCATTCTTAGCACCGATGAAGCACAATGCTGTGAGTTGGGCGAGTTGTGAGCCTCTGTTGAAGGACATCTCCGACAGGCGGCAGCCCCGGTCTGGTCTCTGTGCTCTTGGGCAGTGTTGCACATGGCGGTTTGGCAAGGGAGATGCAGAGTGATTCACCCCGGCACAAAAGAAACACTCGCCTTTCAGGAATGAAATCGATGCGAAGTATGCAGGGTGTGGACAGCCGATTCTCACACTCACAAGTCTGGGTAGGACGTGTGGGCCACCTGCTTCCCCAAAGGGTTTGAGCCATCACTGCTCTAGGCATCATCGGCCGTGCTGTGTGCTCAGTGCTCCCTGGGCGTTCAGCGCGCTGGGCCTCTGCGCTGCGGCTTCCTTGCGGGGAGGCCGGGCAGGCCGGGCAAGCCGAGCAGGCCGAGCAGGCCCAGCAGGCCGGGCAGTCCGAAGCAGTGTCAGCACCCCCGTCCGTGAATGAGAGCCTGCTCGTGTCTGAGGACGAGCCGGACGCGCAGCGGATTCGGAGATACCAAAGTGGATTTTCGAGGGGCGGGTACCTTTCAAGCACAGCATACACAAATTCTGCAGAGTTTAAGACCGAGTAGCCTTGCTGCAGCCGTGTGCAGTACTCGTATCAGTCGCATCATGCATCTTGTCTGCAAAGAGGTGTGGTTTCGCCCGGCAATCGTCCAATGTCCCCAGACGCCACCAGCCGCACAGGCTCAGCAGCTGCAGTCGTCATCGTCGTAGTAGTAGTAGTAGTCGTCGTCGTCGTCGTCGTCGTCGTCGTCGTCGTCGTCGTCGTCGTCGTCGTTGTAGTAGTAGTAGTAGTAGTAGTAGTAGTAGTAGTAGTAGTAGTAGTAGTAGTAGTAGTAGTAGTAGTAGTAGTAGTAGTAGTAGTAGTAGTAGTAGTAGTAGTATAGTAGTAGTAGTAGTAGTAGTAGTAGTAGTAGTAGTAGTAGTAGTAGTAGTAGTAGTAGTAGTAGTAGTAGTAGTAGTAGTAGTAGTAGTAGTAGTAGTAGTAGTAGTAGTAGTAGTAGTAGTAGTAGTAGTTAGTAGTAGTAGTAGTAGTAGTAGTAGTAGTAGTAGTAGTAGTAGTAGTAGTAGTAGTAGTAGTAGTAGTAGTAGTAGTAGTAGTAGTAGTAGTAGTAGTAGTAGTAGTAGTAGTAGTAGTAGGAGGAGGAGGAGGAGGAGGAGGAGGAGGAGGAGGGGAGGAGGTGGTACTACCAGTAGTACCAGAAAGAACAATCACACTCTAGGAGGACAAGCGCGGTCTCCTATAATGTGCTGTGCAGGGCTGGCCTCATGAGAGACACATGTCGTTATTTGGGCGTGCGGCACATTCCCAATACCCTCGCAGTTGCTATTAGAGAACTTGTATCTGGGCATGTCAAGCGTCGTGTTGAAGTAGGGCTGATGGCTGGGTTAGAAGCCGTTACCTTGAGGTCGTGATCGGGCATCGTGGGAGGGATGAGTGGAGAACGAGAAGCGAATTTCCGATGATGCTCATCCAAGCCTCTCTTGCTGAGCTTTCTCCCCCTCCCGCCTCCTGCCTCCATCTCCTCGCACCCGCAACCCTGGTCACACCCACCATCGCGAAACCCACGTTAGCTACCATCCATTGTCGTTGTCACACCAGGACCATGCCGCAGCCCACTCTGTAGCCGTCGTCTGTTCCACCTGGATCATCCCGGCAGCAGCACCGGGACCTTCCCGCAATCCATCCCGAACCATTCTGCGCCCATCCTGCTGCCAACGCCCGACAGTCCTCGTGACCTGCAGTTTGGGAACCCTGAACGAGAACCCGACCCCTAAGTCGTTTTTATGCTTTTGGGGAGAACATGTTTGGTAGTTGATGAGGACTTGCACCATCAAGGGGCCACGCACTTTCAGACTTGCAGGTGAGCTTCTTGTCGCTCTTCGGCTGGACGTTGGGGGGCACCGTTTGCCTCGAGCGACATGGCCTGGCCTGAGCTTGGCATTGTGGAATCACCATAAATTGCTGGAAGTATGCTCAGTATGCAATGTTCCTACAGCAACATGTCCAGCTATCACAATTTAAACATGTTCGTGAATAAGCCCCGTGGCTGCGTGATTTGTCAGACCTGAATGCAAGCTGTCACGATCTAGAGCGTCTATAGCCGATGCGACTCAAATGAAAGCTTTGAGCTGATGCCTAGCAAGGCTTGGGTACGTCGCTTCTGTAGTCCCATGGCCGTCCCTGGCTGTAGCCTCAGCAGACCTTATTCAAGATTACTTAAGTGTTAGCGCCCACCCAGATTTGCTTGATGTAATTAGCGTTTTTTTTTACGGCATTTCTTGCTTGGTGTTAAACTTGCTCTTTCGCATAGAATTCACAGACCATCACTTTGCAGTTCGGAAAAGATTGTCACCAAACAGCCCTTGAGTCTTCAAGTGCAAAATGCAGAAATTTCCGATCTTGCTGACTCAAGGTATGATTCGTCGCCCTGCGGCGCTTACCGCGAGGCTACTACATGGTTTCCGAAATGAATGCCTGTGTCAGAGATTTTTTTCTCAATTCATTGTTCTGTTGTTTGAAGCCTTTTGAAGCCTTTCGGTGGCTCTTGGGGCCTCTTGGGGGCTTCCTGAAACTTTCCTGGCCCTTCTGAAATATAATGGAGGAGGCCCGAAACCATGAATTTCAGTACTAAAAATCGCATTTTTCATTGCGGGTACGGGCAAATCCTGGGGTCGGGGACTTTTGAAGCCTTTTGAGGCCTTTTGTTAGCTCTTGGGGCCTCTCTCGGGGGCTTCCTGGGGCTCTCACCAGATCATTGACCACCAAAGCTTTAAGTATTGATCTTGTTGCACCTGGGCACTTGAATGTTTTTGAGGCAAGGCTTGCAATCTGTTCTGCACAGCGCTTTGTTGGGGGTGACATGTGCTGCAGGTGGTTGACATGGGTTCCTTGGTGGTCGGACGCGGTGGCGCCATTGGTCAGTCAGATGCCGAGCCTTACCACGAAGAGCTCCGTCATCGTCATCGATTGGCAAGCGGCAGCGTGTGTGATGACCCCCTGTCGCCGTGCTGCTCAAGACAGGTTGTAGTCGTGTGGTTGTGATGTGCGGGGAATTCCTGCAAGCTTTTTGACTGAGAACTGTACGAGCTGACCTGAGCAACGCCTTGGTGACAGTCCCATGCGCTCCTGCCATGGCAGCGTGATGCATGCGCATGAAGGCTTGCACCTGTTGTGCCTACTCTGTGTGTGTGTGTGTGTGCGTGCTGAATGAGTCTTGCAGGATGCTGATGCCTTGGTACCAGTTTTTCCGTTGTACTTGCAGAGGCCGCTGAACCTCCAGAGGCTAGTGCGCTGAAAGAAGACCGTTTCTACACAAATGCCCCTCAGTAGAAGAGCTGAGAGGAAGGAGCTGCCAGGTGTCGGTTTTGCTCTGATGATCTCTGATGCCTTTTCTTGTCAACCTGAGGATGTCATCGCAGAGATTGCCACCCTCCCTCTCTTCCTTCAGGAGATCTGAAGCTGTGTGTCGTGCACTCGGGCTCTTGTACTTTCTCTTACCGTCTCTGACGTTGTGCAAGTTCGGAGGAGAAACCTGCAGAGCGATGGCTGTCGGAGGTGAACCCCATTTTGTGATTCAGACGTTGGGGCGGCTCGAATTTGCAGAGCACGTTGGTTTGGCATCAATGGTGTCTGCAGGTAGTTGCTAAGCTGGCGCTGAGGGGCTGCGGCCGAGAGGTGTGCATTTGGCACATTGTCCGAGAGATCTTGCAGTTCTCTTGACCCAATACGAGAGACCATGCGGGACCACGTCCCTTCAGGAAGTTGCCTGGTTACTTTCATTGCCCTTGGACACCATCAACGAGGTGAGTTTACTCTTGATGAGCGCATGAGTTATGGACATCTCAGAAATAAAGGGATTGCAACGGATTGGAGTGTGCTTCGTGCTCGAGCTTGCGCAGATTGTGCAGGACCTTCCGCCCTCCGCAGGAGAAGACCAGTTGGGCACCTGCTTGCTCGAGCTTGAGTTCCTACCTCGAGGCACCACTACTACACTACTGATATACGGTTTAAATCAAAGACAAGTCCGAGGCCTTAACGTTGTCAAAATTCCAAACTATTCGGGGGGGCTTTCTGACCAGGTGTCAACATGGCTGCGCATGTGTGAACGTCATTCTTGATTCGGGAGAACAGCTTACCAGGTGCTGGCTGCGGCATCTTCGGCTCCAATTCCTCTCCGCAGCTGAATGACAGGCGTGTTCACAGTCCGTTCACGGCGTTTTCTCCATGGATCTCAGAGTGGCCGCCAGAGTTCCAACGATGTTGCGAGGCGCTGCACCTTGTGCCGAGACCTCTCTGGGGCCGAAACTCACGCCTTGGTCCTGGTGGAGGATGGTGCAGAAGCCATATGTGGGTTTTTCGCATGCCCGCTGATCCGGATGTAGAACAGCTCTGGGCATGCGCTCTCTAAGCTGCATACTGGTCGCGAAACTGCCTGTCTCGACGTTTGGAAATGGTCAAGCGGCAACTTCAGTCCAAAGCTTTCCGTTATTTTGAGCAGAGACGTTGGAGTCATTAGAGTCAGCAGAGGCCTTAACCCGCTCACTTTGTCTGGTCCTCACCTGGGTCAATCTGCGCAGATTGAGCTCATCCTCACCTGCTCATTTCCACATGTCCTCATTTCCGATGCATTTGCTTCGGCCCAGGCCGGCATTGATTCGGAGAGTCGATTCGAGACCTCTCCTCTTTGGTTGGGTCTATTTCGTTGGGTTCGCTTCTTCGCCGGAACTGTGCGAGGCCGAGGTTGAACGGTTGAACCAGGCAGTGACATTTCACGGCGAGATCCATCTTGAAGCGCCAAAAGCCCAGTAGAGGCAAACCGGCAAACTTTATGGTAATTCTCTAAGCAAGACAAATTCAAGACTTTTGCAGCAGTAAATGATCTTCGCCACACAGCCTTTGATGTTCAAGAGGAGAAAAACTTAGCGCTGTACACGCAGACGCTGACGTTTGAAGATATGACATCCAGAAGCTCCGAAAACACGGTATCGGTACGATGCTGGATTTGTGGGAGGATGTGGGATTGGGCAACGAGAGCGGGCCCACCGGGGAATTCCATCTCAAACCGATGAGCACCACACGCCATCCAGCTGGACCTTGTGCTATCCCCTCACATCAACAGATCATCCAAATTTCGGCACGATTTGTGGGCGTTGCCGTTTTGCTGGCGGTGCGCAGCAAGATTAGCCGCTATCTGCTGCACAGATTGGACGGTGTTGACCATCGACACGCTCCCCCGATTTTGAAAAGTTGTAAACACGGTCACGGCAGTGGGAGCTCATTCTCTTGTGTTGTATTTGTCTATAGTTATTTGACTCTATTGGCATCGTGATTCCACTCTGTGCCAGGCTCGCGGTGGGGATCCGCCAGGCGAGTATGAAGGCTTTTGCCGCTGCACTTGTTTCTTGCTGAGTGACTCAAGCCGCCGAGCACTTTGCTTCACATCGACCTTGTGCCATGTGCAGATGCCATGCTCATTGCCCGGAAGAATCTGCGCTTCGACTCCATTCCTAGCCGTCAGCTGTCCCTGGAGGCCCCAAAAGCCGTGGGGCCATGTATTTTCTGTATATACCTTCCCGATTGTGACAGAAAATGCCTCGTGCCATCTCAGGGTTCGCAGTGGCCCAATGTGGGCAACAGGCCCATTCCTGCGGAGGAGGCTTGGGGTCGGCTTGGTCGTGGCTGAAGGTCTTTGACTGTGCCATAGTGTGCCCATTCCCAGTCATCCCCAGTTGCGGTATGTTGCGATGGTGTCCAGGTGCAGGCTCCGGCATCGCTCCTGGGTCAGGCTGTGCCAGGTCCACCGGCACTGTCCAGCACAGAGGCGCGAACTGAGCGAAGACACGTCGCCGCAGTGCGGCAATTCGAGACAACAAGAAAACATCTGCAGGCGCTCCGTTGGCTGGAGGCCTGCGTGGCGAGGCTGCGGGTCAAGGCCTGCCCTCGCGAGGCTGCGGGGGACGGGAAGGTCAGGGCTCGTGTCTGCGTGGTCTGAGGGGGATTGAGGGGGTGTGTACGTCATGTCACATGTGTCAGTGTGCTCTGTGCAATCGCCCAGTGCAACGCTCAGTCTTAGGAGATCGCCTTCCTCCTGTCGCTGCCGGCGGATAAGCTGAGTTCTGCCTTGCCCGCTCTCGGCACTGATCACGTGGGTGCCTTGCTCCAGGCAGTGTTCATGGTCCTTGCGGTCACCTTGCGGTCATTGGAGAGTGGAGAGCCAAGTGGAGAGTGGAGAAGTGATGACAAGCGGGGCCTCTTGGAAGGACATACCCTTCATCCCCCAGGGGGCACGCTGCCGAGTGGAAGGCTCCACGTCCAACGCCAAGCTCAATGGCTTGGAAGGTCGCACTGGAATGGGCTGACTTGAAACCGCGCTTCCATCTTCGTTTCCGTAATTTCCGTACCATTCCTGTGCCAGGACAGCTCACGGAGTCCTGCCCTTCGCACTCAACACATGCGAAGCTTCTCCTGCCTGGACCTCCTCCCTCGGTGTTTTATTTTAACCTTGGCATGTGCAAGCAAGCAACGCATGTGCCCCTGCAGGAGAAGGTGAAGTGATGACGCTTGTCTGAAAGGTATCGTGCAACTCTCGGCCACCAGACTTGACACGTTCCTCTCGTTCTGGTACCTTGGGGTTTCCGGGCTGGGGTTCGGCATTCAGATCGGAGACTTTTGCCTGTTGGGATGAGTTTCTGGTGGAGGCTGATTTGTTCTGAAGAGACCTAGTATTTCGGTGCTCGCACGGTTCGTCATGTTTGTGTAACGAGACTTTGAGGAGATTCAGACTTTGAGGAGATTCAGGCTTGTATGAAATGACTTGAACTGAGTGAACCTCGTCTGAACCTCTTCTGTTGCAAGGATTCATCGGAAGAACCTTCGCCTTCTTGCTCTGGGCAGCTTGAAGTCTGAGGCGGTAGGGAAGACAAGCGGAGGTGTCATGATTGCATGAAGCCAGCATGTCCCTAGCTTCGTCTGACATTGTGAGAATGTGTCGGCGGTAAGCCACTTGTCACGAAATCAAGCTGTCGCTCTGCTAGATCAATGCTTCATGCCAGCGCCCCACCTTTTGCAACCTTGTCATGTTCAGGTCTCTGCGCTTGGCTGGGACTCCGCTGCTGCGACGAAGTTCGAGCGGCGGCGCCGCAACGGTTGGGACATCGTCAGGCAGGAGTTGCCTAGACATGTCTAGACCCTAGCCGCCTCCTTAGCTGCCGTAGCCTTGTCCAAACGAGCGTCTGAAGCACAGACTTGCCGTGCATGCAAAGCTGTGCAGGATGGAGCATCTATGGCTGACGCTTGGCATCTTTTTGCAGCCTGAGGTCCTGTGTAGTGGTCATCTTGGTTGCCCTTGGTTGCCTCGGTGTCGAGCAATGAAGATTGGACAACTCCGACCATACTCCAGCAAAATGTTCTGCCTAAGGAAGAGCTTCGACGGCTTGGTGACATGCATACCTCCGGACGTCTAAGCGATGTCGAGTTCCACGTGGCCAAGACGAAGCTTCTGGCCGCCCAGTCCTAGTTATCCTAGCTTAGCCTCAGGACGCTCGGCTTGTCTGGGTGCTCCGGTCACCGGCGCGGCTCGAAACTGAGCCGTGGCGTGGCCAGTGTACATATCGCAGAGGGGCTGTCTCCAAAGAGTTTGAGATAGCTGAACTTTGCTGGCCTAGCTCAACTTTGATCAGAAAGAACGTCGTGGGAGTCTGCGAGCGAAGGGGCTTGTCTGTTGTCCCAGGTGGGGCTCGAGGCTCTGCGTCTCTTCCAAAGAGGCCGTTGGCAGAATCTCTGCCTCCACGATCTTGACTGGCCATTGGTCTATTTCCGAATCGGGAGGCCGAGGTGCTGTGCCAAGAGGTCTGGCAAGTCCCGGCAGAGGAGCGAACGATCCACTTCCAGAGTCGGGCCGTCAGCAAAAGTCTTGCGCTAGTTCGCACTCGTTGGCTGTTGATCGCATGGACAGATGCCAAAGGTGGTGAAGCCCTGCGTTGCAGCGTGTCAGCCGGCGATGCGGTGAGCGTGTCTGGTTGGGAGGCAGGGAAATCCTCCGTTTCAGTCATGCACCTCCTCCCAAGCCTGTTCTTATTTGGGGGTCATGCTGCGACTGCAGTTGGAGGGCAAAGAAGATGGAGCTTTGCCCTGAAACTCATTCCTGCCAAGAAAGGTCGCAGTAATGTAAGGGAATGAATGAACAATTGTGTCAACATCTGCCCGTTTCGTGAAGCAGCTTGAGCTGAAGGAAAACGAGCTGGAAGGCGGAGGCAATAGTACTCTCACAGTGCGACCGGCTGGGGACCCCCCATCAGGTCAACCCCCTTCTGTCAGAAACACTTCTTTTAGGCGTGGGGGCTTGCCGCCCAACGTATCATTTATCTATGCAGCCCCCGCCGGGCCGTGCAGAATCCGATCGTCAACCTGCACCTGTCAGATAGCCCCTGTAGGTTCTGGGGTTGCCAGAAAAGAAAGGTCAGGGCGTGTGGTCCGTCTGCTGGTTAGCCACCCCCATCCCTGGGACATCAGCTCAAAGGCAAAGGGGAGGGACATAGTTCTTCGTTATCGTGAGGTTGAGGTCCCATCGCAGTCTGGTCGGAGACACCTGACTGACCTGTCATCCATACATATTGCAAGTGTGGACAGTTTTGCCCACCTGAGTGTACTTGAGGCTCTGCGTCTTTGTGATGGGGCTGAAGGGACTCTTGGCATCATGTGGCAGGATGTCATCAAGTTCTCTTAGAGGCAGGAAGGTTCTCGAAGGTCCATTCGCTCTCCTTCGCTCAGGCCTGGAATTGCCCTCAGCTTGCCTGGCCGGCTGCCCCTTTGGTGGACGCCTGCCATCAAGGCAGGCCGCTGGGCGGGCAGAGCGGGTAAGTTAGGATGCGCTAGGTCATTGCAAAAGCACACGGGATCGGCGGCGTTAGGGCGGCAGGCCATGGGTTTCTTTTTCAGGCACTTTGGCTTCCGCTTCGTGTCGGCGACGGCCCAGATGCCTCTTGAACGAAAGTTGTGCTGACAGTGTGTTGTGATCGTGTGCCCTTCTCGCTTTTTTCCATTTTTTTCCTCTCCCAGGAGCCAGAAGAGGTGGCCTTGGACCTTCACCGCCTCTTCCTTTCCGCTGTGCGTGTGGCCCTGCAGTGGCGCTGGCCAGGACCGCGTTTCAAAAGCACGGCTTACAAGGCTTACAGTGCAGCACGCACCCCTGAGGGCACAACTCGACGGAGAGGCTGCATGCAATGCAGCAAACAACGGCACAACAAACATGCACGTGACAAGCGTGGGACAGGAGATGACAAAGCTACGACGGGTCCAGCGGATGGTTGGCCATTGCCCCTGTCCATCTTGGCCGACGGCTTCTTGGACCCTGATTGGTGCTGAATAAAAGGATAGAGCGTGTGGAGGTGCGGCATGGGCTGAGTTGGTGGATGCTGCCTGCAGACCAGGAGTGAAAATCGAGATCTGTCCCAGCTTTGGGAAGTTGTGATCTGAGACGCAGGCCCGGCATCTGCCCGCGCCTTTGCCTCCTGACGAAAAGGGTGTGAAGACAGGAGATGTGTCCTTTCCCCTTCGGCGAGCATTGCAGGAGCCACCTGTATGGCTGCCGTGGAAGCTATCAACGGCTCTTCAGCCCTTCTTACAAAGAGCGACTGTAGGCTACAGCACGTAATCTGGTTCTCCTATGATCTCCTGAGGCTTGCAGTTGGAGTTGGAACTAGAATGCAGTCGTCTTAATCCCGTCCGACCGATCCCCGACCACCCCTACCTAACGAAGCAACTTTCAGCAGCAAGCCTCTGCTGTCTCTTTCGGAATGTCGCTCGCATGGCTCGGCGTGGCAAAGGCCTGTGCAGAGGACAGGGGCGATGCGCACCAGGCTGGGTTGGCTGCATAAACGCACTTGTTCAGCTCAGCAGTACGAGGCGTCGTCGGTACCTCTGTTCGCTCGGGGGGAGATGGTTTTGGGGCCACGGTTATAACGGATCCGATGCCAGCCGTATCTGTAAGGCGGCTCGAATCTAGAAGAACTCCCATATGCATTTCTGATCCACAGTGGAGCTCGCAGACCAAGGCATTTGTGCCCTGGACTCGGTCAGGCCCCCCACCACGCCAAAGAACCAGAGCACAAACATGGGTGCGGCAAGCGAAGAGCAGCATTCGATTTGCCAGGAGTTGCTACTGAGCTCGGGTCATATTGGCCTCAACTTGATTAGCAGAGCAACAAGATCAGAGACACCAAGCTCGTCGTGCCAACGCCAACTTACTAGTCATAGAGCCATGGAGAGGGTAATCGTAAGAAGGAAGATGCCAGCCTTGACCATGACTAGAGATGCCCGAGCTCCGTACAAGCAGAGAAGCTGTGCCTAGTGCACAAGTTATGAGAGAAATGCCGCTTGCGGGCTGGCTCTTGTCAGCGCTTGAACGACCATCCGGCCTCAATGAAGCGAGGGTCGACGCCGTCTTCGAAGTGCAAAAAAACACTCGAACATTGGGGTTACGTCGGATGCACGTAGTCACTTGTGAGGTAGCAGAGGCGCTGGAGCAGTTGGAGGCCATGCACGTGTTTTCTAGTTCTGGCAACAGCTCGCACAGCTCACGGTGGTTCACGGTGGTTCACATGAACTTGAAGTTTGTTGCCTTGGGATTCGGAGACCAGGCCAACAGCGCTCTCTGGCGCGAACTTCGCGCCGAAACCTGGGAGCGCTTGCGAGTCGCAGATGCGCAATTGAGGCGCGACGCTGCACCGTGTGAGAGGCACATGCGACGCGAATGTGAGACGTTTCGGAGCCCCCCCCCCCCCAACGACCAACCGATCAAAGCTTGTGTTGATTGTTTGCGCCGCTTCGTCGGTACAAACATAGCGAGGGGCTGCAGTGCGTAGGTCCTTCAGCATGGATGAGATTGCGCGTTTGAGATCGTGTGGTGGCAGCTCGCCGATCATGTCCCTGGCTGTGGACAGCTTCTTTGCTTCTTTCTTTGCTCTTTTCTCTTTGTCAAAGTTTCCTCGTGCCAGTTGCAATGGTAGGATTTGTTGCGCCCACCATGGCTACAAATGCCGCAGCAAGTGGCCAACGCAGCAGACAGGCCAGCCAACCCCGCTTGTCCACTAATTTGCTGAGGGGGCTGGATACATCGTTCAAGTGCGAAGCTGCCTTGCCCAGGCTGAAGTTTTCCCCGGAACGGTCTGAGTCGGAGCCCACAGAGGAAAGTTCCGATGCCCCAGCGGCAGAGGCCGGCAGTGGTGAAATCTCTTTTGTCAAATCAAGAATCTTGGAGTCTTGGCCTTGGCTTCAGGTACTCTGTACCGTCGACTGTCATCCAGCGGCTCAGAATGATGTGGTCTGCTTGAGGAAATGTAGTTCGGCCAGAAAGCTTCACCCAACGATGCTCAGGATTTGGATGAGACGGGGCTTTGCTGGCAATGTCCTCAGAGATGCACAAGTCAGACGGGACTCATCCTCAAAGTGCCTCAGAGATGCACCAGGCATTGCTGGCACCGAGATGAGTGCAATGGTCGACCTAATGAAATTCAGGCGGGCAGATGGCTCGGAAAGTGCTGTGTGACTATGTGCAACGACCGAGAAAGCCAGTCATACTCTTTTGAATCGGAGTCATTTGTGTCCCACTCTAGCCTTGGCTCGGCCAAAGACAGGAACTGCTGGCGGCCGCCCGGCTGCTTGGTGCTGGCGCCGTGTTAGGCCACCGAGCTCGCCTGGTCGCCCGGACCCCAGCATACCAATTCTTACCACCAAATTTGGCCGTGTCTTTGTAGGTCGCAGATCTCCGAAAGTGTCAGGAGCAGCGCTGGCAATACCCTCGGCGCCTGGCGTCCGCAGTGCTGGTGGCACTCGCTGGCCGAGGCCAGTCTTGTCCACTAAACTCGGAAGCAGCTTCTCACCTAGTATACAGTCAGCATCAGCCACCAATGGCACCAAAATGCTGAGATGTGCTGAAGGATCTGGCGGAGGCGACGCGCGGCTGCTGGTGCTCGGTGGCCTCGGAGCGCCTTGGCATGGTTTGCTGCATGCGCGCCTACACTTGCTTTGTCTACTTATAGACCAGCTGCAAGAAAAGCCCAGAGAAGGGGCCTGGAGAGGCTTTGGGTGAAGGAGCAATGTGATGACGCTGCTGATGTTCGCCCTCTCGGGGATTAGGAACCCATTCGCACCCTTTCCGGGCTTTGGAACCCTCCAGGTGAAGCAGCAGGGCGATGATGCTGCTGATGTTCGCCCCTTCTCTTCTGGGCTTTGGGTCAGCAGGGCGATGATGCTGCTGATGTTCGCCCCTCCTCCGTGCTTCTCCGGGCTTGGGAGCCCGAAGAAGGGGCGAATATCAGCATCAGCATCATCGCCCCAGCGCTTCACCTGGAGGGGCTCTCCAAAGCCCGAAGAAGGGGCGAACATCAGCAGCATCATCGCCCTGCTGCTTCACCCGAAGCCCGAAGAAGGCGCAAACATCAGTTGCATCGTCGCCCGGGCACTTCGTCTGGAGGGGCTCCAAAGCCCGGAGAAGGGGTCTGGAGGGGCTTTGTGCTATGTTTCCTTAGCTAGGTACGTGCATGTAGGTGCACAGCAATACCCTTTCGAGAGCAAAGCTTAAGCCAAAACACAAAACAAGCACTAAAAGCGCATCAAGGCCCCGGCAAATCGCACCCTAGCCACCAACACGAACCCAGTCTATGAAGCAAAACGTGGAGCAGTGATCGAACGATTTTTGAGCCTACAAGGTTTCAGAAGGTTTCAGGGGTGTGGGGAAGCGGGATGGCCGCCATTCTGCTGGTTTCTGCAGCTTTTCCCCTATGCGAGCACGGACTAGGCGGGGGTGGCCCTCAGGTCTGTTGTTGGGATGTTTTGGGGTTGGGTTGGCTGGTGCGCGAGTGGCGCTGCCGGAAGAAAAGCTGCGATCCGCTGATGCTCATGATGTCCGCTCTCCAGGGCGCTGGGGCGACCCAGTAACGTCCACGGCCTTTGGGGCGGCGAGGTGACCTCCTCATGCTCTTGATCCCGGCTTTCAAAGCGAGTTCTGGCTGCTGCTGCTCCCCTACTGTACCGAGGGACCCCATGCTGCTCATCTCTCTCGGGAGATTCGTCCAAATGCCAGACCCAGTTCAAGTCATCTATCCAAAGAAAAAAGTGGCTGTTGCTGTTGTGTTGCTGTCAGGTCTCTGCGGTGGCTGCTGCCCGATCTGGTGCCTTTGTTCACGTCCTGGAGCCGAACGAAACGGCCAGGGCGGCCTTGGCGCAGGTCTTCCGTGTGGAGCCCAGAATGGCGAGCCCAGAGTGGAGAGCCCAGCTGGAGCCCGGGGGCTGAGGAGCAAATGGAGTGGCAGATCGTGTCAGTGTGGTGACTGAGCTGGAGTCGAGATCCTTCGACATTTGTGCCATCGAAGGCGGGAAGCTTGAAGAAGCTCAGCGAAGATGCCATCTCTGACTTTCACCGACTCACCCCTGAGGACTCGAGCCTGACGGCCTGTTGGGCTGCGGTATGCTGGCGGCGCCACCTTTGAGTTCTCATGGGCATGGCGGCATGGCCTTGGTGGGTTTGAACCTGCAAGGTTCTGCAAGCTCTTGAGCTCTGCAGGTGCTGCAGCGGCTTCAGCCAAAGCTTGCTGGAGCGCAGGCCGCTTGTTGTGACTTGTGAGTTCGGAAGAGAGGCTGTTCTACGGGCGGAATGCGGCAACGACCCAGGTTCTGCCCGTGACTTTGCACCTGGACGTGGCCTTGGCTGCATCGCGGCTCACCGCTGCAGCCGGCATTGAAGGAGCGATCTTGGAGTCTGGAATGCAGCAGCGCATAGCTGCGCAATTTGCGCAGTGTCGTGCAGGAACCGGTAGACTGAACAAAGAGACTGTGGGTCCTGGCCAATTCTTTCGCTGCTAAGGAGCCGTTCGCCACGTCGCACGGCGGTCTCGCGCCCGTGCCCGTGGCGCTGAACCAAGGCTTGAAAGCTGTGGGACCTCTTCGCCACATTTGCCATATGTTTGCCATATGTAACGCGAAGTTGTGCGTCAAGTTGTTTCTTTGTTTGCTTGCTTGCTTGTTCGTTGAGGCGCTGCGACGCTTTTGCCCTCGCAGCTCTCGGAGTTTGGCGCCGCGTGGCGCTTTCCAGCGATTCCAGTCCCAGCGAGCACAGCATGCACGTCACAGAGAGCCTCGGAAAGCAGCAGGAACACTAAAAAAAGCCTGAATGTTGAAGCATCAGTTGAGCTCTGGCTGAGGAATGTCGAGGTTGCGCATGTTCATGCTTGCTTGTGCTTTTGCAGGCAGTATCCGGTTGCAGTTGCTTCAGGAGGCGCAGGCAAGGAAAGCTGTCCGGGTTCAATTGCGTGCGACCATTCTGATAGTGTCTGCGCAGTACAAGGTGGACTCGCTTCTACTCAGATTTCATGCCGACTTTGGCGACATGGGAGAAGGCCTGTCTGGCACCAACATACTATGCCAAATTCATCGGGGTGTTTACTATGTTCAAACTTCAAACCATGGCCATACATCGCACAAAACTGCTCAGGCTGGACGGGACAAAGCGTGCAGCAGCTGCCAGCTAGGTGGCACCATATGAAGAATCCGGAATCATTGATCGACAGGGTATGTGCACGTTGAGGAGACGTGGGTGCATCTGTCTGCGTGCAGGCTAGAGAAACTTCCAGCCGGAAGCGAGGTTGTGGTGACATGCTCTTGCAATCTCCAGCGGTTTTGGTTCGAGGCAAGCAGCAGGAAAATCGAAAAAATCGGAAAGCAGCCGGCAGCAGATGTCTTTGATGTCTCTCTGCCCCCAGTGCTAGATTTGCCCTCCGCCCGTCTCTTAAACGACTTTGCCCCTTAAAGCTTCGCAACCCTCAGCCCCCTCTCTGAGACCCTAGGCCCTAGTGCAGAAACTCTGCAGGTGCCCGACCTCACGCTGTACTCTTCACCACCCTTGCCGCGAATATTCCTTCTCGAGCCCTGTCCTCAAACATGCTGCGTGTTTCGCACTGATCAGCCTGAGCCGAGGACTGGTACGCTGAGATGATGAACGATGCGCCGCGCAACGCTGCATTTGAGGCTGGGATTCGCAGCGCCATATCCGCCGCTCGCCGGCCCGACGGGGCTTGCCGCGCCACCCAGTTGCACGATGGTGCACTGCTGTTCATTATCTAGACGTCCCCAGGAGAGCCGAGGTCGTGGACCTTGGTTGCGGCGCGGGTCTGTTGTCGCTGTTGGCGCTTCGCGCAGGCAGGATGCAGGATTTGAAAAGTCTTAAAGTCTTTCAGGATGTCTCAGGTCGACCCACACTCACCGTGTGCCCTTGCCTCAGGTGCCACAGAAGTGCTTGGAGTGGATCACTCGCCACACCTGGCACGATGTGCACGGCGGGTGTTGTCCCAGGAGGAGAAGGCACCTGCTCCTTGGTGTCCAGAGTTTGCATGCCCTGATATCGGCACTTTTGCGTCATTCGCTTTGCTCGGCAGGTATCCGTGTTGTGTGGCGACATTCGCATGGTTTCCTTCGAGGAAGAGGCACCCTGCAAAGACGTATACACGAAAGCTACTCTTTTGGAGCTTGCCGAAGACTTCGTTTGAAGATCTTCTTGGTGGGTCGACAAGCGACCCCAACGCATCCTGCCAAGTCACATCTGTAAGTTTCCTTTGCGGACCGTAACCCGCGCTCCCCGAAACCCTTAAACCTCGCTCCGACCGCTTCTTCAGCCATGCCTGGGAAAGATGCAAAATGATCAAAATGGCGACATGGGGCGATATGGGAGTGCGTGCACGGGAGCTGCTATAAGCGTCGTTCTCATCGCACAGGCAGTCGCTGGTACTGTGGACGTTTTTGATCGAACGGGCAAGTCTAGGTAATGGATTGGCTTGTAGCCTAAACGCTCTGGCACCTTGCACGGGGTCGACGTCGCCAAGCTTTGTGCGGCCTAACGTGCTGTCGGAGGGTTGAACCTTAAGCGTTGCAAACAGCAAACATTCACCCCAGCATTGCCGCAACACCTGACACATCTGCGCAAGCAGTGCTCGACTCGCGTTGCTGATACAACAGGGTCAGCCAGCTTTCGTAGCCCTCTTCTCAAGAATCTTTCGAGCAGGACCGGTTTGATGTGGTCGTGGCAGAGCTCCTGGATGCTGGCGGCCTTGGTGAGAAGATCGTTCCCTTCATGCGCCATGCGAAAAGCAGGCCTTGGTCGAAGAGTCCAATGATGCCGAATGATTCGAAAGTAGTAGCACGTAGGACCTATAGGAACTAATGTCGTAGCCAAGCCGCCAAACCCACGAAGCCATGGCTTACAAACATGGTTGCGGACACAGAAGCAGAGGTACCCAAATCTACCGTGCAAGCTGCTGTGCAAGCTGCTGCAAGGCTGCTCCGGGAGGGCGGCCGCTTGGTGCCACGTGGCCTCCGCATCCGCGCCTGCCTCCTGGAGGCCCGGCTGCCAAGCGCAAGTCCAAGCGGCAAAGCCGGCAAAGCCGGGGAGCCTGGGGAGCCTGGGGAGCCCGTGGAGCTCTCGGCTTTCGAGCCCTTTTGGTTGCCGGCACGAGCTGCTCGAAGCGAGTGGCTGGGTATTGACCTGGATGCTGGCTGCGAGTGGGTTGCGGCCTCGGAGGCGGTGGAAGTTTTTTCGCTGTGCCTCGACCGATTGCTCGAGGGGGGAGGATATCAAGTGGCTCAAACAGAGGATAAAGTTTAAAGACGCGACTTCTGACTTATGCACGCGGGACCAAAAATCTAAGGAACTTCCTGGGCTCCCATGCGGACCTAATCGAGGCGCTCCAGGACCGAGCAGCAAGAGTCCCACGATGAGTCCTTTTACTTTGTTGTTGCACTTGGAAAGCCTCTTTAGAAATCTTTCGGAAGTGCCGAAAGCATCGTCGGCCAAAAGCTCCTAATGCCTGCGGGATTTTGCAAACTTCAAGCTTAGTTCGATGAATCGGAAAACTTGTTCATCGACAACACGTTCAGAAGACATAAGAGAAGGGATGAAACAGATGGCAGGTGACAGGGCGCCAACGCCCAAAACCCAGGACATTTGTCCTCCTTCGAGGCACTTGGCCCAAGGCAGATTTCCAAAGCAGGCTCAGACGTGCAAGGCCATGCAAGTTCACACGTCAATATCTATAGCTTGCTGTGGCCGCTAGTCATGTTGCGGCCCAGTGTTGCAGACTGAGTTAGCATCCAGCTGATGTGCGATAAGGCAACGTTCCTGCACATGTTTCTCGCAGTGCTCTGCAACGACACGTTGTCCCGCGAGGAACGCGACCTCCGATTTCCACTGTCCGGGCACCACAAAGTCAACGCTGTGGCCTGGTGGTTCGAAGCGGAAGCATGGCCAAACTAAAGTGGATGTGGGACGTGCCGGGAGAGACGTGGCAGCTGGGTTGGTTGTCATGGGTGGCATGGTGGGCCACAGACGGCGAACGACGGTGGTGTCATGTAGCAATGCTCAGTGCCGCTAGAGCCGCTAGACGTGCTCAGGATTTGGGAAGTGGCGAAGAAGGACGCTGACACCTCAAGGGTTGCTTTCCAAGGGCAGACTCCAGGGAGATGGCGGTAGATTCGGATAGGTTGAGTCGTTGAGTCAATCTGTGCAAGGAGCCTGTGACCTCACCAGCGCCCCAAGCCGCTTCCGCCCCTCACAATGCAGCGCCACACATTGGGCGCCTTGGGCAGAAGCTGTGCAGAAGCTGGCTTTGCTCAGATCTTTCCAAGCATACTCAGACATCTTGAATCTCAGGTCCAGGCCTTGGCAGGTGCTTCTTGACAGCTCGTGGCATGTGCTCTGCCGTTTTGAATTTGTCCCCTGAGAAGGCATCGGGCCCTACGACGTTCCGGACGGCGCCTCCGAGTTCAAACTTCGCATTCGCACAGACGGGGTGACTTTGACCTGGACTCCTCTGGCATTCGACAGCGCCACGGCACCTCGACTGGCCTGGTACTCGACGTGGATTCGACTTGGATTCACAGGAATTTCAATGGAGGTTCACGTGTGATGGCCATCTGTATGCCACGTGTGTACTGCTCATGCGTGCTTGAGCGATGTGGCAGCCTTCCCCCCGTTTGCAGTCTAAGGTGCCTGATGCGCCTGAGCGCAGCGAAGAAGTCGCTGCCTGGAGCGCGAAGGTGGCCGAGGCTTCACGACAGCTCCAAGGCTCAGCAGTGATCTCAGTGATCTCCACATATCTTCACATATCTCCACATATCTTCACATGTCTCCGCATATCTCCGGCGTCCCTCTACTAGCTCCGAACCGCTCTCGTCGTCCCGCACATCATGAGCAACGTGCGATGCATCCTGACATACTGACATTGCAGATATGGAGAACCGCTTGGACCGCGTTGGCGATGTAGCCCGAGTGCAGGCCACTCCAGGGAGCTTCAGGGCTTCATGCAGGGATGGTGCAAGGAGGGTCTCCCAGCTGCCGCCTGCAGGCGCTGCAGTCAGCGGCCCTTTCCCTGGCAGCGCAGCCGGGTCTCTTTGGACTAGAGGCAGGGCCGTGGCTGCACAACAGCTCTCGGCCATCAGAGACCTCGTTGCTCCGTTGTGGTGGCAAGGCAACTCCTGATGTGGTGGCCCGATTGCTGAAAGGACTCTTTGTGTGAAAAGACATGCGCGTGTGCCGGGGTGCCGAACGCTATGACAAGATCACACTTTACACGTTTCCTCAAACCTGGATATGCTTCTGCCTCAGGTGCCGACAGTAACGAAAGTCCACGCCTCAAGTGCTTGCTTTCAAGTGCCGCGAAGTGTGCTTAAGCGGGCGCGGATGTGTACCGACCACGGATTGCCATTTCTCAATATTTTGTCAATGGCTCCCTAAGGAGCTCGCGACCTCAAAGCCCGCTGCAGTGAGCGCGGCTCGAGGAGGGGTCTGGGGTTCGACGCTGGAGGCTGCCTGCCGCCAATCTCCTTTCGACATCTTTCGAAGCAGTACCACCCGCTGGGACGCTGCGTGCAGTTTTGCAGCGCATTGATGATGTACGTTAGAGTTTGTGAAGGGGAAGAGAGCTTGTCTTGCAAACGGCCCGGCAACTTGTGGACCTGTGGACGTGCCTGGCGAGGCTGAGGAGGAGGTGAAGTCCGAAGCTGGTGCCTGGCGCGATGGGGTTGGGGGCTCGGTTCCGGCTCGTGAAAGCCTGAATTCAACACTTGGGTCCTCAAGGGCATGCTGGGCATGCCATGCCAGGCAGACTTGGAAGCAAGGTTGAGCCAAACTCATATGGCCGCGTAGCCTCGTGACAGCCACGACACGCAGTTGACGCCTAGACAACGTCGCCATCTACACCCGCAATGATACTGATGAGGATGGTTTCGCCTTTGCCTTTTGCCACGCAAACTGCACTGTTGTGTTTTGAGCATGTGGGTGTGCGAGATGGTGCTTGAGCTGGTTCTGCCCTAGTCAAGATCCATTGCAGGTTAGGGCTTTTCTTGGTTTGGCAGTTGCTGCGCACCTTGCTGTCTTTGTTGAGTATGCGATGCAAAGCCTCAAAGCTGTGTCCGAAAATTGTCGCTGTGCTTGTGGACGTCTTGCGTGAGCATCGTCGATGTGGCCATACAGCGCACGCTCAGTGTAAGGCTATAACGCGTGTCAACGGTTTGCCCTTGTGAGCGTTTTAGAAGCATGGAGAGTTTCGGAACATGGAGTGTGACCTGGACCTGAACTCTGAGGTCTGCAAGTACCTCTCCAAGCCTTCGGCTCCCCTGGCAGGAGCCCATCGCACGTGCATTCTATCAGGGGAACAGGCAAAGAGTGCGGGAGCTAATGCAACATATGCTACAACCAGAAGCCCTTGAACGCCCAAGTGGAAAACCCGGGTGCAGACATGCATCTCAACACATCTCTTTCATTTCTAGTTACGCCCGTGGGGAGACCGGCTAGGACAAAGCTCATGGTGCGAGGTCAAACGTGGCAACATAGGCTAAGGAGCCAAGCTAAGCTCCCCTGTAAGACATGCCAAAGGTTGGCAGTCGGCGGGGCATGCCATAGAAACACTCAACCCGCAAGCGACAGGCGCAAACACATACAGTAGAAATTAGGCCTCAGCTGCGCAAGCAAACAACAAGAAGCAAACTCCCGCTCGTGCAAGTCCCTGTACGATGGAACAGGCTCCGCTCCCAGTTCTTTTGCGGTTTCGCGGCTGGTGCACCTTGATGCTTAAATCTGGGGATTCCGGGGATGGGGCATTGATGACAGGCGGCCAGAATGCAAAGCAAAAGCCTTTCTGATTCTGCAGGTGCCAAGCATGGCCGGCATGAAATAAAGCTGTTTTTTTTTCACCTTCGCAAGGGGGGGCCCGTTCACCTTGGGCATGACGGCGATCGAGAGGAGCCCATAGCCATCCGTACCCCGTATTCTCCTGGAGCACTTGAAGTGATGAGATCTCAGAGCCCGAAAGAAATTCCAAAACTCCCATAAAAAACTCTTGATTGCCAGCACCCTGTCCCCGAAATGGAGGAATAGAAGGAACATGGACAAACATGGAGAGTCGTAGGGCAAGAGCCCTTGCTTTCCACGAGTTTGCCGCCGTCAACGTTACATTCGATAAACACACGTCTTGCATCAGATGGAGAACGCCTCATTGCTTCCGCTAAGCAAATAAGGCACAACAGTCTTCATGGCAAAAGACTGCGCAGGTGTTTTTCATGTGGTGGATGCCCGGGACTTCGCTCGCCGCTGAGTTCGCACCGTGCTTGTCCTGCGGCAAATCCACCATCTGCAGCCGAAGCCTGTACATTGGCAATGGTGCAACGGAATGATTGTTCAAGCATCGTATGTTTTTGTGCAGTTCCCTGGCGACCCGGCAACAAGTCAGGCGCAGAAACTCAGCATGGAGGCCCACGGAAAGTTGGCACACAAAAGCCTTCAAGTCATGTCCGACTGGTGCTGTTTTTGGCATTTTCTGGTTGAAACGTAGGTCCCAAGCCACTGCAGACCGGGTGAGGAGGTTCTGATCAACCGGAGGCAGGTTGGAAGATGCAGGAAGATTTAGTTGGGAACGGTTCTCGGATTCCACTCCGGACGGTGCAGGTCTTGAAACCAACAGCAAGGGCGGTAAACTGTACAAGCAAGTTTAAGGTCTGAAGTGGTTGGGGCTGAGCCTTTGAACTTGAGGTTCAGGTTTGATCTAAGCTATGGGCCAGGGTACCAGCAAGAGCCTGGTGCTCGTGCTTTTAAAAGGTTCTCCCGAACCCACAGCTGAGTTGCCACTCAAGAGATCTCACGAGCCTGCTTTGCATTTACTGCTTGGGGCTTCCTCGAACCCGCGACCGAACTACCAAAAACGTTCCGTAGCAGCGCTGTAGCACCAGCACGCCAACGACTCCAGTGACAGCAGTGGCAACGGCGACAGAAAGCCAAGAACGCGGATTTGAGGCCACGCGGCCAGGCAAGACCTCCAAAAGAACCTTCTGAGCTTGGTCCTCTGTAGGGCTTTCCGATCCACTTGCAAGTGTTTTTTTTGCAACTAGTGCGAGCAGTCTGTACTTCAGTCGGACTGACCTTTAGGGTGTTGGGAGCCTGCCAGGCTGGAGAGCGTCCTGGCATCCAATACTCCATGGCTTGCGGCTGATGCCTCGCCAGCACAAGTTGTCCTCCGTTCTACTCTTGCTCCTCTCTTCGCCTCTTCCCTCTCTCATGGTGAGGGCTCCGAGAGATGTTGCCAGGATCGCCTCATCCAGTCCGCGGCCCTAGGCCCCGTGGCTTTCGGAGATTGAAGGGCTCGGAGTAGTGTTCGGCATGAGAGGTGCCTGCCCAAGACGCTATGCCCGACCCTTACACGGTGATGCCACGACGGAGCTGCGGACGTGTGAGTGCCGCTTCTTTTCTATTTTTGACGTTTCACGTCCATCTGTTGTAGTTTGTTTGTTTTGGTTTGATGGCCCTTTGTGTTGAATGGTATGGTACTGTATCGAAAAGTCAGGTTCGCATGTTACCAGCAGTTAGGAGTCATGACGTCACCTAGGACCTCGGAGGTTTTCTTCCGCATTTTTTGGTTTGTTGGCATTTGCGGTCTCAACTTCAACTGCAGGTTCTGGTCGTCGCGGATTGTGCGCAGCTGAGCCTCGGTGGATCCCGAAGGTGCCAAACCCCAAAAGGCCGTAAACTTCGAGAGTTCAAAGATCGGGCCCTGTGCGCACCGCGGTCCCTGACTATTCTTGGCCATGACGGGTTTAGATTCCAGAGGCTCTTGATTCCCTCATTCTTGGCTTCATCTACATGAATCCTGACCGCTCGCGGCGAGTTGTGCTGACATGAACATGTCATCACGCAAGTTGAAGCTGCTTTCGCAGGTTCCTTCACCAATTCTACGTGATGCCGTTTGTCCGGAAGCTCAGCATTGCTTGATGGGCTCATGCTGGCAGAGCTGCGGGCAAGTGCAGGCATGCAGTGAGCCGTGGAACGCAGTCTGCTGTTCCTGTACCAGGTTGCTCAACAGCGCCGAGCATTTCTTCGAGAGTCGTGATCTCACCGGTGGAATGCAGATGCAAAGCAAACACCTCGCAAGTAACTCAGGAAACTGATTCGTGAGGCTTGCACCTCAAAGAGTTGTCACGGGGTCCATGCGATGGCATATGCTTGCAGATCGTGTTGCAGGGCCTGGCTACTGTGCCGTCGCAGCCTTGCGTTTCAAGGTGTCGGCCGCCGCAGCAGCAACATCTGGCAGTTCTACGCCTGAAATCAGCCAGGGCCTTAGGTACTCAAGGAGAGGAAAGCAGGCCAATCGCGCCGAAATCGTGTGCATCGAGCTTCCTATGCCTACTGTCAGAACGGCAGAAGACCACCTGTTCTGAGATGGCCGTGCAGGTGTACTGCTAGCAGATTCGGAGCAATTCTACCACAGCTGGGAGTTCTGGAGGCAGTTTTTGTCCCACTGTGTGCGTCTTCCTTTTCATGCTCGTGTGCACGGGGGCACAGTGTCTGGGAGGCTTTTCTGGTCTTGTTCGGTGGCCTCCGAGTGAGGGATTTTTCCAGATGTTGGGAAAAAGGAGCGATTGGACATTCGTCGCAAGGCAGCACCCTTCTTTGCTTGAACGTTGAGAAACTCTCCCCTACGTGCGGCTCAACGCCAAAAAGTGTGTGCATACATGCTTGCTTTGAAAGCACCTCGAAGTCACGAAAGCTCCTTTGTCAAGTATTTCAAGTGGCGATAAATAATGCGAAAATCAACAAGTTGACGGGCTGCGAGACTCCCCTCTCCAAATGGTTCGTTCCACCAATCGACGCAAAATACTCAAACCCATGAAAGACTGAAGTGGTCGAACATGAGGATGGCTACATTAAATCTAGGAGGAGGGATTACACACATTTCCGGTAGGCAAAAAATAGTGCATCTAATGAAAGAAAGCCACATCGAAATTCTAGCTTTGCAAGAAACAAGGGTGAACCATTGTTCAAAGGAAGAACATGATGATTACACTTTTTACTTCTCATCAGGAGTTTCTCATGAGACCAAAGTGTTCGCCGAGCAAAAAAGAGAACAACACAAGCAAAATGCAAACACAGGTCTGTCCGAAATACAGCTCTACAATCTGGATGCGGAGAAACATGGAGTTGGGATAGTGTACAGTGACAAACTTCGGCATTACAAAACAGCAGATAGATGGGCGACTCCTAGTCGCAACTTTTGACACACGACCACTCTGCACCCACCCACATTATTGTTGCCTATGCCCCACATGCGCTTCGTCCCCAAAGGGAGAAGGACGATTTCTATGATAAGTTAAGTGACATTCTGGGTAAGTTACCAAAACATGACATTATTTAACTATTGGCGACTTCAATGTCAGACTTATGGAAAGACTTCCACATGAAGAAACGATCTTAGGTGAACATATTTTCGGCACGCGCGAAGATAGCATAGACCTTTTAACTGAACAACAGCAAGACAATAGGGAACGTTTTATCTCTATGTGTCAAGACAATCGCCTCGTCGCTGCAAATACACTATTTCAAAAGGATCCTGCGAAACTCGTAACGTACCGCAATACCACAACCCCCAATTTTTCGGAACCTTTCACGACATCACGTTTTGCTCAGTTGGATTTTGTACTAATCAACTCAAGATGGAAAAACGCGATTACCAACGCTGAATCTAGTTGCTTTCATCCAATTACAACAGACCATAAGCTTTTAGTTGCTAATCTGCGTGTGAAGCTTGCAAAGCGTCGCTATGCGGAATCAACAAAACGACCAAAATACAGACCTCCCACGCAAAATCAAATTGATAAATACAA